AAATAATTATTTAAACTCGAATCTCAAAAGTCAGAGTAATTTTCTCAGTAATTCTACTATTATAACATTAGACGAATGTATCATCAAAACATGCAATTACCATTCCACAACCACCATACCAAACCAAAAACCAAGCCCAAACAAGGGTACGTACGTATGTAAAATAAAATGATTCCTAAATCCTACTAACGAAACAAGTTACTTACAAGTTTGTGGTGGCAGGTAGGCACGTTATGTTCGGACAAATTCATTCTCAGCATTTAAACTTTAAATGTATCCTGATTCTGGTAAGAAAAAAAGTGTATCGTTCGTGGTACTTCTTATTACGACAGCATATTAGTGAGTGATGCGATTTAAATAAATTTACAATTTTTTATTAAAGCATAACGTATCGCCGTCGCATTCTGTAAGATTGTATATCCTAGTTTCGCCTATAGGCTCTCCCAAATTGAAGGGATGAATGCCTATGAAAAACTGAATTTTTGAGGGTTTGATCACAATCAGGATCAAAAATGTATGTATGCCTATCTGCATTATTATTTTTGTGATGTAAAAACTAGTCAAGCTTGCTCCCTTCCTACTTCACATTATACAACTTACGCTAAGTTCTTGGTTGGTCAAGCAGTTTGTATTTAACTAGGGTTGCTTTTTAACTTTGGTGAAATTATGTATGATGGAGGACGACGATAACAGGTACAAAGTGCGGATGAATTACTCGTAAGTCATTCCACCACCAAATTATAGGAATTAATACGAATTAATGACGATAATGATCAAGATTGTGGGATTGGAGTTTGACTAGAATTAGAATGTGGATGGATGGATGGATGATGGCGTTGGATCAAAAATGCGGTATTTATTACAACAAACAGGAATGCGATACGAGTTTTCTTCGGGTTTACAAAATCAAGATGCATTTTAAGTGAAGGTTGTTTGTCAAGTGGTTACCTACGTATGTACGGATAAAAATTGGTTCAAGCTTTTTTTCTAGAAAATTGTGCTAGTTTTTCGAGAAATTGATGTCATTCAGGGTAAAAAGTAATGCGATTGCTTTACTGACGATATCTAAACAAACAGGAAAATCCTTCAAATACTAAAGAACTAATGGGTTGTTATATAGTAATTTCGTTTTTGTGTCGTCAAAAACCTGATTCTACGAAGACCATGATAGTTGTGAGATCAGAGTGTAACAATTTATCACATTTACGTAGCAATATGTACGCTCGGAAATTTTTTTAGGTGTCAATTAAATTCGGCTACTATTTTCTAATCAAGAGCAATAAAAAAAAAGTTAGTCGTTAACAAGAGGAAGTCAGTCAGAGAGGGGTTGAAATGGCGTAACAGGTAAATTATTTGATGGATTTTCAAGATTAAAACTATAGTCTATGTACTCGGGAAATAGCACATCCGTTCGTCGAGTGAGGTTGGTAAAACCAGAATTTTTTGCTACATCATGTTTTATTACGTACTATGCTCTTTGTAGGTGCAGCTTGTTCAACTTGAACAAGAATGAGACTCCATGTTTAAAAATTGGTTATAATACAAAATAGATTCTACTTGAGACGAGTTTATTAGAGCATTCCAAGACTCACCTATGTATATGTATTAATATCCAAATTTTAGATAATTTAAAAACTTAATCAATCAAAAAACTTTCAATTTTTGAAATGTGGAAGAATAGAAATAGAAATAAATGTTTTTTAAGAGACGCCCAGCCAAGGAAAACTCGCACCACTTGTTATTAGAGAAGCTCGTAAAGCATTTGGTTATTTAATAGTAAAGTATGATAAGTTGGCTAAAATTGTGAAATTAATGATAATATTTTGCACAGTTGGACCAAGAGATGCTGCCATTGAAAACACGGTTAAATTCAGAATTGATTGTTTGAAAAGCATGACGTCGAAATGAATAAATTATCGAGATTGTCCGAGTATGAATAAATTAGATGATGATATGTTGTTGTTGAGGTACTTGCTAAAAAATTAATAATTTTAGAATCCGTCCCATCACATTTTCTTTACATCATCTTTACATTTAAATTATTAAATAAACTTTACAAATTTTGCGTTTCTGTATTTCATAGTTTAAAAAAGTTTTGATATCAATCTTGAACTTAAATAAATCATTAACTTAATGAACCATCACCTTTAAAATGTCTCAATCCAGCTCTTCATGTGATGATAAGTAGAGTAATAATTACACCAGTTAGCTAACAACCCAAACATCAATCATTTATTACATACTTTCCCCCATCAAAATCAAAGCACTCAAATGTTATACTACTCACAGTCATGCAAACTAATAAAAAAGGTGTTGAAAATCTTGTCAGAAATGAAGGGTAGCAATCTGCATCTTTTGTTTATTTACCACAACGCATCCTTGTAATTGCACTCGTAATGAGCATTTATTTGGTTTGTTTGTACAAAAAAAGTGAACATGAAAGCAAATCAAACCAAAAAGTGCAGTATTATTTTGTTAGATTTGCTGTTGGCACGGAGGGTTTCATGAGACACGAGAAATTTTCATTTCTCTCTCTGAATCTCATCTTCATGTCTAAATGATGATCGTGCCTTTGTTCTATTTGTTGGTTGGTGTGGTTAGTGAGTGAGTGACCAGGTCTGCATGAAATGTTCAGCAACTGCCAAACTAGACGAAATATATTGGAGGTTAGTCGGTCATCAAAATGAGGGATTGTATTTCTTCTTCTTCTTAGCAAGACTTGTGGAAAGGTGCTAAATGAGTGGCATGATGAACCACATTAAGACAGAAAGAAAGCACACCCTGAACTTGAACCAGGACAGTAAATAAGGCAAGAAGAAATGGATGGGGTGTTCGTGTCCACCAGGCAAAAACTTTGGTGTGTTAACACCTTATCAACACCAAGACTTTAATGTTTCTCCGAAGAAGACACTCGATTCATGTCAAACGAAAGAGAAATTAAATCCCTACGTGGGATAAGAAGTTATACATAAGAAGGCAGAGTTTGGCATGAAGTGTCCGTTCGTCAGTCACATAAGCGAACCATGTCACGAATTGGACGGATTCTTCAAAATAAATACTCATGCGATAATGCGATGGATGGGCCAAAACGTTCAAACGCTGTTTCATGATCATGATTGCGTTTTCGTCAACTAATGAAAACTCATCGCGGGTTATCACGAGATTCATTCATAAGGTTTGTTTGTTTATAAACGACACTAGGTACGTACTACTGGTCTGTATTGTATTGTTTATTTACTTTACGCACATAATCGCACTTATGTACATATCACGCACAAAGGTGGGTTAAAATTTACGGTATGTCTCAAGAATGGGAGGACATGTGGCATGATATGGAGTAAGTACCTTTAAGTGACATAAATAAGTTCAAGTTCAGGGTTACATATTTGGACGCCGTGTTAATCGGGGTTTGAAAGTTTTTGAATTCAAGGAAATATTCGTTACAGGACACCGATTCTAACTAAGTTTCACTTTTAAGTATCATCAGACACAGACGATATCCCAGGAAAATAGAAAATAAACATAATTTCCAGAGTTTCGAAATGCTGTGTAGCATGGCATATGTATTCGAGCAGAAATCAGACGGCTGAAATCCCAGATTGGGCCAAAAACCATCAATCATGTGCTATTATCTATTCCCTTTTGGTTCGAAGAGATTGACCGACTCGCGGAGTGATTGACGTGGCTGCTCATCAAATTGTTTCCCTTGTATTATTTTCTGCCTTTTGTACAAAATTTCTACCCACGTACATAAATACGTAGCAATCATGCAACAACATTGCAGAAGAAGGAGAAGAAGGAAGACAATTGCATCATATCCGCACCAACCAACCAATAACGCCGTCTGTCCTTTTGGATGAAAATAATGAAACAATACCGACGGACGGAGGAGGATGAGTAGTAAGTTTCTCAAGAAAAATGATGTACGAAACAACAACAATAGACGTTTAAATTCTCATGGTTTATGTAATGATGATGCGGCGCAGTAGCTCGTGGCGTTGTGTGGATACATAAAATGTAGAATAAAATTGCTTGGCTAATCTACTTTATCGAGGAGTAAGTACTAAAATATTGCACAACACGTGATAAAATTGAGAGAAATGGGTATCATTCTTGCGACATATCAACTACGATAAGAGGAGCATAAGAAAGAATCGCCATCATTATTATTATTTCCTTGCTTAAAATGAAGGCAAACCTTTTTTCTCCATTTATTCTTAAAAAGACGAAACTTTATTAATTTAATTTGATCTTAACTGGAGTAGAAACAAAAGAAATGGATATGAAAAGATGACGGAAAACTAAGGCGCCTGTCTGATTGTGTCATAATTTCATAATTCCATAATCATAATTTTCTCATTTTCCTTCCCCCATTTCCCCAATTTTCCCATCTATAACTACGAGTATCTCTCTTCGTCTATGAAACAAAAAGTCGATCATGGTTGCTGATAAAGAAAATAATTTTGTTGAAATCGTTGAAATTTCGGGCCCTATTTTTTCTTGATCCTTTGTCGCATTTTTATTATATCATGTTATTATTATTATTATAAGAGTTTTATTTCTTTCGTGGATGGAGTTAGATTTCTGATGAGGGTTGTTACTAAATTGGGATTTTTTTACGTACTCTCTTGACTTAAGTGCTGTTGGTTTGGTGTATTTTTTCTGCTCCCCACCACACCACCATCCCCCTCGACTTTGAGGAGGAGGGAGAAGAGGAAAACTAACTAAACTACTAAAAGTTGATTCTTATCATCGCGTGCTTTGCAATCAGACCGGAAGTAGTCAGAAGTGCACCGAGTCATCAAGTAGCAGTAGTGACAATAATGGTAGTATTGGAGGAAGGAGGCCGAGATGAAAACGGATGATTTCGTGTTGCTTTTTTCTTTATTATTTTCTAGTCGGATTTTCTCTTCAGTGGAAGGAAACAATGAGATAGAGTATTGTGTTCGATTTTTAAGCTTAATAGCGCAGTGGGCTATTATCAGCACGGTTGGGGCACTATGAGACGAAAGTGTACTGAAGGAAGATTTGAAATGTGCACGTTGGGTGATCTGCACTGTTCAGACACCCTGCACGTTTTTTTGAGCTCTCCATTTTTAAACTCCCAAAAAACCACACCTCTTCCAAATAAATTGTTGCAAAAGATAAGGTAAGCCATTTTTTATGTATGTTTATTGATTACAATAAGAATTGCTTGTTTCTCATCTTTAAAAAATCCTTAATATTATGAATATTATAATGTCAGATGGTACGAGCTCAGGCAAAACCAGCAGCAGCCAACGGCCCTGAAGGCGGACGAATCAGGAGGTCGTTTCCCCGGAGGTCCGGCCGACTGGGCGGACGAGCTGCTTCTTCGCCACCACCAGCACCAACAGCCAACGGTCAGGAGGGCGGACGAGCCAGGGGGTCGTTTCCCCGGAGGTCCGGCCGACTGGGCGGACGAGCTGCTTCTTCGCCACCACCAGCACCAACAGCCAACGGTCAGGAGGGCGGACGAGCCAGGGGGTCGTTTCCCCGGAGGTCCGGCCGACTGGGCGGACGAGCTGCTTCTTCGCCACCACCAGCACCAACAGCCAACGGTCAGGAGGGCGGACGAGCCAGGGGTCGTTTCCCCGGAGGTCCGGCCGACTGGGCGGACGAGCTGCTTCTTCGCCACCACCAGCACCAACAGCCAACGGTCAGGAGGGCGGACGAGCCAGGGGGTCGTTTCCCCGGAGGTCCGGCCGACTGGGCGGACGAGCTGCTTCTTCGCCACCACCAGCACCAACAGCCAACGGTCAGGAGGGCGGACGAGCCAGGGGGTCGTTTCCCCGGAGGTCCGGCCGACTGGGCGGACGAGCTGCTTCTTCGCCACCACCAGCACCAACAGCCAACGGTCAGGAGGGCGGACGAGCCAGGGGGTCGTTTCCCCGGAGGTCCGGCCGACTGGGCGGACGAGCTGCTTCTTCGCCACCACCAGCACCAACAGCCAACGGTCCAAGACGCGGAGGATCCAGCAGTAGCAAACTGGACAACGGGTCGAAGAGCGGAGGAGCTCGAATTTTGTATTTGCCCGATGGTTTTCGGATAAGGAAGATTCCAGGAGATGGCAACTGCTTGTTTGGAGCTCTGAGTGATCAGATGACCGGATCACACGAATTCCATATGCAGTACCGAGAAGCTGTCTGCAATTATATGCTACAATTTGGAGAGGATTTTCAACCATTTGTTGATGAGCCATTAGATGATTATCGTAAGCAATTATAATTACTAATAAATAAATAATTAATTGATTTGGAGATTAATTGTGTCATTTATTATGTAGTACGACGGTTGTCGGAATCAGGGACATGGGGAGGTGATGAATGTATTGGGGCATTTGCTCGAATAAATAACGTTACGGTAACAGTGTACCAAAACACATCCCCTCCGGTTGACTTTCTACCCTCCCCGGGATCACCAGGACGTGGATTGCGCCAACTGCATCTTCTGTTTGTTAATGGGAATCACTATGATTCTTTACGACCCATTGATGAAAGGTTAGGTTTTTAAATTTATAAACCATTTTTCTGCAAGGTAAACCAAATTACTAAATGTATTCTTACCATAGGGGTGTCTTCATCGATGTAGCCAACGGTCCTGAAGGCGGACGAGCCAGGGGGTCGTTTCCCCGGAGGTCCGGCGGAAGGGGCGGAAGAGCTACTTCCGTTGAAGAACCACCACCAGTAGCAGCCAACGGCCCTGAAGGTTCCATTAAACCTTTAATGGACATTGTAAATGATTACATAATCATAGATAGTACTGCACCGGAAACGTATTCATGGTAACCACTCACACTTCTGCATTAAATCAACATTGTAAAATAATACCTGCATTTTACAGTTATCTTATGAAGAAATTGGGCAAGAGATCATACTACTTCGGGAAAGTGTCTGAAAAAAGGCATGGGCCTTGCAAAATATGGACCAAAACACACGATGTAAGAAACAACTAATTTTTATTAGTCATTACTTCATTGATTTTAATGTTTGTGAAGAATTTTTATACCTACGTACACCTTCCTGGTTCGTGGAAATACGTTGGAAGGTGGAGGTATACGTCGAGTCGTCCTGGATCAATGGCAGCAGAGAAGTCGGCGAAGTGGGCTGCCGCGTGGAGAATGGTAAGTATATATTACTTGTTATTCATAGTTCGTTTATACTCCAAACACATATTTATAGTTTATTTTTTCGTTTTTTCGTTTATTCGTTTATGCAGACTCTGTGTAAAGCCGGAAGAGAAGCATTTCCCCAAGAGTACCCTACATGTCGTAATTCACATCTAAGGTTGAAAGAATTACTTCAACTCAGTGAAAAACGACGCAGACATAGGTTGCATAACCACTTGATCAAGAAGAAGAACCCTGTGACAATTAACATCGCTCATAGTCCATTGGTATCACCTGAAGGTTTGTTGATTTGTGAAGGTTTTCCTATTTCGTTAAACTTATCAAAAATCATAAATTATAGATGTCTCCTGCGAATGGATTCCATACAGGATGCGGATGCGTCGTGTCAGCCATGCTCGCTCATATTCGTGCCCTATTCCTACTACACAACAGCAATTGGATGACCTGGCAGCTTCTACAGATCGAGGCATTGCAAGGACAGCACTTTACCGAAGAGCACAGCTTAGAAAGCTTATCCTTCCCAAACAAAGACCCGGCCGTAAGATCCACAATCGCGAAGAGAAGGTTACGGAAGGCATTTCTTTGTGCGTAAATCAAGGATTGAGTGTAAGAGCAGCAGCCGGCGCAGTCGGCATTAATTACAGTACTCTTCAAAAGGAAGTGAACAAGCATAATCCCATTCCTCGAAATTAATAATATTATTATTAATAAATTAATTAATTTTGTTATTTTCAATTACTGATTTAAATAATATATAGCTTGTAGCTATATATTATTTATTCAACATGAACTTTGAAAATACTAAACATAAAAAAATAAATAATTAGTTGGCTTGGGGAGCAGAGGGAAAACCTCACACCGGTGGGAAGCTTGTGACAATACGAACCACGCAAACTTTTCTGTCGGATACAGCGAGGCTGTAATGCAGTAGGTGGATGGATTTGTTGGTGAAGTGGTTTTATTTTCATGTACTTTCCTACGTATTGTCGGGTCCATAAGCTTTTAGTATTATTCTTTTTTGAGTGGTGCTAGTTGAGCTTTTATTCAGCTCCGTATTTATATATTGTTCATTTTGGGTGCTTTTGCGGATCACTTATTGTTAGAGAACATTTGATTTGCTTGCGTAGGTAGTAAAACAAATTCAGTTTTGTTGGAGAATTATGATGGGATTTTCGAAATTTGACTCCTCAGATAGTGAGAATTATTGAGTTTAGTTTTGTCCTATTAAAATGAAATTGTACATGAAACTCGTGAGAAACACTGAATTATGTACAAGCTATTAATTGGGAATATAATAAAGATTGTTATGCATTCAGAAGTGGTTGCACAAGGGCATGACATAATATGCAATTTGAGCAGAGGGAGAGAAGCTCATTAGTCCAACTTTAATAATTAAGTACGTAATTAAATATATAATCTAGTCTACCATGAGATTTATCATTGCGCCATTTCTACGAATGGGTGACCATGACTTATCAAATTCATCTCTTGAATAAAAGTTAGTTAGTCAAATCTTAAACCCAGGATCATATAGGATTTTAAAAAAATTGTATAATATACACAAGAATATTAGATATTCTATGTACTATTCCCACTGCTATTTCATTTAATCATCTGCATTATTTCACTACAGATACGACTTTGTTTCACCTCATAACCTTGAAACAAGAGAGGAGGCTGGAAAATACTTGTTTTGTTCATGAAACATAATTAATGTGACGACCACCATTTAATTTCAAACTTCCTGTCTTCCAAGCCCAAAGAATGGTCATATATTTATTTAATAAGCTGCAGAATACCAGACCCAGCCACTAATTACGTTCAATTGAAGAAGCCTCTGAAACTGAAATGGTTGCCAAAGTCAAAAGTCCAAAATTGCAACTGCAATATATTCCGACTGCAAACAAAGGGATGCCTTTTAAATGGTTGATCCACGACGGATCAACTTTTGAGTAGAATTCACATCTTGCAAGATTTGTTGGAGAAACCTGGTCAACTGATTATACGTGTTCTGACATTTTTGAGAGCACAAGTTGTAATTATCTCAGTCTGGATTCTCATCTCGGTCTCCGCAATGTATGTCTAAGGTTTGGCGATGGCATAATAACATCAACTTTTTTCACCTGATCTGATCCAGATCTATCCATCCATCCATCCATCACATCTCTAGTCGCATTTTTTGCCCGATGTGCATCATAATTTGCAGGTGGACTCTGAATTAATTAAGGCTGACAATTTGCGAATAATTTTCATACATACATCAGAAAGAGTCGAGTAAGACAAACTGCAGGTGTGTGAATATCTGAAATAAATATTTATTTGGTGGTAGTGGGAACCATTTCTCGAGCGAGACGGATCCCTAACCATCTTTTTATGCGCAATTATCTATCCTCCAAAATTATATAACCAACCAAGCTCAAAAAGAAAGCGATCTTATGAACCAATTATTTTGATTCTGTTGTGGGACCAAAAAGAAACCTGAAATCAATTACTACGAAAGTGACCCTAGAAGAAAAAGAGAGAAATTGTGGGGGGAATGTAATAATAATCGCTTTTTTAGCCTCCATTTCGGTCTGCATCTGACCAGTAAATTACAAAGTAGAAAATACACCACGGTCAATTCTTCCAGTTCTGTGGTTATGCTTGTTCTTGGAACAAAAAATGTAGTTCGAGTCAATCCACTACTGCTACATTTTATGTACGTTCGTAAGTCTGGACGGATTGGGTTGTGTGTGTATTCATTATAAAATAATGACACAGGGGCATGGGAAATAATTTTATAAATTGCATCGTACCCAGGATAATAGTGCTCTAGTTGGTTGGCCAGAAACCAATCCCTTGCCAACAAAAGCCATTCATCATAATCATTTTTATCGAGACATCCAGATTCCATATTTGCCCACTCCCTCCTCGAGACTACGTACCTCACAAAACAATTTATTCCGTGCCGAGTCTGGTGTGGATTTCGTTGTTCGAAACCACCAGGCACTTATGTTATTAGTTTAGGTGTTTTCTAGAGAGAGAGCTCAAGTGTGTATGTATGTCTGCATTATTATTACATGGACGTATTGCACAAACTTGGACGACGACTGTTAGGCTCGAAATCAACCAGGTAAAAGCTGATTGTTTGAGTTGATTACGAGATGGATTTGATGGAAGTGGAATTATTTTATGAGTCATATAATAATAAAGTAAAATACATGAACTATTTCCGCCCGGTGTGGGAGAGTGATTATTAATTGTGTATGTGCTCATTTCATAGGCTTGGGAGAGAAGACTATAGAATATTTTAGGCTGGAGGGTTCATAGGAGGTTAATTAGCCGAGTTTTGTAATATTTTTAGCTGTGCTGGGGTTAATTGGTAAAAGTTGGTCGTATTTAGAAATATGCAGTTCTGCAGTCCATGTAAAATTTGGTACATTTATTGAAAAACTGTAGAGAAGGATACAAAATTGTGGCGAATTTTACTATAGTATTTGTTCGTATACGACTCTAATTTTTGACCAAGTTAGTTTACAATAATATGCTATCAAACTTTTCTCGCATAATCGTAATGCAGATAAATCATGGGATAATGATGTGATAAGTGCCATGTTGCAACGAGATGATGAAGATAGTGCCAATAAGATGCAGAGTACGAACAGTAGTTAACAGTTTTAAGATTACAATTTACAACGCTTCAGCCACCACAATTACTTGATCCACTTATGCGTAATGTCAACAATTAGTCAGATCTCGGAGAGTTAAGATGTTATCGAGGCTTATAAGTTACATACATAATTTAGATGGTCGAGTAGTTTCAACATTTCATCGGACAACACCTGCCTCACTTTTCGGTCGCATTTGACTCCACTCACCCAAATGATCCAGCATGTATAAATATCAATTTGGAGATGGTCTGATACTGAGATGGAACATATTAAGAAAGACATTATTAGTAATTCAAGTAATGAGTGGACACGTGGGACGGCCTTTGAGATAGGGCTTGAATACTAATGCTGTGTTTATCAAAATGGTAGGAATTGTACTTCTCGAAATGGCTTTGTCGGGTCTTGTAAATATATTAGCACCTGAACATACATACATATGCCTATACACCTGCCTTTTTGATTGACAGAATTAGACAACCTGACACTCAACCCACTAAAAGTTTATTGCAAAATTCAGACTTGTATAACTTTATTTTGGGGGTATCATCCTATAAAGTAACCGTTCCTTTGTAAATAGAAAGTACAAAGTAAGAGCATAATTCTGCCAACTCAATTTTTGGCGAGTATTGCCAAAAATTTGAATATCTTCATTACAAAATCAGAAAATGATTGTATAACAAACAAAAAGTACTAAATTAGAAATGTAAAAGTTGTACAAAATTGTTTTACACACTCCAAATGCGATCATCTTCAAGAAACGACACAATTCTCAACTTGCCTCATCTACCGTTCTCCTCATCATCATAACTAATTAAAATACCTGTAGCTTCACAAACAAAATATTCTCAGCCTGTCTACCCTTTACCCACCCCAGACGGCACAAGGAAGGAAGGGGATTTCCTCCCATGAGGAAAAACAGACAAAATTTAATAGGCAATTACTAAACTAATTTAGGTTTATCAAATTATTTAATACATTTAAGTATGTACTAATACTCATTAGTTTATTCTACCATACGCAAAATTCTCATAGATGTATTCTGAAAAGTCGTCGTATTATCAAGTGTTCAACTACCTAATCATTATTATCAGCCAACAATATGAAAAATAATAATATTCAGAATTTTACTTAATCATGCAACAATTTAACCAAACCACCACGAGTCTGATTCTTATCAAATTGCGACTTGCGACTACCCCTTCACATTCACTTCACTCGTATTTAATGAGTGGATAAATTTTAGTCCTTTTTTTATTATTATTCTGCCATTTTAGTTGGACGAGGATACACTCGTCGTCATATATTATTGTTGTTTTGGTACTTTTGCTTAGTTCATAGTTGATACTGATCAATGAATTAAGCTAAATCGCATTTCCCAGCACAATAAAATAATTTTGTAACAAACAAAATAAATTATTTCGCGTGAGATAACAATAAATTTATTTATTTTCAACGGAGGCAAAGGCAAGCAAGTGGCTGCATGGGAATGGATGAAATGAATGAATGCCACCACAATAAAAAGGAGTCAATTACTTTGTCTAGTCCGCGTACATTGGTGGATTTTATTTTTTATTATTAAATAGTTTGAACCGGAAGTGAGAATGGAAAATGTTGGTTGGAGTCAAAATAAGTGTCAAATGAATACTCCCATCGCATCCGTTTAATCGGGAGACAACAAAAGGACTGGGATTTTGGTTAATTTTCATCAATTTAGTAAAGTAAAGGATAGGATACCTTTTCTAACAAGGGATAAAGTTCATTAACCAGTTAATTGAATGCAACCGTAATTTTTCATCAAATTGGAGTAATAATTTTGCAATAAAATTTTAAAACGGATTTTTTTGCAACTTTCACTCTTTCCACTTTCTCAAGAATCGCATAGAAAGATGCCGATTATGCAGCAAAATCTGTTATTCATGCTCACCAAGTAAAATGTTCAGCAAGTCAGAAAAAGTTATTACGTGAAAATTGACATGATTCGTAGAATCTGGAAAGTTTGATAAGTTTGAGACGTACGTCATAATTCCTATTGTTCTATGGCCTTAGAAATACAGTGAAAACTCTTAGACAGAGCCCTCCATTACGACCAAGAGAGGAAGGAGTACGATAATAAAACACAGAAAATAATAAGAAATGACTGATCCGGTCGTTCCGTGACGACCAAACCTCATGCAAGCAATTTATCAGTCCAGATGTGACCAAAACTCAAGACATGCTTTTTTGTAACCACGTTGGTAACCACCCAAAACCACCATTACCTATTACATGGGATCATTATGTTACACAAGAAAGTAGAAGAATAATTACTCTGCTGGGTTTTCTTCTATGTATGTACAAGTTTTAACTTCTTTTAACTTGGCCCAGCCAGCCAAGACCAACTTGAGAAATGGTATAGTCGCACTCACTCACCCACCGAGTTGGTTTCCTTTTTGATAAGCCAGAACAAAAAGTTAATGCCAAATGGAGGGGAAAATAAGTGTAACAAACAACGAAACACACGACGATGACCGTTTATGTTACAGAAGCAATTCCGGTTGTAAGTTTGAGTCCTTCGTGATCAGAGCAGATGACTCTTTTGCATGATTACCTTTTGAAAAACACGGTCTCATTTGCGTGATCTTTAATTAACGCTTTTATGTAGTTTACTTTGTGCCTAGAGTTACTGAACCACACACTAAACATTAGGCTGGAATATTACGGAGTAAAAGTTTTCGAACCAAGACTCTGCCTATATTTTTTAGATTGTCGTGGCAGATGGAATAATAAAATGGTGGTGATAAAAGAAGTATGTAAAGGGTAAAAGGTATCATATCAAAAACATGTTCTTCTTATTAGGCATAGCTGAACCCAATTATTCTGAGTTTGGACGACACTTGTTCGACTCTAATAATGGTGAAACATGGCTTGTTTTGCTAATAATTTGGCACTGAGTAGAATTTTTGGGTCATTATAATTTCCAAGATATGCATACTACTTATTGTGCAGGTGCAATCCGTTATTTTTTGCAAATAAAATACACTGGTCAAAAACTGACCATACATACGGAGTAAACGAGAGACTATAAAAATGCTGTTGCTATATTGTCATAATATTGATATATTAATGTTGTCTGACGCCTAAAATATATTAGAAAATTTTAGCCTAAATTTATACAAATAATCATAACTTTCCATTGATTATTTTAAACATTTCGTCAATTGTGGTCACTTTTCTATTGTGCTTTTCCTCAAAGTCGGCTATTTTAACAAAGTCTGTGTAACACGTGAGTCTTTTGTCGGTCACCAAGTTCTTTATGGTTTCAAAACCAGATTTATCTGAATGGGGGACGCTCTCCATGTCTTGAATGATTGTCTTTGCAACGTCGAATGAGTTTTGCATGGTGGATAAAATGACACCTCTGGGGCCTTGCCCAGCCCATCCGACACAGTAGATACCTGGAAATTATTTAAAACAATACATTATTATCACGATACTCTGAGAGGTTTATAGCTTAAAATTTCGTCGTACCATTTTCTATTTTTCCTCCTACATTAGGAATTATCCCCGTATTTTCATCGAATGGCAATTCATCAAAAATTCGTCTCCCTTTATACCCCACACTTCGAAAGACTATGTCACAAATGTTTACTTCCGTTTTTCCCGTCCCCACAACCCTTTCTTTGTTGGCAGGATCAAACTCATTTATTTCAAGAGTAAGATGTAGTTTGTCTCCGTGTCGTTCAACCATTTTTGGAGACCTCATAAACTTTAGAAACCAAGATTTTGAATAACTTCCCGAGCTGGTGGTATCTGACGCTTGGGCCGATTTAAGTAGTAGCTCCGTTAAGCGTTTCTTTGGTCTTGGAAAGTCTAGAGTATAAAAAGATATTAGTTATTTAAAGTCAAACTGGTGTTAATAATATCAATTAAACAGATCACCTTTAAGAAGCTGTTCATTAATTCCGTCAAAATCTCTAATTTCTGACACGGCTCGGGCACTTTTCATATTAACCAGCTCACGCAACTCTTTTATGGTGAATGAAACCTGGAGTGGTCCCCGTCTGCCACAAATAACGACTTCGGAAATCGTTGATTTTTTCAGAGCATCCAATGCATACGGGCTAATATCAGTCTTTTCGAGTAGTTCAATCGGGGACAGCAATATCCTGGCAATATCTAAGGTCACATTTCCATTCCCAATTATTATGGCACGCTTCTTTGTTTCCAAATTGATAGCCAGGTCTCGATTTGCTGGAAGGCCGTTGTACCAACCAACAAAATCCCGGGCAGAAACGACATGTTCTTTTTCGCCAGGTATATTTAGTTTCCTGTCTTCACTAGCACCGTAGGCCTGAAAGGAATCAATGAATATATGAATAATTTGTAATATTTTTGGGGCCCTTAGGCCGAGTATCGTCTTATAGTTCATTACGATGCACGAAACAAACTGATCTGTCTTTCAATTTCGAAAAAGTGAGGATATGGGACAATCTGTACAGTCAATTTTTGGGTAGAGATATGGGAGAACACTCACCAACAAGATGGCATGATAAGATTCCTTAAGTTTGCCCAAAGTAATGTCTTTCCCAGCCTCAAAATTACCTATAAACGCAACGTTAGGGTTTTTCAGAACGGTTGTGAAAGTGTGGGTGACATTCTTTACTTCTGGAACACATGAAAAAAAACTTCATGTGAATGGTCTATTTTAGATAAATTTTCATAATTCTCACAAATTCATTTTGTAAAACTGTACAATTACCTGGATGGTCTGGAGCGACCCCGTACCTCACGAGGCCAAAGGGCACAGGTAATTTTTCATAAATGTCGACACGACTTGAGGGCTTCAGCTGGAATTAATTAGCTTAATTAGAACTAGACTATAAACTAGATTAACTTATTTAACTTACCTTGAGTAAATGTTGCGCTGCATAAAATCCTGCCGGTCCACTCCCGATAACACAAAATCTGTGATTACTTCTCCTGAGGAGGAGTCTAACGTCCAAACCGGTATGACCATGACTAGATAAATACTTGTGTAAATTATTACCTAAAGTTCCTAATTTTAAATTATTCTTAGAAATATGTTTTAGCAACATTCTTATTACAAAAATGTGACGAAATCATGAAAATCAAGGAACAGTAATATTTTACTCAAATCTATTCCCTTCCCTCTTCCATTTGGGTTATTTGATGACGAATTGCATGTAAATGTTGAATGTTGCAACATTCTCAAATTTGAGAAATGCAAAAAATCTTGAACAAATGTTTCGAAATAGTTTTTGCAATTTATGCTGATTGTAAGATAAAAAGGATGGCATATAAGACAAGAGTGAGTGAAACTGAACTCTGAGGAATATATTTGTAAAAATAAATAATAATCACTTCAGTCAGAGACACGAGAATACAGTATTCTCAGAATACCATCATCATGAATTGAACGAGAATAATTCAAAATATTTTAATTTAAATTCTAGTTTTTCTTTTTCGTTCTCCAGTCTAAATCATCGTCATAGTCTTCGTCAAGGTCTTCATCGTCTGATGTGTTCATCTTTTCACTCTTGGATTCTTTATCCTGCTGCAACTTCATCCGAGCGTCTTTTGCTTTCCTTTCTAATTCCACAACTCTGAATAAATTATACAAACAAAATAGTTAGATTTTAAAATTATGGTTTATGGTGGAACTTTTTCCTTCCTCGAATCTGGATAATTTGGTCTTAAATAAATTACCTTTGCCAATTTTTCATTTGCTCTTCAATTTCATCTAATTCTCTGTCTTTTGCGGAATCTTCTTCATCAGCGGTTCTCAACGCGCTGGACTTCACGTCTTCGGTTGCAATCTCTTTAACAAATTTATCCCATTCTGCTTCGTCTGGATTCTTATATTCTAACCCTCTCGCTTTGGCGTCTTGTTTCGCGTCATCGAAAAATCCAGCAGGTAGGGCGTCTGTTGGCGTGCCTCCGGATGATGATCCTTCAGTTTCACCTTCCTCGTTATCGTCATCATCATCATCAGCTATAGTAGGTGACGATAAGTTTGTTAAATTGAATCTACTGCTGCTGCTACCACTACTGCTATCAATATCCATTTGTGCTTCTTCGTCCTCAATCTCTTTGAAAGTCTTCTTTCTTGGGGGTTGGTAACTAGTTTTCTTTAGGATTGAGGGAGGAGGACCCATTGGGGACACTACAAGATCTTCAAACTTAACTCGCTTATGTAGTGGGGCCAAGTATGTATCGCCATTGCCAAAATTTCCACTAGTCGTGCTGCTAATTCCATTCCCGTCGTCACTAGTTGCAGACGAGGACGATGATGGGATCGATGATGACGATGAAGAAGCAGACGACACTGGAGCGGCGGACCGTTTTTGAAGAACTGACGACGATGACGACGTGGGTACTGGTTTTCCTTTATTCTTCACTGAAATAACTTGATCACGATGTGCTTTTCCATTTATGTGTCCTAGTAAATAATTCAAAGAAATTTATAATTGCAACCTTGAATTTTTTCGACTACGCACGCAATCGCAATAAGCTTAATAACTCACCCGTCCAGTACATTTCGTTCTTAACGTGGACATTGCAAAGGACACAGAATAACTGTCCCGTCGAGTTATACTTGGCAAGTGGGGATTCGATCTTCTTCGTAGCGGTTATCGTTTTTAGCGAAAGCTTCGTTTTCGTACTCATTTTCGTCACCGGCTTAACCTGGACCGTGCACCGTGCAAATTTTTCCAGGAAACTCTGAAAGTGTCCAAGTAAACTGAAATTAGATCACGATTGGAAACACAATTACGTAAGTTAATTTTGTAAATTCCGTGCATTGTTCATTACAATTCTACAAAAACTGTTTGCACACAAAATTGCCAACATTAGCAAAAATGACACAAAAAATCAGCATATAAATTTAATTAGCTACTAGCTAATAGCTAGACACTAAAGAATGCAGAATTTTACTCACCTTACGAAATATGCGAACTTATAAAGAAAACTGGCGAAAATTTGCTGCAATTAAATAATTAAGTACTTTCACCTACAAAAACTTTCACTCTAAATATTTTCTACTGTCACACGGAAAAGTGAGCAGCAGCCGCTGATCAAGTCCCATCTTTCCCATCTACCGCAGTAGAGTATTGCATGTTGTGTAAATAGGTTCAACTTTTTTTTGCCACTCCACAAATAAAATAATTTTTAAGAAAAGTTTAGAAAATAATTTTCGAAAGTTGAAGTCTTATTGATTAGTTTGGTTGGTGGCCAGCACTTAAAATACTCGAAGAGAACACTGCCTATTAAATAGCCAAGTAAGTAAAAAGTACTACTACTTTCTCCATAATGTAAAAGTACAGTTGAAAGTGAAAAGAGTGTGACCTTGACATTATATAACGGAATGGAGTAGTTGTATTGATTTGCATTTTGGTAAATCAAATTGTACATTGTCATGCTAAAAGAATCTGAAAAATTAAGAGAGTATCGATTGATAAGTGGGTTTGGCAAGGTTATCAGCAAATTCAGTATTGGTTTGGGTGTCGCATTTTCATTTTCAATACAAATATTATGCATTTTGTTACAGAATTTTTTTAAACAATAAAACTGAAAGACTAAGAAACCGAATGTAATTTTTTTAATTGCGTATTTTAATTTCAAATATTTAGATCTTGTAATAAAATGAACGGAACAACGCGTATCGTCTCTGCGACTGTGAAGACCTTCTCGAAATCTGCAAATCCGGTAATGCAGTCCCCAAAGAAGGTGGTGAAGCCACCTCAAACGCCTCAGGCGACGCGAAGAACCATTTCGACCACTGGTTCTACTTCTGGAGTCACTTCGGTTTCGGGGGCTTATCGTAAGTGGAAATGGAAATGTAATACATAATCTCACTTGATTGGACAAGTTTATTAATTGATTGTATGATTACTTTAGATCATGAACCGGGAAAAGTGCCAATGGGTAATTAAATTAAAGTAGTATTAATTACGAATGTCATTGTAACATACTGTGAAGGTAATTAAGATTTGCATAATTTGTAGGTGTGCCTGCTGTTACTGCTACGATTGCGACGGGATTGCTAATTGGTGCTGGAATTTCGAAGAACATTGCCAGTTTCTTGGAGGAAAATGAACTATTTGTGCCGAGCGATGATGACGACGATGACTAGAATATTAAAAATAGCTATTCGAATATATTATTCTGTCATTATCAATCAAAAGTAGATTTTAGGCTTATGATGTGATGATTATAATTATCAGTATGTAAAATGGTACTTGAAATGGTTCTCATAATTATAAGTCGGTATTAATTACGTATTATTGAAAATTGAGGAATTATACCTCGCAGAATCGAAAATAGGTTATATGTAAGATGAGCATCCTTATAAATCAGATACCTCATAATTTCCTGATTATTTTAGGGAGTCACTTCGATGAACCCTTAAATCGGCCACTTGATTTAATTGATTGTGATAATACGACATGTTAACAAAGATGCGTAAAGACATTATTATTGTATTCTGTATTATTACTTGCTTTATCCGTGTCTAGTCTGTGAAACGATCGTCACAAATTATGTACTTACTTGAGGTATTTCTTTTAGTATTACTTGTGGTTTACGTAAATCATTTTAAATGTATATGCATAGAATTTTGTCCTCGTATAAAATAAGAAGCAATAAAGTTTACCCGTGAAGAAAAGATGAGTCTGAGTTGAAAAATGCTGATCAGTTGATAATATGCATACCTATTCGTCACCAGAACTGATGGATAATTGAATAATCAACATATCACTTTGAAGTCACTAAACTCCAAAGTGAGATATGGTCACATTCATGCCCAAAAAATAGGTAGGAGTTTAGTCTTTGCTCGGCATTTGTCCACAAATCACCTAGTTCCTCATTTTTTCAAATTCGTCCTCAAAAAATGGGAAACCCCACGATAATCTTATTCTTCGGAATCCTCCTCCTCGCCAATTTCGCCAAGTGTGAAGATGCCGCAGCGACCGGTGCTGCCGGTGCTGCTGCAACGTCTTCTTCAAATACGGGAACCGCCCCAGTCGCCGGGCTTACGGCCCCTCCTCCCCCACATCCAGGTGGTCCGGGGGGTATTGGACCTGGTGGAATTCCCGGTGGCTTGGGAGGACTCTTCCCTGGACTCGGTTTTGGGGGATTAGGATTCAACAAGCACTTGGACTTTAACGCTGGGGCAGGATATGGACCTTTCCTCGGAGGACTGGGAGGGTTTGGAGGTGGTGTTCCGCCCCCACCCCCGGTCGATGCTGGTAAGTAATTAAAACCATACAGGAAATGTCAGCTAGGGTCATCATCATCACATTATTCATCAATTGACACTGATATTTGTACAGGAATTGACCCTGGATTGGGTGGTGGATTTGGAGGTCTCCCCTTTGGTCTTTTAGGCCCATCTTACATCCCCTCGACATGGATTGGTTCGGCCCTCGGTGCTAAAGGTGATCTTCTATTTCCTCTCGTCATGTTCGTCTTCTTCGTCGTCGGAGTGTGGACCATTGTCCAATTTCTCCTCGGACTCATCGTCCCCCTGATCGCGGCCAAGGTTTCCATCCTCAAGGGAGGTCTCAACAACAAGTTCTCCAGGAGGAGTCTCACCCCTCAGGAAGAAAAGGATGAGCAAATCACCCACCTGACCAACGTGGTGTGGGCAGCGTTTGAAAACTTTGGCTGTATGAAGACCTCAGCATGCTACACGGGAAATATGGTCCATTCTTTGGCTGGAACTGATAACTTGAAGCAGTACGAAGGGTGAGTTACATAATCTTGGTTTGCATATCATCACCCAACTTCATTTGACTATATGTAGGTTGGCTTGAAAATGTGAGACGGACTAATGGAATTTTACTTTGTTTTTGTGGGTAGGATTTTGGACACGATGAAGATCATGGACAAGGATATTGTCGCAATTTTTAAGAAATCTGTCGAATCTGGACAAGAAGACTGCTCCAAGTACCCGTGTGACGCGTTTGGAAAGAATGCTGAGCACCAAAAGGGCGATTCTGAATGATTAAGGTTTAGTCATCAACTTAAATATTTAGTTCCACGAAGAGCTTTAAACGTCGGTAGAGATATAGATGCTAATTTGAATGTTAAACAAATCTTAATTAAATTAGTCAAATCTACTAAATTCCCATAGATTATGATATATGTGCAGCAACAGAAAAGAATCACGTGTAATATTTTTTGTAGCTTTTATTCTCTCGTTAAAATTGAGTAGTTATAATGGAACATCATTTTTTTGGCATATTCGTGAAAATAAAAAAAGTGTTAAACCAATAAGCGTTTCAATTAGCAGTAGCCACGATTTATTAGTTACACTTTGCACTAAAAATATTTATTTCTTTCGGTTGAGTAAAAGTAGTAGTTTTGGTAATTCGTGTAAGTATATTAAAAGCTCGTAAATATTTAATTTAAGCGAGAAATAGACATTGCTCACTTGCCCATTGTACAGTAATTATTGCTGGTTTTGTTTGGCCGACTTTGTTTTGCATTGTGAGTACTTTTTGGTTACATATATTGTGGTGTTGCATAAGTTGCATTAGTTGTTTGCATGAGTTGAGTTTGTTAGTACAAGATACATTTTTGTATCAAGATTAGCAGCAAAGTCGTCAATATTGAGATTGTCCAATAATTTTGGCATCTCAAGCCTGAGCTTGATCCACAATAAGAGTCGGCAGAACCGGTTTCGAAGCTTATTCGTCCTTCAACCCCTTGAATTATTGGACCTACAATATATATATAACAGGCTATTTTATTGTGTTAATCCACCACCACCAATTAATTAATTATTGAACCTTGAGACTTTATGTACTCGACGATCATGTCAGAGTCCAATATTCCTAAATGCATATGCAAATTCATTCGTAATTGGTTTTAATAGGAAAAAATTAAATTGTTTGTGTGTATGTACCTTGTAAGTGATGACTTAGTGCATTCTCCTTTATGATTGCGAACCCATCTCCACCCGTGGCAATATAGGAGGGGACCGCAACTTTGTAAATGGTATCGTCATCCAGGGGAACGTACTTTGGTACGCGACATTCTTTACATCGGACCAACAATTTCTTAACCCTTTTTCCATTTGGTTGAGTAATATCGTAAACGACTCTCATGCCTGCAAACGATTAAGAATTGATTTATCAAAACAAGGTTAAGAAATATAAATGAGGATTTTAAGGCTGTTTTACATAGATATGTACAAATGCATATAAATCATACCAGAAACCTGTAAAAATTTCCCAGCCAAGTGAAACCCTTTTGGGTCGTAGTCTTGCACGGAAAACTCGAAAGCTTCTCTTAAATGATTCCCTTGGATTTCAATCAGGTCGATGGTATTGGAAAATGGGAGCACGGTCAGAATGTCGTCCATGCTGATGCTTCCTGATAAATAAAGTTGAATGAATACGTTTTGAAAAACAATTACAATTTTTAACTTGCCATTTTTCGATTCTTCATCAATCGATGCTCGAACACCACCTCCGTTCATGATCGCCATTGTGACATCACTCCAGTACAGGCTGTCCGAAAATTTGAGGTTCTTTAAGAAATTGGTATTTAGTAAAATGAGCTACAATTAATAAATGCAGAAATGAACAAAGTCTGACCACATGGACCATGGCGTCAGTGACAAGATTGGCAAGACTGCATTCTCTCAACCGGCACTCATGTTCCGATCCATTCAAAAAGACGCGTGTTCTTCCTATTTGTTCTTTCACTTTGTCAGACACATTTCTTCCCCAAAGTTCTACCAGTTCTAGGACGGTGGGGTCTGATAACACGTTTTTCAAATTATTTATGAATCGAAGTGAAAATGATTATCATACATACCTTGAGGAACAGATGCATCCATTAAGATTGGGTTTCCACCCCAAGAAACGACTTCCCCTTCCGAATTAAAGTTGACTTGCAGGTAGCCCAAGTATTTCCCGAATGCATAAGCCTATGAAAATCTCAATGTTTTTAAAGTCATTTAAAATTCGACATGCAAAATATGTACCTGCACTACTGGGACACGACGACCACTTGGTTGCTCAACAATGGTTGGATACTCGCCGAGAGGGTTTTCAAGGTCGGGGGCTTTTCCTGATATTTAAAATATAAGGATGAAATCGGGCATATTTTTATGAGTTATTCGTTAATAAGAACAAATTACCCGTATACAAAAACGTATTGGTGTGTCCACCAACGACCACGTCAATTAGTGGGACTTCTTTCGCAATTTTCTGATCCACATCGTACCCAGCGTGCCCCACAGCAATCAACATTGTTATCCCCTCGCTATGCAATCTCTCAGACTCTGCCTTGATTGACGCAACGACATCGTTGAAGATGAGACTTCCAGGATTTGAAATGTCCTAATAAAGTTTGAAATGTCATTCCTAAACTTTTAAATAGTTATCACCCATTTGACGAATATTTTAATATGCAAACCTTCGTTTCTTGTGTTGTGAATCCAATAATGCCCACTTTTCTGCCATCCTCCAACGTTACAACGTGCGATTTCTTATACTTTCCCTGAATCGAGGGCTCTTTAGAATCGTCAATGTTTGAGGATATAAGTGGAAAAGTTGCTGCATCCAAAAAGGGTACGAGTCCTGAAACGTTGTCGTCAAACTCGTGGTTTCCGAATGCCTAAATAGTAAAAACTTTCGGTATGAAAAAATAATGACTCACAATTTCACCCCATTTAAAATTCTTCACCATTGCTGTGTGATTCAAAATGTTGACAAATGTAGATACAACTCTCCACTTGTACAGCGTGTACCACACGGTTCCCTGATAATAATCCCCCCCGGATAAGTACAGCACATTTTTGTGTGATTCCCGAATTTCCTGGACCTGCCAACAGCATTAATTATTCATATCAAAAACATTCCACATGTCTTAATTCTATTTAACAAACTTTGTGATGCAATCTTGCAAATCCTCCATAACATTGGTTATTCCTTTGTTCGCTTTCTGCACATGATCCTCCGTATTTATTCGTCTCACGAAATCTGCTATGAACATCGTTGGTATGCAGTATCGTGACAGTCAACTGATCTGTTGGATTTGGATATGCACAATGCACTAAATTTGCAATCAGCAAGAAAAGTGTCAACGATTTGTTTACTATAATTTGGCACATTTTTGAAACTCAATTAGTTTAAGGCAGTTGAAAACTAGTCAACTCCATCCACTTTTCACACGGTGCAAAACCTTCGCAGTTTTTGGTACATAGACTTTCTTTTGTTGTTTGATTTGATCGACAGCTAGTAAGTTGGAAGGAAATTCCAAGAAATATTTTGCAAACAAAACGCTCACCGACGAGAGATAGCACCAAGTGTTGAAAAACAAACCTCTTCTTAAGAAGAGCACTAATAATAATATCAGCCAATCCAGATTCCAGACCGACGATTTTAATGACGAGTTTAAAATGCAAAGTATGTCATTAAGAGTGTAGCATTTCATGTATGCACGCCAAGTAAAATCAAAGCTTGGGTTTAACGGACAGCAGCTCACCAAATTGCTAAAAGATTACTGAACTGCTTAACTCACTTACCAAAAATCCTCAACCTTTGCAGATTTTGCACAGTCAAAAATAGAATTCGCGATTATACGACGGATAACAATGTCAGATTCGTGAAAACCCTTGAAAGCTTGACTGACAGATTCCGTCTGTCGCATAAATATGCCGACTGTTTTCCATTTATTTCTTCAAAGCTGAGTAGTTCAAATGTATGTATTTCTCGCAGCCGGTGTTGCCGTCAATGTTGCTTATCACATACTCGATAAAGTAGAAAATGTGGATTGCTTGGAAATACGAGATGAGACAGACTGATGACAGATTCTGCCCACTCAAGCTTCACCACATGAAGTACGATTTCGTAATGAGCATCTCTAATTGAGGTGCATACGGTTACCAGTTAGTAAGTGATTATCCGTTTCATTCCATCATTAAGGATGAAATATATAAGAAAATTGAATGAAAGTTCAAGACCTTAACTAGTAACTTGACGATCTATATGCGAAAAGTATGTTATTCAATTCGTCCTGTCGACTACTTTCATAAACGAGTATACAAATTTAACAAATGTACATTGTACTCAATTTTATAGTCAACTATAAATTGACAACCCAATAGATTTATGTAACCAACTAACTGTCGATCGCTAACTACAATGAACAAATAAATAAACAACTTCAGCTACTGAGCCCGAACTAAAGGTGTGATGGTTGCGACATGATGTTAAATCCAATTTAATTTCCATCCGACGCATTTTGCATTTAGCTTTATCTGGATAGGGTTTAAGAGAGGCTTCTATAATATCTATGCTAGTGAATGAATGCAGAGAATAAAGCACACGATGAATTGGAATTGCTGTTTCGTGAGGTGAGGGAATTGTTATTATTAAATGTGAACTTGGATGAGAAGAATGACGTGAGGCAACATGGGATGGATGAGAGAGAGAGAGATGTAATTTTTGATCCATTGTTCTTTTCGATAACTCGATAGGTCGGTCATCATTGATACTCAATTTTGAGACAGGAAAAATATAACTGATATTTTAGGACGGTGTGACACATTTAGCAAAATCCAGGCAAAAATTAAGTGCAGAAATTGGTAGATTTCGCACGATTTTTATGCATTTATTAACTAGATTTTGACTTATTTTCCTAATTTGCATACATGAAAGTAATTAAATTGTTCTGCAAGTAATTACATCGTAAATAAACTAAACATATCGCAATATAAATTAGTTGGCTGGCCGGTTCAATCTACATATTTGTTAAAACATTTTCATCTCATTCCTCCATTAAATAGCGTTAGTTGGACTTCTGTTATTATCAACTGACAATAAAGTAAATTAGTTTTTGCTTTTGGCCAAACCCAAATAAAATTATAAAAAATACATGTTCATGCAAACACAGAATGATGAGGATTACAAGATTTATTCATCCATTCTACTGTCTATCCAGGTATTTATTATGTATGTATGTGCATATGTAAGTAAGTAAATAGGTATTGCGTCCAGCCCACCGTGACCTTGTTGCTGATTAAGCTTGGGAGGTAGTAAATTATTTCGATTTGCATTTCCACCCTTGATTTAATGTTAACTATGTACAAAATTAAAGAAAAGCACAATCCACCACACGACACGCGTTACAAAAGTACACGTGCAATAATGATTATGAGAACCACGGAGAACACAATATAAACATTTTTGCGATTAATACGTACGAAATTGCATGCACAATAAGAAAATTAAACCATCGTTCCCAACATGTCAAACTGTTCTAGTTAGGTTGCATAATAATTTTAGAAGTAATATTATTTATGTATGTTGTAGTCAATTCCACGTTGATTATCTATCAGATTAAACGAGGAGTAAATGTTCGACTTTTGAAAAAAAAGAAGAACTGACAAGACAATAATTCTGTCAAGTTGACAATTGAATGACAACGTTGAGGATGAGTGGTCAACGCTAACGATGACCAAAAATGGTCCGTGTCATATGAAATTGATCGCTTGAAAAAACTTTGATAAATTAAACTTTTGACTTTGTCACGATTACTTAAAATGGCTTCTAGAAAATTAAATCATGTAATAAAACCAATTTTGGAAATCCAAATGTATTTAAAGAATGTATATATAAACATCTCCAAATTTCAAAACGGATGCCCATGCATAAAAAATGCATTTCTTGTCAGATTGATGATTTGACTATACAAATTTCAATTAAGCCATTAAACAATTAACTATAATAAAAGTGGCTAAAATCCGGAATCCTTAAAAAAAACTTGGTAACAAATAGCGTCCGATTCTGATTGAGGAAGTCATGCTGCGAATTTCCAGTAAAGAATGCACATGTATTCAGACAATCGAGTAAAGTGTATAGTGTAGTCCAGATTTTTGGTATGAACACGATGCAGACAGACAACACTATTTGAGAAGAAAAATCTCACAAAATCTCAACCCTTTATGTATCCCCTTCTTCTCTGCATAACGACATGCACAATATACTGCATTATGGCGAAGACAGTAGATCGTAGGCCGTCCTAACTCGTGAATGTGGGGACTATTGCGGGAGATTTTCAGCCAACCCTATTGGAAGTTGGATATGTAATGGACATGACATCACAGCACAACATCCTGGTTCATAATGTCATTCAGGGAGATCTTACCTATCAAGTAAACCATTAAAAATGACTGGATGATCAGGATTTGTATTGTGCAAAAAAAATCGCCACCATCATCATCATCCTGTTCAACTCAAAGTTATTTTTACCCTATAAAATTGGTTGAACGTAAACTAAATCAAATATTAGTTTATGGTTCACTTGGTTTAGTTTCACACACGATTGTTCACACCTGCAAAATTGGAAGAATTATTAAAAATCCGAACATTTATCCATGCAACGCAATTATGGCGTTCGTTAGTTGATACGCATGGATCAAGTTTCCCAAAAATCCTCTGCCCTCATTAAGTGCATCCCTTTCTCCACGTGATTGAGTGGTCATATCCGGGTAGCACGTTTTCGCATTTTTGGAGAAAGTAAATGGCAGACGTTGCTGTTGAGGATGTTACACCGAGTCAAGAAATTAAGATGGCAACGACATCGTCCAAATTGATAATATCCCCACAACCACCACCAGCAGCAATAGCTTCTCGTGATAAGAATGAAGATCCTCCTCCCACCGTGGCGTCAATCCTGCAACAAACAGGCAATGTTCGACCACCAGGGCGAATGAGTGGATCTGGCCCCTATCTGCCTCCACCACCCACGTGCTCGTGTCCTTCCACAGTGAATACGGCTTGTGAAACGGTGAAATATTTCCAATGTCCCGTTTGTCTCGCGAAATTCGACTCGGTCAAAGTGCCCGTGGGGTTGAGATGTTTTCACACCTTGTGCATTTATTGTGTTCGGCTGTTGGTTCCGGGCAGTTGTGGGAATATGAATGCTCTCCCCTCGATCGAATCACTGGATCTGAGCGTGGGGTTGCCAAATGTGGCGTTGCTTTCATACCTTGACCAACCCGTGGAACCATTGTTGTCTGGAAGGATGAGATTGGATGCGGGTAATTATTTTATGAGGATGGATTTTTTTTGGGGAATTTATCAAGTAAAATGTTGATTTTTTAAAATAGATTGTGTCAGAGCTATGTGGAAGTTGGTGGAAATTTTAATTATAACAAAGTCTCACGTAGTTTCGAGAGCGATTCATAGGAAGGTATGTGCATATGCATTTTGTGTAAAAAATGAGATTTTGATTAAAAAATTACATGTTGAATATTCCTGCAGCTAATGAACTTGGTAATGTCTGTCAACCCGAATGGACAAGTTAGAATTTTAAAATCTGCAAAAGCAATTGGAGAAAGGACGCTTGTTGAGTTGACGTCGTCATGTAGCAATCTTAGCCATTATCAAGCTCAGCAGCAGCTTTGGGCTGCCATAAGAGCTCGAGGTGGGTTACATGATTTTTATAGTATTTTAATTGCACTTGTTAATATATCACTAATTAAAATGTGTTAATTCAGCCTGCCAATTTATGGGACCAGCAATGCAAGAAGAAGCTTTAAAATTGGTGTTATTAGCGTTAGAAGATGGATCTGCGCTTAGTCGGAAAGTTTTGGTGATGTTTGTCGTGCAAAGATTGGCTCCGCAATTTCCACAGGTAAATAATTTGCTGAAATAGTTTCACATATTTTGGAAATACTTATTTCGTAAATTAATATTTGCAATTTTGCAGGCGTCAAAAACTTCTGTAGGGCACATTGTCCAACTCTTGTATCGTGCCTCAACCTTCGACGTTATAAAACGACCAGGGAACTCCTCCTTGATGACGCTACGTCCAGAGTATAGAAATTATGAAGGTTATTTATTATTACAATACTGAATTTTAAAATTTTTGATGCATAATAAAATAAATTTATTTTTCCCAAATGAAGCTTTACGAAGGGAACATGATACTCAAATTATGAAAATTGGGCTTGAAGCAGGCATCCGATTTACTCCGGAGCAGTGGAGCAGCCTTTTATACGGTGATACGTCCCACAAACCTCTGATGCAGAGTATTATTGGTAATTTCATAATAAATTAAGTACAATTTGGAACGAATAAGTAATTTTAATGACTTTTTACCCAGATAAACTACAAGCTCCTCAAACGTTTTCCGATCTTCTGAAAGAATTCTTGGTCTGTGCGCAACGGCTGAACGAAGCCGATTCGCAATCATTTTTAGCAATTTATCCACATTTTCAAACTCTGAGTGCTATCGAGGTCCAATCACACAATCATGGTGCAACACGTAACAGTGGTACTTCTGCAGAAAAATCATCTGCTGATGGTAATTATCTTTTTGCACCAAATTAAAGTTATGCACTAATTATTAACGTAACCTAATTTTTTTAGCAGAACAACCAGCCCCACCGCAACCACAATCTAGTTGGAAAGAGGTCGGAAACGCTTTAGAAAGCGTTCGTCTCGTCCTCGGTGGACTAATAACGTTCGAGAAACCTGCCGCAAGACGGAAATTCAGAGAAAATCAAGCAGTTCGAATGATGCAAAGAGTTGCTCTTTAAATAGACCTATGCAAAAATTGAATATGAAAATTATTCCAAAAACTAAGAGTGCTTAGAATTATCTGAAATGAAAATTATGAAAGTTTTATGAATTATGTAGAGGTACTCATACAAATCGATCTTTAATTTTGCAATATGCAAGCAATTTTTATAAGATTAACAGTTTTTGCGATTTATGCAATTTTTGCATATTCCTTTGCACTAATCGATGACACATCATCGTCATTATTACGACAAGATCGGATAAAAAAATCAGTTTTATGGTTTTTATTATACTGTAACAGTACCTATATGTAGTAGTAAAATAATTGTTTTGAATCGAACGTTAATTATTTTGACGTACTTAATAATTTTCCAGTTGTTAATTTTCTTGCTTCTTTTCCCAACGGGTCTGGAAGCAATTATTATTATTATTGGGGAAGAGATTTGTAATCACTCTAATCGTGATAATGTTGTATAATCGACTCGTATTTTAGAGTTGAAGAAAATTATTATGACAATGAAATTAAAGTTTATATGAACATTCGTGGTATTGCATGTGTTTTACTTCATTTCATTCATGACATTGCATTTGTAAATGGATGAAACTTCACTTACTTATCATGTCCGATAAGCCCAATGTTATCATAAAATTGAAATTCTTAGCGAAAATTTTGAAAATTTTGTACCCTGTAAAAGTGGTGAAAGGAAAGCGTGTGTGTGGGCGTGAAAGTCTATATAGCAAAATTTTGAGACAGAGAGCGAGCAAGCCGGTAGGATCAAAAAAGTACGTCAGACCCGTTTATGCTTTCTTTCTTACGAAAACTCACTTCAATTAAAGTTTAATTAAAAAGAGACCTTATTAATTTTTTCCGGGTGGGTTAATTACTGTAATAGAAGATACTTTTGCTACTTATAAATTGTGAGTTTGTTCGCCAAGTAAATTTAAAGTTTAAAATTTCACAAAAAATAGGCAAAATCTTGGCCAAATAAATAATGAAGTGTCAAAAAAATCAATACTCTTAAAAAGTAATCGATATCCGATATTTTGGGTCAATCAACGTTAAAGAAGCTGTGCTGTGAAAGTGTGAGGTAGAAAAGATGGAGAAAGGGGACAGTGAAAAGCCGGAAAACAGCGAGATTGGGAACCCCGTAAGTTTCTATGAAAGACTTAATTAAACCTAGTTAAATTGACAATTAAAGATTATGATTATTTTTCAGGTGTACTGTTCGTACGAGGAGGGCCAGTTCATTTACAAGGACCCAGCCACGTCGAACCAATTCATATGGAGAGAGGAGGAGCAGAAGTGGATTCCCAAGACGGTCATGGGGGGCGCGTCACAGGTCAACTACGACCCAGAGACCCACACGTACAACTACTCCGACAACGACGGCACGACCTTCGAGTGGGACCCAAATAAAGGAGCATGGTTCCCCAAGGTATGAAGTATTTCTTAATTGGCATCATTACCAGCGTAGTTTGTAACAAGTATAAATAAACTAGTGGTGGAAGTTTATTGTGCCTGAAATATAGGCACGGATGGGTAAAGAAAGTAAAAATTGAGTGGCTACTAATGGCTTATGGCGACGATAACCGTAATTACCATAATAATAACAACAAATGGTATCTGTTAAGTTAAATGTTAATGCACCGTTTCGTGGCAGGTCTGGTAATTTGAAGCATTTGATACAGGTATTAGTGTCATGCATGCGCATATTTACTGCAGAGTATACCATTTCTGAAATTAATTCTTTATTATCCTGCACACATCATGGGAAATGAAATGAAAGAGGAAATGATGCTATTCAAGTTTCGGTAGTACTTTGTACAGGACGGGACAAGAAGAACAACGTGAATATATATAATCCAGGACAAGAAAGATAGTAAATTAAAGTGAGTCTAGAATGCGTTTAGTATATAATGTTCCCCCCGTGTCCGACCATAAAATCGTGGGATTCATGGGTAAAATTAATTTTATCCACGTTCTCCCATAAATGTCATCTTCATATTGCTACAATAACCTAACATCACAACACAAGGAAATGTTTTGTCAATGAGTTGCTTTCACTTTCGCCCTAAATTTCTCTCTGGGTTTAATTTCCGTAACAAGACACAACGACTCCAATGATAATTCTATCCTGTTTTTTTTGCTAGTAAATGTGAAATGGTAACCATTTGGTTGGGACATAGACATAATATTTATATATGATCGCCTTTGCTTTCTCTGCTGTGTATAGGGGCTTTGAATTCATGGCCCATTCCTGTCATATAATGGTGAAGAAGTGAGTCTCTCGACGAAATTGGAGAGGGTGAAAGCACGGTTGGAACTCTGACTGCGCAGCCATCCGCATCCCATTTTCTCTACTTTCCCCAGACCACCTAGCAAAAAGCAGGGTATGCTACCCCGGGTTTTTGGGGTATTGGGGTATTGCGGGTTTTGGTGGGTTTTGGGGTAGCAAATTTGAGCAATACCCACGGGTAGTCGGGGTAGTCGGGGTTTTCAAATTTTACAAAATATGATAACAGGGCATTACTAGCAATTCAACAAATTATTTACTTATTAAAATATAATTAATAAGCAGTTTTGTTGCGAAATTACTGAAAAACTGATTTTTTTATTAATTTCTAAACTTAATACATGAGACACTGACTCAGTTTACCCCCAAAACCCCGACTACCCCGACTACCCGCAAAACCCAGGTAAAACCCCGGGGTATGGGTTTTCAATAGCAAAACCCCGGGGTTTTCCTTACCCTGGCAAAAAGTATATGAGTTTCTCCATTGATTTTCCATATCACCAACAGCTCATTTCATTTCGTACAACGTAGTCGTAGTCTTACTATGTTCTGGTTTGTTTAGAGGCTTTGAACACGAATTGCAATCCATTGCCCCGTTCAATATGCGGTGCGGTATTTCGTCTTGCTGACACCACTGACTGACTCATCCTGGGTTGCTTTCTATATGGCTTTCACTTCGTCTTCTTAACATGTTCAAGTTGGTTGGGGAGAATGAAAGGGTGCTTTTTATGCGTTGCAGTATCAGTCGTCTAATATCTGTCCCCTAGGTTGGAGCTTGTCAATTTGACTCTTGAAAGATACGGATTTTTTTAATCCGGGTAAAAAATCCGTCGTCTTCTTGAATCTTTGTTTTGTTTCACAAAAAATTTTAAGTTGTTCCCCCAATATTTATGCAGGTATTGATTTTAAAGAGTAATACAAAAATACGGTTCTTCTCTGTGTGACTCTGATTTGGAATTTTGTTGTTGTGAAACAGGACAAAGATCAAGAGGCGGACGATATAACTACTGGGAACAACGTAAACATTTCACCTTCATCATCTATCGACCCATCAACTCCCCCACCCTCGTCCGGTTTCAATAATCCCAATTATGACAACTCGTTACAAAACAATCAAAATTCTTCAGAAACCAGAAACTCGAGGCGGTTTTTTTACGCTGCGTTAAGTCCGACCGACATGGGAGTTAATGAGCCTGTTCTTTTCCTTTCACCGGATGACCAAGTTAACAACAATTCGACAATTCCACCAGAAGCGGTGGGAGTGGGAGTAGGACTCTCTGCCAACAATGTAATTTCTTCTTCTGCTGCTGCCAACAACTCGACTGCTTCCACAACTTCAAAAATAACGACTGTTGCGTTACCGGCCGGTTGGGAAAAACATGACGATGCAAATGGACCATATTACTGGCACATAAAATCAGGCACGATTCAGAGGGATCCTCCAACGCAGCAGAGTATTTCGAATTCGAATCCTGCCCTTCTTATTCCGGGCAGTTTGCAGCAATCCTCTGTTACACCATTCCGAAGGAGTCAGACCATTTCGAGTCAATTGTCCACTTCTTCCTCTGTAGCTCCGCACAATAATTCCAATAATTCTGGAAATAGTACTAATGTAGCTGAAAAGAGGAAATCCTGGTCTCAATACTTAGAAAATAGTGAACACTCACATTCCTTTAGTAGTCATTCATCACACGTGCCATTAAGTCAGCAAGATCAGAACGACAAGGACGACAAACCATTACGTTTCGTCGCCGTGTCGCTGGGATGCTTGAGGTAAGTTTGTTAAATAATTTACAACGACATCTTACTATGTAATTAAATGACATTTAATTACATTACTCAAGCATTTCGGAGGAAGATTTAACTCCAGAGAGAAGCTCGAGAGGTATGTCTAGTCAATTTTTTAAGGCCATATTGCAATGCTTATCCTTATTAAGTGCTCATTGCTCATTAGCTTACTTTCACCTTCTGTCGATAATAATGAGCATATTCAAAGATTTGCAATCAAATCAAGTTCGATCTTTTTCATTGAAAATATTTTCGGAGGATTCAAGCTAATTTGTAATATTTCTGTTTAACCAAAAATACCCCAATGGCAAGACAGAGTGATAAATACTATTTTTCACAATATTGTTAATTTGCCACTTATAGCGGTGTCGAAAGTCATTGCAGAGCTGACTAATCCAAACTCAAAGATTGGGAGTGCTGGGTATGTTATTGTTGTGCATGTAAATTTCCTTGCATTATATCAAGTTGCTTACCCAGAAGAACGTAATACGTATGTTACATGACCGGAAATATTTAATAACAGGAAGCAACTTGGTGAAATGCGACAAACTTTTGTATATGCATTTTGCTTATTACGCTATAATAAAGTATGTGTATACGTACTTTCTCTAGATTGGAAGTTGCGGGGAAAATATGGGGAGGAGGAAATGAGCTTTTTTTGGTAAGGACGGTTCTTTACTTCCATAATTTTCGTATTCAAAGCAAATTGTAGTTTTTGGGCGAGCCTGACCTTCTGTCACCCAGACACGGAAGCTGTAAAACTCAGTGTTAATTCAGACTCTTGTTCTACTTTTAGAAGACGTATGTATTGGAATTAGACGATTCTCATTTGCGTGTCAAAGTGAAGGAGCGAATTCTTACCGTCTTAGAACAACCCATTCATTCAATACGTAATAACTCAATTTAACAATGATGCTTTTAATTTTATTGGTTCTCTGCTAATCGTTGGGTTCTGTTTGTCAATGACATGTACCACAGGCGTGTGGGGTGTAGGTCGTGAAGTAAGTTATTGTAATACATATATGTATATCTTCGGACCTTTAGTCGTGTATTATTTCCGACTGATGTTTTTACAAACCTATGGTAATCATACAGGATCCAAGAGACTTTGCATTCGTCGCACGAGAAAAACAAACTCGGCAGTTTTTATGCCATGTATTCAGGTCAGTGAAAATGAATGATAATGAACCCAAATTATCCTTTGGTTTCGGAAATTGTGATTGTGATTTCGATGGTTTCACCAGGTTAGAAATGTATGCCAGACCGCTGGCAAATTCACTTCGAGATGCTTGTAAAAAGATGTAAGTCATACATTATTCATATTATTATGTTCATCCAGATCATTTAATGCAGAATTGCATTTTATTGGCAGAATGATCGAAAGACAAGCCAAGCAGAAAAGGCCGACCACGTTGCCAACATCATTAAGGAGTTGTAAAACATCGAGTTCATCCGGCCCAACATTCTTTCCAACGCCGATGGACGAGCCGAGAAAAGTTATCAAGGCTTACTACATGGGGTCCAAAGTTGTTATGAAACCGACCGGAATGGAAACTTTGAATGCCGCTATTGATGCTTTAGGAGGAAAGGAGCCTATTCCGTAATTCATTCTGAATTTATTTTGTTGGTGGTGCTTGATAATTTTGTCTGACTATTCTTCTAAAGCAATGGTTTGTAATTTGGTTCAGTGTTCAAGTCTCTGTTGCTCCATCCGTGATAAAAATAACTTCAGAAGAAAGTGACACTCCAAACGTAAGAAGTTGTCTGTTTCACAAAGTTTTCTGGAAGTAAAGCCATTATATTAGCTCGGATTTTATGTCTTTCAAAGATCGACTTGGAAGTTCGAGTCCGCTTTCTCTCTTTTTTGGGGATCGGGGCGGATGTGAAAACATGCGGAATAATTGTTCACACGGCGAAGGATGATTTTGAGGCTCACTGCTTTTACAGCAACCCATCCACTGGTGCGCTGTGTAAGGCCGTTGAGGCAGCGTGTGTTCTGCGCTATCAGAAATGCTTGGATGCACATCATGCTCCAGCAGGTTGACGAATAATATAATAATAAATTTATATTGTAATCCATTTTTACAGTGGTTAATAATGTTAACGACGAATGGTGATTTTAGGGGCAGGTCAATCAGGCCATTCCTCTGGGGGTTCAACAGCTTCAATCACATCCCCAAAAACTACTGCAGCTAATCTTGCTTCTGCTCTCAAAACGGTTTTTGCATCTTTTGGAAAGGCGAAAAGTGAAGAGAAATGAATAAGTGATGGGAAACAATGCATATTCATATTATTACCTGTCGTCGTTATTATTAGGATTAGTTATACCCTTAGATGAATAGAACTGCATTCGATATGTAAGGAAATGGATATTAGCCACAATAATCGCATGACATTGATATACTTGTTACTTACATACATACACATAATAGACTGTTATTTGCCATTTTACTTTATTCGCGCAACGCTGGTATACGTATGTACGTGTCGTCGCCATAAGCCATAATAGCCATATCTGATCTACGTCAAACAACATCCTTATATATATTTTACTTATTAGTTACAAACTACGTATTACAAATAGATCTGATTTATGGTCTCGTCTGATATATATTTTACTATAACCGTAACCTTTCCAATTTACCATTGTTAAAGCTGGATGAAGAATTTTTGGCAAGATACAATATAAACTACGGAACCCCTTACGTCCCTCCACCTCCCAAAGAAGAAAAGCCACCAGCACAAGATTCAGATCAGCAACAAAATGAGAAGCAAAGTCTTGGGAAGAGAAAGCTGCCTGCCCAACCGCCTGCTTGGTTTGATATTGACGAGACCCAAAATACTAAGGTTAGTGATAAACTCAAATTTTATTATTTATACAAAAACTCTATTATTATAATATATTTGGCACCATAAATCTAGGTTTATGTGTCCAATCTACCTACGGACATTACGGAAGAAGAGTTTCTCGAGTTTATGGGAAAATGCGGTCTCGTTATGAAGGATCCAACCACGTCCAAGTATAAGATCAAATTGTATGAAAAGAATGGCTGTCTAAAAGGGGATGCGCTCTGCTCTTACATAAAGGCAAGTTTTTTATTTCGCTCCTTAGTTTTTGAAGTTTTTTTTCTTTGTTGGTATGATGGCGAGTACATAATAGTAAAATTTAATTCATCCTTTCGCATTTTTTTCCTAGGTCGATTCTGTTGACCTCGCTCTGCAAATCTTGGATGGATCATACATCCGGTCCAACCAAGTGAAAGTTGAGCGTGCAAAGTTCACTTTGAAAGGAGAATTCGACCCGACTAAGAAGCCCAAACAAAAGAAGAGAAAGGAGAAAGAAAAGCTTAAGAAAAAACAGGAAGCATTATTTGCCTGGAAGCCTGAAAAATTACGGGGTGAAAGACCAAAGTGTGAGAAGGTGGTAGTAGTAAAGAATGCTTTTCAACCTCAAGAATTCAACAACAATGTCGAGCTGATCCTCGAACTTAAGGAAGATTTCAGGGATGAAGCGGGTAAATTAGGGAATTGCAGAAGAGTCGAAATTTATGATGTGAGTCAAGGTCTATATGTGCATTGTTTACAAATATCCACCGTGTTACTTATTTTATATATTTCCTCACTAGGCTCATCCAGAAGGCGTGGTGCAGATTTTCATGTCCGGGCACGAAGAGGCGGATGCAGTCGTGGCAAACTTTAATGGAAGGTTCTTTGGGGGGAAACGTCTCACTGCGGAGTTATACGATGGTGTCACGCGATTTAAGATCAATGAGACTGATGCAGAACGAGACCAGAGACTGGCTCAGTGGGAAAAGTTTATAAGTGAGGATGATCCAGCACCCAAAAATTCGGAACAAGCAGGCGGAAATAATGATCCCGCAGAGGCAGTTACTCCACCACGGGAGGATAACGACGATGATGATAATGATTCCGAATGAATTTGTTACTTAATTTTTATAGATACTTACTTTCTCAAAATTATCACTTGTGTTCTACTCACCTGCGTCATGAATATTCTTCATGACATAATATGTCACTTGTTAAATTATTAATGTGATGACATTATTCAATAAATAGAATCTTACAATTTAACGTAACATTTACTTGTTTCGAAATTTTTCATATTTATTTTCTGTTTTGTTGATTGTTAGAACTTTGTCAACAATTTTATAGTTTTTCAAGTCATTAAAAATAAACTCGTGGCTTGAGTAAATAATAATAAAATGAGCTCATATTTACGATCTATTTAAGACATAATTAAATGACTCAAAATTTGTTCAATAATTTGATAACATGGTCCGTAATTAGTAGGACGTCATAATTATACAGCAGTAGTAGTACAAAATACTAATGAGCTCATGCATACTATAAATAAATCAAATAATAACATCTTTTCTTAATAAATCAAGTCAGTGGTATGTTTCAGAACCGGTTTGATTTTCAGTTATATAAATTTTGTGAAAATTATCAATTACAAATGCATTTTGTTTTGACATTTGGAGAGGTAGGCGATGATTTAAAGCTAGACGAGGAGGTGTGGTTGGCAGGTAAGTAAGTATGTTGGGTAGGGTAGGCGCTTTTGCATCTACATATGTATCTCTTGTTAAGGCATTGACATTGACTTGTTTTGAACAACAGTGGTGAATTATAAACGAAAATGTTGTGGTACTACTTCCACTACTGGGACAATATTATTATTAGTAATAAAAACTAAAAGTGTTTTGAACAACCAGCGTCAATTGCACCCCAAGTGACCACCATCTCTTACGTTTTAACACGTATATATAAACTACTTAATAGCGAATACCAGTAATGGTCATCTTTTCTCGTAATCAATTATTTATTAGTGTTGTTGCCACGCTAGGACTCTTTGAATAAAGGAAACTATTGCGTTCGCTGGCTGACCTGGTTCAAATTCTGCGAGTAGGATGACTGAGTTTTCCATGGCTCGTGGTGCGCGAGCTACGATTCCAAACACTTGTTTGACTTCTCGACCGTAAGCTACACTCCGTCCGGCGACGACGGATGCGTATAAAATCTCATTTAGGGCAAAGTGGATCCGGAAAAACCTGAAGGAAAATAGCGTTGTTCAATCTCGTATTTCATTGATCTCTGCCCCACATATTTGCATACGCATGACGAACTAGGTACTACTATTTACCTTTGACGGAAGACATCCGTCAGTGTCAACCCACTTCTGCTTAAACGTAGCGATATGGGAACTGGAGATGATGCAGTTATCTCACTCACTCCTTTGGAAATTGCCTCTTCTCCTGAAATAATATTTAATATTATTAAATAAATTAAATATTAAATAAATTAAACATTAAATGTTAATAAATAATATGTTATTTGTTTACCTGAGAGACATTCCACACCTACCATTCCGAGAAAGAGTAATTGACAAGCAGCGCCTTGACGAAGCAAATGCGCAGTCTGAACGAATTGCATAAATAAAGATGAAAAGATCAGTTAAAAATTCGTTGCAAAAGTTTTGCATATTATCATTCGACTTACTTTTGACTGGCTTTGTGATGACGGTAGGATATCGTACGAAGGCAGGGTTAGCGTCGTGGGTAGTGCTAAGCATTCTATCGAATGAGCATATACAAGTGCAGAGAGGGATCCTGTAAATAAATGCGCAAATTAGTTTATAAAACTGGATGGAATTTATTTATAAAAAAAACTTACCAAATACTGGCTCTAATGTTCCACAACCACGCAATCTGCAACCGAATCGGGTCGGTTCAATGAGAAAGTGGCGAATTCCTTTCTCTCCGGTGTTGTCAGCTTTTACGGCGAGACCATACGCGCCAGGAAAACTGTTTGAGTTTCGAACTGAAAAAATAAAAAAACTGTTGACCAATATGCATGGACACTTAGCGATCAGAAGTTTGCGGAATTGAGGAATTGGACATTGCTTTTCCTGGTCGACCAGCAGATGTCCACGTTATCGCTGATGTCGACAGTGATGATTCTAACTCAGAGTCCGACGAAGAGTAATGTTAAACTCTAGTTACATAAAAATGCTCAAAAAAGAAAGAATAAAGCGTAACAAATTTATGTTTCGAATATTATAAAAACTAAGTTGTATAAATGGCTAAAAGTTGTGTAAAGGGCTAACCACAAAAAGAACCGATGGGTGATTGTATTAATGCTGAGACGGTCTAAGGAAAAGTTTGCAATTGGTAATTTCTCATGAAATCGCTAAAATTTAATACGTAAATAACATTTGACTATGTACGTACTTCTTCTCGCGCTGCGATGGGTTTGTACCAATATTCACTCAGGTCTTGGGCGAATTTCACTTCAGAGTCGACCATGAAAATGGGTCTGGGATTGACGGGCGTTTGTGCCCGTTCCATTCGGGATGATGATGAAGGCATCATATCGACAGAAATCGGACTACTATAAAAAGTGGAGCAAAGAGTTAGTAAACAATTGTGCATTATATTCATAATAAAACAAGAAGAGAAAGGGAGAACTTATTTTTAGGGAAATTACATTGGTGCACTCGACCCTCCCTGGTAACGACGTATTGCTTTTGGACTTCGTGGGGGTTTTCCTGGTGGAGAAATTGGTCGATTCGAATAGGGAGTTGGTGGACATGTAGGAAAGGGTCCTTCTACATTGCTTTGTTGACTAGGAGCTCGTGACGAAGAGGAAGTGTTATACCCTCCAGTTCTGTCATAAGTCGATTCTGAGTAATGCCTCTGTACTTTTTTGCCTCGTTGGAATATGTCGAGTTCGACGTCATCGTCGTCATCGGAAGAGTACGCGACAACTTGTCCTCGACCACGACCGGGACCGGAGGGTGTGGAAAACGTGGAAGACGACGCTTGTTGCTGGTGTGAACTCGCTTCTACTCTGGACGAGGAGGAAAGCTGTGAAGGGCGAAATTCTTGAATGATCGGTATCGGCGTGGCTTGTTGACTACTTCGACTGTAATCTGTTTGTGACTGAGATCTCTCAACTTGCTGTGTGTTTTGTGGTAAGGCTCGTTTTAGTTCCGCCAGCCAATCATTCCGCCTAAATATGGAGATCACTCATTTAAAATTGGATGGAATATTGTGACATTTTCTACTAAAGAAAGTCGTTATACTTACACAACATGCTTAGATGCCTTCTTCTCCCTTAATTTCCTTTGCTGCCGAGCCAGCCATTCATCCGCGTTCTCATCTCCCCCACGTTCAAAGTCCCGTCTCCCATCTGCACATTTGGTGTAAATGTAGTTTTGAACATATTGAGGAATAAAGGACCATCTCACCTGCAGATTGTGATCTGTTCCTCCGAACACCATTTCCATTTCCTGTCCCACCACCACCACCATAATTGAAACTATTTGAAGAAGACATACTCGCAACCATTTGACTGCTAGATGGTTGACTCCTTCCATAATTTGGATAAGATGGTTGATGCGATATAGAACGCGACAACCCCGTCGACATCGGTACGGACGCTAGTGGTTGGGGGGCATGTATATCACTCTCATATCGACCACCCCTGCTGGCGGAGGAATAGTAGTCATTTCTCGAGGAGGGTGTGGGTGTCGCGTACAATGGAGATGGAGACGATACCGAGTAGTGATTGATGTGACGACCACTGTCGACTGCGGCGGTGGGAGTCGAAGTAGAATACGATCTCTGTTGTTGACTTTGATTGTAGATTTTCTCACTTTGCAACGTTATGGATTGGGGGGACGTGTAGGAAAAGGGAAGCGAGTCCTGTCTCGCATGGTACGGGATGTTGGAAGTGGTCTCGTTGTGATGATGATTGTGTCGGTGATTGGGAGCATCGATTGAATCTGCTTCCTCCACCAGGGCACTGATCAACTGATCTAAATCTTTCATTTGATTGACCTATTTAAAAAATTAGGAAAAAAACTATTACTCAAGCGCATTTTCATTTTTTTTTTTTACTGTACACAATATTTACTCGTATTTACTTGTCTAGACTTTCGTAATTACAAGTCTACCAATTTATTGGTTTCACTCTAAAATCTGCTTTCACTTTTTTCTGCATTCACCGAGTTCAGAAGTTCGACTAGAGAAGGAGATGTTATGAATCGTGCCCACAACTATTAACTGACTGACTACAACACTACTTTGTTGCTTCTCTCACAATCTTAAGATTAAAATGAGATTTTTTTTATCCCACTGTGTTGACTAACTTGGCACGTAACCCGGATTTAGCTTTTTTACTTGATGATACACTCGTGAAAAATAGCACAGAATAACAATAACACTGGATGAAATGAAACTTTAGCATTTAATTCTTCGATTCATTTATAATCTTGGACGTAAACTACTTTTTTCCTAGTGCACACGGACTCCAACAAACACAAAGTGTGAAACCGGAAGAAGCGAAGGTTTGAGGAAGACGAGACGACGATCTACTTCCGAACTCTTTTCATCTCAAAGGAAAACTGAAATAAGATTGAGATTGAAGGCTTCAACTCGACTTTTATTTTTTGCCAACACTAACAACAACCACCCGAATGTTAATACTAACAAGATTTCCATGTAGGATTGGTAGTGCCTAACGTTAAACTCTCTTTAGAAAAGACTCGTCTTCTATTTGTATGTATGACATGGCAAGTGAAAGATAGGGAGGAAGGAGAAGCAGGATTCGTTAGCTATAAAATTTTTCCTCTTTCCGTGTCATTTCATTCTCATTCAACGTCTCCGTAAAAGAAAGACAGACGGGCAGACGTTTCGACTATACCGTCAAATATTGACATCAATCCAACCCCAACCAGCTAACATCCATCGGGAAAGAAGAACCATCCAACCAAAACCTAAAAGAACTTTGGACCAAACGGAAGAACCAAACGGAAGAAGGAGAAGAAAAGAAGGGTGCATTAATTTCAATCAGAACATCATATAACTACCACCCGGTTATATTCATGTATACATAATTTCGGCTCCTTGGCTTGGCCAAAATAAAATAAACCCCTCTGGAGGTGCCTAAATAGTAGCTCATAATATTTACCCTACACACGTTCTCCCCAGAGGGATTATTCCGAAACGTAAGCCAAGTTACAACTCGGAAATTGTTGGTAGAAAAAAAACACTGACATTTTTCAGATAAGGTAGAGATTGGTTTAACTAATGAAGACATAGAGTTTCAGGTTGGGATAGAAAATCAACGCCGGAACTCAACCACTGCAAAGTGAGTTGTCTGTCTCGCATCTCATGTCAATACTTTGTTAACAAAATTACCAGCTTTTCCTATACAATTTACTTGAAGAAGATGATTTGATATTATTAAATACGTGCTATACACAAAGTCTCACTTGAACATATACGTTCCATTGGTTAAAACGACTGCACTCTCGAACTCTCGACCCGTGTTTCGTTAAGATATGTCATAGGAATCTCTTGAAATTGAGACATTACTGAGAATGTTGCCAGCAGCAGAGTTTTCTCGCTGTGTGGTTGCTATATAATGGCTGGGTTGTTGGCGTATCGCTATTTTTACTCGCCTATATCTAAAGTAAATGCTAAAATGTCTCGTTATGAAAAGATTTTGAGATTTCCGGAAATGCTGGAGAATGATTACGACAAAAAATCTGAGACATCATCATTGGTTAAATAAAGAGAGGACATGCGGTAAAAATTTTACGGGTTAGCCCGTAAATAAAACCCACGTAAACATTTATGCGTACAAACGAATCATTCTCGAGTCAGAAATATTAACTACTTTTCGCACTATAGGTAAAGTATACTTTCAGTTTCCTTTGGTAATTACGCGCATTTTAAGTTGGATACAACTCCAACTTTTGAAAGTCAATGAACTGTTCTGTTCTTGTGTTTGGGTGTATTTATGTAGCGTACTAAAAATGCATCTCTATCATCATTGGATGCAATATTAATGTTAACATGCAAATATTTATTCCTAATACTAACAAATAAATCTATTCGCTCACAATCCCATTACAAATCTGTCTATCCGCCCATCAGATGCTGAACGTTCACCTACTTTACGGTTTCATGAATAAACAATGAAACCTCATTCATATGACTTTAAACAGAGGTCCAATACCAACCCCAATCTTATGTATATCCTTTCTTAATAGTTTATTTTAGCTTCACGAAAAAATAACTCGGTCTGTTTAAATAACCTCCAAACATGATCTCCAAAATTATTTATCTTTCAAAAATGTGGGCCAGTTATCCGGAGTTATTTCGTACTTACATACATATGTGCAGATTATTTCAAGATGTGCAAAAATTCCTATGAAAAACAATCCATAGAAAAGAAAATCTGAACACTTACACCCAAGGAGAATCCGGAATCTGGGAAAGGCTTCTGTTTCACGAGAGGAGTTATGACTGCATAAGGGGATCCGTCAATGGGTCCTAAAATAACATTTTGATCTTGATTTTTTGCAAAATAGCGTATTTTTGAATGAGAATTATGAATAATTAGTTTATTACCGTCGACGTGAAGTAATCGCTTCTTTTTAATGACAAATGTCCTATTTCCTTGACCAGATGACGACGACCCTTGTTCTGCTGGACCACTAATAAGATTTTTACTTTTTGCTAAATGATTTTCCGGAAGAATGGTCTCCTCTTGTGGTCTCGAGGTTGAATCTTGCTCGTCCTCGTCTTCGTCTAAAAGGCCAGCACAACCAGAATCTGGTAATATACAATGGACATATACAATGGAATTTCCTTATCTTAGTGATAGTTCTGCGACCTCCATCTTAATGCAAAGAGTAGCGGACATGCAATCTGAGCTAAAAAGATTGTTGGATCTTTTGGTGGACCGAGAAATGATAAATAGTGCGAGTGAGATCGAAATTGACGATAATGGTATTTGTCCTCGACCTCAGGGTGAAGAGTGTGATTTGTGTGCATATACTTATAAAAAACGTATCATCATCAATCGTGCAGACATCACTAAATCAATAATTCGTGATAAGGTTCTAACGTGTCACAGTTTTAAGGAAGGTATCTACGCACATATAGATGTGAAATCTGAGTGTCCTAAGAGAGGGGTGGTGTACTTTGGGACAGCTAAAAATGTAGAGAATAGAAATTACGGGCACAGGAAAGTTATCGAAAATGATAGTGGGGAAGTAAAACCTGTGTACAAACACTTCATTAATCACTATCACTATAAACAAAAAGATGACGATAAAGACGATGAAAATTGTGACTCGGATAATGCTTATATGCAAGTGGAGGATAAGTCAAGTAATTTTGATATGACAAATATATATGGATCATTATTTATGCAAACATTTATTTTTATGTTTAATATGCAGAATCTTATGTCGAAGAAGAATCAGAAGATAGTCAGAGTCCGACAGATAACCTTAGGAATTGGCGAGTTGCATTTATAGAGGAGGTCAACCAAGTGACTCGACCCGATGGAGAATTACTGAAAGGAGAGAAAGCTAGACTTTGTGAGTATCACATTCCATTATATCCAAAATGTTATTACATAACTTTATATATAGATGTTGAAAACCAGTATATGTACAATTTTTCAACTCGGGGACGATTTGGATTTAACATAAGTAAGTCCAGAGCTGCAGATGAGAAATCTGAATCTATTACACCTTCAAAAAAACCGAGATTAATCCAATCTCCTTCATCATCTATGGCTTTTTACGACAGAAAAACAACCGAACGTCATCCAAAGTGAATATATGATATGCTCATTCTAATTCCATATTATTTATGTGCTCATTACTGTTTAATATTTTATAGAGAACGACCTGTGTCGGAATATTTACTGGCAGCACTCGCCATTCGACATTACACATCAGTCAGAGACAACCCACCTCGTAATGATCAAGAAGCTACCTCGGCTGAAATTTCGACGTTCCTGAACTACTATTTTGTTGAAGATGTAATAAGGACAGACACCATAATTAGTTACATTCGAAGCAATGTTGACCCTGCAGTAGATCCCACAAAACAACGTTATGTAAAAACCTATTGGTTCAAAGGTGTAAAGCATGACGACCAAGCTAAGCACAAATGGGTATTTTCCTTCAATTCAGATCCATTACCAGAAGGAGAGGAAACCATTGATGAAGCGATAAAGACTGACACAGAGAGTGGAAATTTAGCAAAAATGCTCAAAGACCCTACTAATTTAGATAAACTTTGTTCTGGGTCTCTATCTTTACCAAAAGTAGGCAGAGTCAGTCGGTTTTAATCTGTATTTTTACTTGTATACAAATGAAATAAAATTTGCTTTACCTAACTCGGAAGCGGAGGACGATAATAGTCTCGCTTCGATCTCTGTTCCGACTTCTACTGCAGCTAGCACTTCTACAACATAACATTTAACCAAGGAAAAATAAAATCAGCTTCAGCCCACACAAACAACTTAAAGTACGAGAGAGGAGTTCGTATTCCATATATTCTCCTCTTATTCTTAACATAATGTTCCGTGTCAATTCAAGAAAGTGAGTATATGAAAAAACTTTTGCTAGCGCATGCCAATCCCAATAGTGGAAAGCTTGTAGATAGGAAAAAATAGAGGATTTTAGTAGAAGAGAGAAGATGCAATCCTGTGATGTTGTGATCATGCATCTTGTTAAATGTAGAGTATAACGCAAAAAAATCCACGTGTGTGCAAAGTTTTCGTATGAATGTTCCTTCCTTGTTGTGTTTCTCGAGTGTGTAGATGAACAATAATATGTTGCATTCTACATTACGTAACAGCTCCTCGGTGTATTTTGAAGTCCTATTTACTAGTAACAACTTGCTTGAATATGCAGATGTGGACGTGAATTGCGACCGAAACGTGCTCACCATCGTCGTGGCCCCCCTTTGTTATTTTAGCCAAGTGCAGTGAGACAAAACAAAAACCTTTCTCCATACACGACACTAATTGCACCTTGTAAAAACATACCGTTTACTTGTTTCCTTACCCTTGGCGAGGAAGACAAATGAGAAAACCAATACAGACGGAAGAGTTGTGTGTCATATGTGAAGAACAACAATGAATGATTCTTGTGAGAAGTCTAAAAATGAACTGAAATGAAAATGCGTATGTCTCACGCCTAAATTATAGGACGGATCATACTGGGTTAGAAAACCTTCGAGAGTTGAACTTGAATGTACAAATTGGACAGTATATCGTCGTCGTCATAATGTGGATTATAAATCAAAGGGAGTAGTCAGACAGCCAGACAAGAGTGAGACGATGTTGATTTTGAATTTGGTTTGGTTATGTAGGATGACAATAATGGCATTACATCCCCCACCTTGAAATGAATAGATATGCTTATAAAATCACGACGAGGGATGAGACAGTGGGCCGTTTGTTTATGATACGTGAAATTGAGAACGACTTAACAAATCTTGCTTTTTTGGCGTGTGTGCTAAAATTGATTATGTGCACTGACCTGAAGACGGGGGGCCAAACTTTTTGAGAAATGATTGTAAATTGTTCCAAGTTATAAGTGTTTCCATCATCTTGAAAGATTTGGTTGTCAGAAAAAATAAGGAATGATATAACTGCACGAGATGTTTAAGTGGCACTGACACTTTCACACAACTATGGTTGCATCATTGTCTCGGAGTTGGTGGGGTTGGTTGATATTGAATTAATTGTATAAAGGAAGACCACAACACTGGATTTGATTGGTCTGGTATGTAAGTGGAGACTGCATTGTTCGAGTTTGTCTAAACAAAGTGTGTGGTGGTGTGATTTAGTAGGATGAATGAAGTTATGAAGAAGTATGAATGCATTAATTTAGGGTGGTGTTCGCTAATGGCTTGAATATTATGGTTGCTGATTTAACACAAACTGGTGTGACCATATCACATGAAAGTGTTAGTGAAGCATTAATTTATATTTTGGCTTTTCAATAAGTACCGCATGTCAGCAATTATAAGTATGGTTTTAAAATGTCAATTATCAAAAGTTAAACAAGTGAACTGGTTTAAAAGGGGAACTCTATAAACAATTGAAATTAAGCCACACACACAAAATAAAGCCACGTCTAGAATTACACAAACTAAGCAATCAAGTTCATTAAGCACATTTACAAATTAAAGTGTCACATTAAACTTACCAGAACCAGGCGTGATTGTGATTTCCGGTGTCTTGCTCTCGGATCGAGTCGTCTCAATTGACACGGTTCCCTGAGTAAGCGAAACAAAAAATTGATGTTGGACTTTTTTAGGAAATATTTTTTTCCCTTAAATTAAAACGTGTTGAAATCACTCAGAAACTTGAGAATTATCCAGCTTAATGTATAACAACACTTTTCATGAAAAAAAATAAAAGAAAAATTCCTTCCTTTCACATTCAATCAAATTGTCAACTACTCCACGATTTCACACCCACTCCAGTCTAAATCTAAATTGGATAGAAATATGTACAGACTTTTGCATCGAAGTGTGGCAAATTATTTTCAAGAGGCACTTATTTACACCACTCGTCCAGTTAAATTTATGTAAGTATTTAACCAACCACAACAAATTTTGTTTAAAAAATTCATTCACACAAAATGAATTTAAGAGATGAGATGAGATTACGTATCCCATTTTTTAGTACGATCTATACGATTATCCAACTAAGCAAAATCTAATCTGATGTTGAAGCGTGTCATCACGGCATGTAGTGAACAACGAATCTGATTGTCATGTCATGTACCATTAATAAATTACCCGTCAAGTCAAATTTATCCACCTCATCTTCATTCATTCAGCTCAATTAAGTTATAATAGGAAGGTGAGGAATTACTGCCGCCTCCTCTATTATTATTTTGCATAGGGCAATAAATAAATGTGTAAAACAAAGACGAACCGTCATCATCATGATTTTTTTTCCTGTGTGCTTCTCTCCTAATTAGAAAGTGACACACCCACACAAATACGCCCAATCAAAACGGAAAATGAAGTCAATTCACGAAATTAAATCTAATTTCAAAAACAGCCAAACCCAATTCTATCTACACTTATTTACTTCACTTCATTTCCACTAATTAATTGCTCCATCATGCAATGCAGCAAATTCAAGTTTATGCATATGTGTGTGTGTGTAACTGGGTTTGTAAACTATGTAAATACAGTCATGAAAAAATAAATGATGTCATTTCACTAAATCAGTGCAAACGAATACTATTTTCTATCCTCACTTAACTGAACCATGTGCTATAATAATAATCTTAAAGCTAGTTTTAAATACGCAATTAAAAGTTTACTTTAATGGTTTGACTAGTTTTAGTTGCACCACGGAGGTGATCTCTTGTACTGCTGGATTGAACCTTTCCTCCTGCTCCTGGCCGTGATAATGGCTTATCCTCTACATGGTCACACTTATCAATATCAGCTCCATGATGAGCAGCCGTCGTTCTCGTGGGCTTCCAAACTCCTGTTTTTTTGTTAAACCCATACTGATCAAGGTTGAGCTGAGCGATGGCATTTTCAACGTCGGAAAAGTCATTCTCGTCAAATATTAATTTGGCCGTGTCACAAAATCGATCTTTTATAACTTTTTTTTCATCACTCATCATTTTCACCACGTTGGTGGATAGTCTTAATAGTAGGCGAGGAGTGGGTTATCATATCACATATCAGGGAACAATTTCGAATATTTGATCCATTTTTATCTTGTAGAGCCCAAAATTTCATTAGAATTTGGACCTCTTTACATAATAAATAGGCAACAGAAGCTGATCCGTATTGTTATCATTGTTTGGCCACAGAACTTTAATGGTATTTACAGTTTCAGCAGAATATCACAAAGATTGATCGTATTGCATTACAGCCACGATTTCGGAATACTTATTTATCAAATCCCATGTATTTTTTATCGTCCATCATCACATCACTCACTGACACGACACGAGTGAAATGGAATGGTGATTGAAGCACTTTTCAGAATTTTGAGATAACACTCTCCTCTCATACTTATCTTATCTCAGCTCTGTTTGTTTGGTGTGTAGTACATAATAATAATTACACATTCGACAAGGCGACATTATTAGTAAATGCTACACTAAACTTGCACACGTTCAGCAGAACGAGATATCTGCATTTACGACCAAGTCAACTAACCGGCATCACGTACGTAACGTAACTAAAAGTTCTACCGATTGGGTTCCGGTTACATTGAGCGTAGAAAAAAATCAGGCCAAACCTGCACTTTATTATCCCCTGGTTCTCATTCATGACGGTTTACTTTTCCAGTTACAAAAGTTTACATTTCGCTTAATGAGCCGGTGGCAATGAGTCAGAAATTCCACGCTTTAATTTCACTTAGGAATGTTTATAAATAAAGATTTCTCAAGTTTAACCAAACAAAAGTGAGTGAGTGCCTAAATGGGGTTCACTTTTATAATAACAATTCTTGAAACGACGCTAAATTAAATCTTCGTGACTTGACCAGAAGGTTTTACTGCGAAATAAAAATATGTACAAGACGGTTCACTATGTAGACAAACACACACGACCCGTTGTTGTCCCAGCACCACGCGCAAACATCGATTAACCCAACTCGATAACTGAATTAAAGGACGAGTTTAAAATCAGCATCACGAAATTGAATCGAAAAGTCTAAACGAGCAATGGGTGGTATTCATTCCGCGTAAATAACGAGATTGCTCTATTCAATTCACAGTCAGAGCGAGAGATATAGAAAATAAATTTTATAGGCACGATCTTGGCGATTACACGATTTTCAGAGATTTGTACGACAACATATAGCGAACAAAAAACACGTTACTTAAGTTGAATTATTCTTATTGCTTTTATGCCTCGCGTTATTTAACTCTGTTAATTTGTCTTCTTTGCAATTTCACTGATTTCTTTTAAGAGATAATCGAAATCAGATGTTTGCAGATGGTACGTACGTACGTAAGGCAAAAACACAATCATCTTCAACCCTCTCCTTTCCTTTACTGATACGGTTCAGGATAAATTGGATTTACCAACAACTTAAGTATCTAGTAGTAGAAGAAGTAGTAACTCCCATGTAACGCTCAACTTGCATGTAAAGAGATGCGATAGGTTGCATGGAATGGATTTCTTCCTTCGTGTAATAATACCTTGTCCCGTGGTGAATTGTGAATGGGAGAGATCATCACATGCACTTTTTATGCTGCTGTTATACCTCAGTTATTACACCACCAACTTTAACGTGCTAACTTACATACCGTGAGTAAGTTGCACTTGCATGCTATTTATTTACTAGTATTGTAGTCGACCAAGGCCATAATCTGCCTCCTTTCCCTCACGTAATAATATTTGTTTCCGTATTGTTGTTTCATGTAAAATTCGTGGGTGGGTGTGTACACAGGACGAACTTGTTCTTAAGAAATTTTATAACTCACTCCTGCCTTTATAACTTCTTACGTATGTAAAATATTTATGTAAATGACAAACTTTATTTCACCTTTTTAGCTCAGATCACAACATTTTCATTACAACTGAACCAAAAACAACTTAAAACACGAAACCACCCTAAAATAAAAAAGACCTGTGATATGGATATCCTAAATCTCACCCTGCTACATAAACGCCGAGTCAACCAAGTGTACCAAACTATAAAAAAATATGGTAGAGCTATAACAGGCTTCACGGAATTCCAGCTCTATAGTGAGTACCTCTGCTCTTCTGCTTTTTTACCATGAATGATTTCCTCCGCCGACGCTGTTAAAGTAGATGAACCTTTACAGAATTGTATGTATTTAGCAGCAAGTAAGTTAATGCAAATGGTATTTAGTTACAAACTAAACTAAACTAGACCACTATTCGTTCAGGTTTAATAACTCCTTCTTTTTCCATACCACTAGCCAAATATGCATGCACCATCAATAGTTAGTCCTGCATGCTGTCTATATTAGATTAGATTCATAAAATGCAGAGCAGAATATTTTTGTATCAAGTTTACCAGAACAGACAGACGTCCATAGTAATAAATAATATGTGTGTATCTCCACCTCCACCTTGGCTAGTTTGGTTTTCAATATTCATATTCCGTTTGCCACTTTGGCCACGATTTTCATCTCGTTAGCATTAGAAAAACTCTCCACAAAGTCTGGCCATTTAGATGCATATGCATCCCACACAATTACCACTAACTGTTTGAAGGTAGTTAACTCACTACTGCTAAAAGTTTGCGGGTTGAGCACCACCTCAAAGAAAACTTTCATCCTTTTCCAATAGTCGTATCGCGGAATGGAAATGGCATCATGACTTTTACGGCATTACTGACAGAATCAAATTTCATATGGCTCCTCTCTTTAAGCCCGTATGTACAGTTTGGTCAATAGTTGGAGATGATGATGGTAAAAGACAGCAAGGTGTAGGTTAAGAAGACGATGATGAAAAAATTGCTATAAAACCAAACCACTGTTACATTATATGCAGAGAGGGTATGTAGTGTCTGTATAACAGATTATTATGCCCACTTCTTGAAGAGCTGGTTCAGCAGACCCTTTTTACATGAGGAGGACGAATTCGAAATTCAAATTCTCATCCTTCTACACCACACAGTTGTTCCATCTCATCATGAATGATTTCGTCGTCGTCGTCGTATTTTTCACATCATGAAGGGAAGATGTTGCTGTGGCAGAGTGGATGGAATTGTAATTATGAAATGTGTCTTGTTTCGTGTGCAGTTTCAAAATGTATGTGTGCAGGGAGGGGAGGGGGCATGCAATTCACTCAAATTCAATGCATGTAAAAACACTCCTTTTTCTTGTTTCCTTCCGTGTAAGTAAATGTAAAATGTAACTAATTGTGAGAATTGTAAATACGGCACGACGACACAGAGAGAAGAAGCTAATTGATTTGTGATTTGTTCTTTACACGTCGTTGATAGAAATATGTGTGTGTGCATATAGGCTTAAGAATTGGTTGGTTGGTAGTTTGTACTTATTATTTCCTCTGTCGTCAACGTTTAGTAAAATTATTCAAGTTACATGACACATTCCTTGTATGAAAATTACAAAACACGGCGTTTAAAAAGTGGATACAATTAATATGCAGTAGTCTCACATGCATATAAGTACATACCGTTGTTTGTTTTGTACTTTAACTCGCCGTAATTGTCATGAATTGCCAAAATTGGACATTAATTTGAATCCTGGGTTTGGATCTTATGCAAGCCGTGTGACTGCAGTATTTAATGTGCATCGTGGGGAGGGATGAAATAACCCTGAATATAACGACTCATACAGTATAAAAGTTACCAACGAAGCAAACATTTCTAATGAATATGCACATTCAAGCATGCACATTAAATTTTATTAAATGTGAAACGAAGCCGACAACGACGACTAATAAATGACGAGAATAGCATAGAAGATTGAAAAATAAACACCACATATAATTTTAACTTTAACCAAGTGAAACTTAATATTCGCAGCATGCATTTAACCTGAAAAATAATAATAAATATGCAATGCCTCGTACTCACCACAACTATCGCCGTGGACGCTGCGACACTGTCCCCACAGGAGGATGAGAATCTCGCACTGCTGCTAGCACCACTCCCCCTCTCTTCACCACCACTGCTTTCGATCAGGGAGAGATTTTGAGGGTGTAGAATCTTCTTAATGCGGGGTTCGAAATGTCGATAAAACAGAGATCCTTGTCGATTATCTTGCTGGCTTCCAAATCCCGTGCCGATGGTGGTATCGTCTCCCTTAATAATATTGCCACTGGTTCTGAGATTGCGATTGTTATCAGTCCTGGTAGCAGTGGTTGTCCCAGTACGTGTAGTATTTAACGATGAGTTATAATAGTTGCTCCCGCAAGCTGAATGAGCCTAAAGGAGAGAGGACAACAGGTTTCAAAAAGATTAATTGATCATGTTTCACTACTTGAGGATTAAGGGCCCGGGGGAAGATTTACTTGATTTTATGTTAGCAACAATAATTGCCAGGGCCCCAAGATTATTATCGCTCTGTTAGGTTACGACCACAATTAATTGACACCGTTTCTATGGGACACTCACGTTCAAAAGCTTTGGTTTTGTCACTGCTTTTGAAAAAGTTTCCCTCAAGTCCCTCAAGTTTTTGAAAAAAGTTGTTTCTTTTGTTCCATGGATACTCAAAATGCAATTCCTGCCATTAATTTGGCAATTCTAAGCCAATTTGTCCTCACTTTACGACCAAATATCTCCACTGCACAAGAGGGCAGATCGTCAAAAAAAACTCAAGTAAAATCTAAAGATATGATTAACGCATTAAACATAATTTAAAAAATCTGCCCTCTTGTGCATTGCTGAATTTTATCGTCAAAGTTGACGTGATTTCTAAGCAACTTCCCCCAGGCCCTTAATGGACGTTGTAAATGAAAAAAAAGTTACCCTTAATCCGCATGAGCGACATCGTACACCGTTTCCATCCACGACCAAATGGCAAACTTGACACAATCGTTTGACTTTGGGCACAGTTTTCCACTCGTGCGAGGCTGGAGAGGGGGCCTATAGGAGAGAATAGCACTTGAGAAGGATGCCAAAATAAAGCTATTAAATATTGCATGATGAAGATAAAATCCTTTTGAAAAAAGAGACTCGAGGTGAGTCAAGAGGAGGGATATGATGTACTACACGCTTTTTGCAAACGATTTCCTCATACATAATAACTAGCTTCTTCTCATCTTCGTCACAAAAGACGAATGTGAACCATATAAACTATCAACAGCATAATAAAACCACCAAAGGGAGAGGATTATAATGAAGAAAAGACTAGCTCAGGATATGAAAAAAGAGCCTGCAACTCCTCATCTTCGGTAGACAAGTGTGCTATTCTTCTTCTTCTCTATGCAATAAATTTTTTGTGCTCATATATTTTGCACACATCTACTTTGTCTACTTAGGAGGAAAAAGACGGACTAATCCGACAAGAATGTGAACACCTTGCTCGTTTTTTATCTTGGTATGCAATCTTGCGCCAAGATTTATGAGACATAAATTCTTGGGATGATAAAGTAGAGTGCGGAATAATAAAATACTTTAATTGTACAGGAGTTCACTCACGGCGTGAGCACTCTATTCGACAGTGACAGATATGTAAATTAGTAGATGGTTACGAATTGAAGATTCGACACTTTAATGGGTAGATTAAAGTCAAATTCTTAATTAACCTGAAACTAACGTGAATATATTAAATCACTTGGTCTAAAAACTAAAATTTTATGTGACTCGGTTCTTTCTCAATTAGTTGTTGCCCAGAAAGAGTGACGAAGACGACTGAGTCAACATGACAAGGAGACAGATTAAAAGAAGTTTTGCATACTCATATAGAAATAGAAATTCATTAGCTTTTACATCCCTTCATCAACTTCACCATGTATAACATGAAATGACTACAAGGAGATGATTAATGAGTCATGATTTATTATTATATAGTAACTTTTTCATTGTTTCATATTTTGACTTACTCGAAGAATAAGGTGGAGAGGTGCGGAGACTGAAGGAACGATCTTCTTATTGGATTTGAGAGCTTGTCCACAACAGAATCTCTCTTTCATGTCGAAATCAACTTGTAATTGTGGAGGAGTTGAAAAAAATCACAAAACCGAATAATTGTCGGACGGATTATGAAGTAGTCGTCGATTTTTATTTCACAGGACACAAATTTGTCATCACCACTACCACAATCACCGCCACCAGTGCCTTGACTGGTACTAATTACACCTATTTGTTTCCCACTGGTGGGTTGCATTCCTTCGGATTTTTTGCAATTTTTAAGCTCAATTCAAATTGAGTCATTCACTTTAAGAATTCGGAGAAAGAGTCAAACCGAGCAATACGGGGACCTTTGTGATCACTTTATTTCCGGAACTTGATATTACTTAAAAGTACTCGTTACACATATGCACGTACATACATGCATGCATACACATTATGCACGACGACCACACCGAATCAAGTGTCGAGGAACAATAAAAATGGGAAATGAGATACTTGATTGCCAACAAGAATTTGTGTTACGACTTATTCTTCTGTCTTCTCTGGTACAATGTGCATTCACAATTTAGAAACAACTATTATATGTACACAACAACATTCCCTCTTATTTCTCGTTGCCTTCTTTGCCGTGTGTCAAAATTCAATAGTTTGAAACTTGCAATAAGGCTTAGCTTTTGGACGGAGATGTATGTATTAGCTTGGTTATAACGAGATTAGAGATATTCTCTCCCTTTTATATTGAACTTGGTTGTGAGTGATCTTACCGAGTGAGTGAGTAGTTGTTTCTTCTATACAAGGAAGAATTTAACAAGATGAATCGAAGAGTCAACTCCTCGAGAGTCTTCTTAATATGAGGCAAGAAGTTAAGACTTCTTCTTCCTTCCTCTCTAGACTACCACTAAATATTTGGTAGAAGGAGGATGAGGTTAGGGTTAAGGAGTTAAGAAGATGATGGTTTGATGCTGGTTGGAGTTAGAGTAAAAACCGAACCAAAAGCTTCATAAGGTTCTTGTAATAAGGAGAAGCCCAAGAACCTATTACGACGACCACGGATACCTCAACTCGAATGGATGGATGGATGTTAAATGTAATGATTTCGTTGAAGTTCACAACTGCTGGGATGATGGTATGAAATAAAGGGTAGTCAGACTTAGGATTGCATAGGAATGACGATAGGACTGAAACTCGGATAGAGGAATCTTCTCTCTCTCTCTCCAGCGTACTAATCTTCTTCCTCATGCCCAATTCGGTTTACACACTCTCTCTCTTTATACACCCGAGGAGATTTGTTTACTATGTATGAAAAGTAACCAACTTGTTATTAACCGGTGTGGACTGCTATTCGGTACTTACTACTATGGGGACCCCTTGAAGAGAACAACTATTGAACAACCCTAACACTTTCAGCTGGAGGGTTCAATTTCGAGATGAGCCCTATGCAGAAGAACATGCTAATGAATGCAGTTGTGTGTTGCAACAAAGTTGAAGCTTAAACGAAAGTCAGTATGGATGAGGAGAGGACAGGATGTTGCAAAGTATGTAGGTTTGGAAGTGTTTTTTTTCTGGAGGATATTAACTTGGATTGAATCAGAGAGACCGTACGTACGGAGTGTGAGTGTGAACGACTTTCAACACGAGTTTGACTTGATCTGCTGAAAGGCACATGGATGGAATGGAATTGTTTTAGCCCAAAATGGATGGGCGTAGCTTTTCTACGCATGTTATTGCCAGTAGTGGTTCTGTTCTTCTAAACGAGATAAGCAGCGAAAGTAGTAGGAGGAGGTAGGCAGGAGAAGAGTCATTCCGATTTTCTTCTTTCCTGCACAATCATAATCATCATCATCCTTAATAATATTCGACCCATCAATTCTGCTTCTCCAGGCAGGCACGCACGCGACCGACCCACTTTGTTTCCTCTGAATTAAAGCACCTACACGCGCCTACCCTACATTTTAGGATTCATAATTTTCCATAATATTCCTAACTAGCAGACTATATTGCCTACCAGGAAGTGTGATTTACACGCTATGAGTACTTGTCAAGTGTAATTTATTAGGCTAAATATACGTTGGTCCTGGTAATAAAATAATCACTACTTGAATACTTGATATTTTGACTTTGAAAGCTCTCAGCTCTGTATTATGGTAGCAAACTAAAATCTATAAGTAAGTAATAGCAAACGGTCAGGATAAATGTGGGGATCATTAATCTTCTAGTAGATGTCAATTCAGCACTATAAATTTTATGCATTCAAGTCTAATAACATAATTTGAAATAATATAACAACTCATTCTCATGACTAAATGGTTTGTAGTAGTGTAAGTATATAGGCATGTACTTATCATTATTTATATAGGTTTTACAACTAAGGTTTTCCTTGGATGCGGAATCGTTCTTTTCCCTTTGATATTATTTCCTTTGCAGGTTTTATGTATCCCATTCGGAGCAGTCTATTAATCGTCCATGTTGTCCCACCTGGAAGAAATAAGTAATATTTACCCTTATTTGATGTTAACATATATTCTCGTCAGATTATCCACAAATTTTATTCAAACTGTATAGTAGGTACATATTCCATGCAAATGCATACTATGCTTACCTAGAGTAACGGTGTATCTGGCAGGCGTGGCAATTTTATATAATGCATATGCCACAGCAACATGTCCCATTCCTGATTCAGTCACCTTATCCACCATATGTTCGGGCAGGCCTATTTTCTTCATATATTTCCCAATATCCACTCCACTGAAAATACATACAAATTATGCAACATTTATAAATACTTCTTCCCACGCATTTAATCATTTCCTATAAATAAACCTAACCTCTTCGAAGTTTGGTAAAACCCCCCAAACCAGGCGATCGAGGTGACTATATGCACAGGAATCAAGACGTAATAATAATCTTTATACATTTGCTTGAATCTCGCAAATAAGGATAACTTTGCTGGAGCCCCGTCACTTCCAGTACCACCGGCTGATGATGGAGTTGGAGTTGGTGGGAGTGGAGATGTCGAATTTAGTCTGGCGTTCGAAAGACTATTATTGTTATTGCAGCACCTTTTCCGTAATTGGTGCCGCAGAGGGGTTGTGAAAAGGGCCATGAGTGGTTTAGCCTCTCCACCACCAACTCTGAGCATGTTCATGACGATCTGTCGAGTTAGAAACGTTGTCATCTTGTTTATTTGAGACGGCGTCAAAGCATCAAGTAGAGTAGTGATATTTTTCGTCAGCAAAAAAGTTCACAATTGACAATTCAATTTAGGAGTATGGCAGGACTATCTAAAATACAAAATAACACAATTTTATGATCAATATAAAAACATTAAGCAAATATTTAATGTCGCACTGAAGCCCATATTTGTAAATAGCTAATTCCTGATGCAAATGATTCCTTACCTGCGAAACTTAATAATCAACAGAGGCGCTACCTAGAACAAGAATAAAGTTGAACTACACGTCCGCCGCAACGTTTGACCATGCCTGAAAATTAAAGATACCAATAAAATCACCAATTTTATACCTTGTTCCAAAAATAGAATTAATAATTCATAACCGGCTGATGAACGTTAGTCTTACTTTACTTTATATACTACAAATAATAGTAAACAAATACAATCGTCAATTCCATTTTTAAATGACTTACCAACCCTTGTGGCGAAACTGAATGTAAATTACAACATTTTGCAGTAATTATAAAATTCCTGATACTTTTAACACTGACTGAAATTAATTAAATCAAATGTGAAATACAAAATATTATTGCGTTTGTAATATTTACGTACGTGATCTGGAGAATGAATGAGAAAGCGGTGCAGCATGTGTTCAGCCTTGGCGGCGGGGAAGAGGCGAAAGTGATGAAATATTTTTGAGATGCAGAAAAAGCACGCACGTTGCTGAAATTTAAGTGCAAATTATTTATCCAACTGATTTTTCTGACCGAAAAAGTGAAAGCAAAGAGAAAGTTGGATGCAGAGTAAGTTTTGATGTTTTTGCACGGTGAGTATTTTTTATTTCATTATAATTACACAAATAAATTGTCATAAAAAGTTAATACCGGCTTAAAAACAACTAGCAATTGTAAATTACAATTTGTAATTGTCCATTGTCCCAACAAAAATTTAATTAATAACGTCATTTTAAAACTAGTTTATAATTTCAGATCAAATTGCATGCAGAAATTTTTATGAAATAACTGACGACAGATTGCAGATTGGAAGATTTTCACCTTGTCTGGAAATGGAAAGGTATACATTTATATATTTACAGGTGACATGAATAAATCAGATATCTTATTATGTGTTGTACTTATTGCAGATGATTCTTTAAAACGTTCTAATAATTCTCGATGGTGGGCCTACGCACATCATGGAGTCGGCTGTCGGCCCAACGACTTTTGCAAAAACGATCGAGATGGAACAATCAAATAATTAGGAACGGTAGCAGCTTCAACCCGCAAGTTTTTTCTTCGACCCTAAATTCGCAACGATGCTGTCGATTATGCTGTGCAACTTACTACAAACGTGACATGTGTAACCGAAGCTTTCCCCCAATCATGCGAGAGGAAGCATCACAAGAGTCCTTGTCAATCTCAGCAGAAGATGAAAATGCGGAAAACCTATTCATCATGGACAACAAAGAATTAGTATTAGATAGTGATATCGATGACCATGATATGTCCCACCTTCGGATTAAACTTTATCCAATCGACGAGTCGGATCCTCAGTCTGAACCAATCTCACGTCTTTACGAAGCTGCCTCTGTCCAAGAAGTATTTGACATTATTTCTAGCGTACCGCAGATTAATTACAGTCCTAAAATTGCTAGTCAAGCTTTAGTGAGTTTATGGGATATACAAAAATTGCTGTTCAAGCTCGGGCCAATTTTTAACCCAGAGGAGGACATAAGAAATAAAACGGGCTTCATTGAGAACATCAAGGCCAATCAAATTTTCAAGGACCGTGTTTTGCGCCCCGTTTTAGATATGCATCGAGAGCTGGAAGATGAACCACTATGTGCATCACTGCTCGCACTTAAAAAGATGGATTATTCTATCGTCGTAATTGAGGCTCTGATAGACGAATGTCTCCGAAGGAATCGGTCTGGTCCAGGACTCGCTCTAGCGGGTTTGAGTCGGTTAAGCGTTGTCCTGAGATCACGAGGCTTGTACGGTCAGTGTATCATGGGAGAGTTATCCCCTACAATTTTCAAATATGTAAACGAAATGATTGACGATCTTGAGGTACGCCTAGTATCAATCTTATTAAGGTAAGAAATATAAGTCATTAAAATTTAATTGGTAAATTCATTATATAATTATATTTTTTATAATTCCTCAGGAACTCGAATCGTGTAATTAGTGAGACCATTTTCAAAGCCTATGCAACAAGATTGAATACACTTCTCGACAACACAGATTTTGAGACTGTCACGTACTGCAAAATGTTTATATTTTTACTAGACTCGGGAAAGTTGTCTCCGCCCGAACTAATTCATAAAGTCAGTTATAAGATAAAGGACAGGGCATCTGATATTGAACTGATGGAGCTATTATCGCTACAAAAGTATTTATCCGGGTCACTCCCCTGGCCATTGATTGAGGCCCTAATGTCTAGAGGGAGTCGTGTCATCGAGGAGTGCCAAGATCGTCCCAGGATTGACCTCATCTCTTATGTAGGGACCTTCATGCGTGGGCCTTTGGTGAAAAAGAGACTTGCCCAAATAGCGAATGACTGCATAGATAATAATGACTTTTCCACGATTCAAAACGTGATTTATCCCCTCATCCGAAGTTTGAAAACAGACGATCGAACTATTTATGACAAGTATTGGAATAGTGCCGTCAATTTGTTGGAGAAAGAGTTGGTTCTTAACCCACAAGAGTATAAGAGGTCAATCCACTTGGCGAAAAACTACTTACACTTTACCCACTCCCTTACATTTTCTTATAGGAACTCGTGGTTAGAAACTATTTGTAAGAAGCAGTGTTATTCAGTGTTAGACAGGTATTTAAAAGAACCTCATCCCGAAGTTGTTATCAGTCCGTCCGAATTTGCAACCATTATCTCGTTTTTGATCGCGTTTGACCAATCCTACATGGATTTGAAATATATTTCAAAACTCGAACAGTTCGTGAAGAACATGAAGGCGTTAGATATCGGATTCATTGTGAAAGGGGTGGATTGTGCTTTATCTAAAGTGATTAAATCTGGGAGAAACCCGACTTTATTAAATCGGAAGAGTTACGAGATTGTGAGTGAAGCATGTTCCATTTTGGAGGAAGAGTGTGCCCTCAGACTTGTGAGACCTGACACTGATGCCGACTTGTCCATGGTTTGGAAAGTTCTGTCAGTGATTCGGAGGATGAAGGGCGATTCTCCTTTGTTGGACGTGGGGATGAAAGCTTTTACTTCGATGGGGGCAGATTCATATGACTCGAGAAAAATTAGAGAAGTGTGTGCTGCACTGATGTCTGGAAGTTATTTATATCCAGAAGCGATGGAGTTGATTTCTTCATATGTGACGAAAAATTTGGAACATACGAATCCCGAGACAATAGACAAATTTCTGAACTTAACGTACTGTCTGGGGTGGGAAAATGAGAATGTGGACTTTGGGAAGTTGGCAAGTGTGATTGAGTCGTGCGTGGATATTAATTTCATTTGTTTCTTGTCTGATTTGAAAATTATGTATGTTAACGAATGGAATTAAAAATTATTACAGGAATTTTGATCGATTTGGACTTGGCATTATCCAGTCTGGCCTTAGTCTTGGGTTTCACCACCAATTTCGTAGGGAGTTGATTGACAAAATTTTTAATGTAGAATTCCTGGACTACATTGATGAGGAAATACAAAATACTTATGGAAAGGTTAGCGAACAATCCGAAACAGTTAAATGTGTACTTATATAGAATGATGATTATTGAGTTGATTTTTTTTAATTCTCTAATTTCAGAATAATCAGTATCCCTACAGACTAAGGGTGAATTTAATGGAGCTGAATCGAATTGTGTGCCTAGATGTGCCAAATGCTCGACTACCCTGGTTCCATGAAAAGTTTTGTCAAAATATTATAGCACAAGGTTCGATAATTATATATGACGCCAGTTTAAATGAATCAAGTTGATTGATGTTGGGTTAAAGTTTAGCATTGCATTTTGCAGGACACCCAAAACAAAGCTATCTGCACAATGAGGTTCAGGAAAATCTAACCGATTTGTTAGGGGAAGGAGCAGTCCAGTCAAATGTGTGTCTTCCACACGATTATTATTACAATATTGGTGAGGATTATTACAGAGAATTATAAAAAATAATGTTAATAATGCCAGTTGACAAATAGCTACCCTAACTATTGTGTCTAATAGATTTCGTCATTAAGTTTGATCATGACAATCGACCAATCCGAGTTACAAATCGACCAAGAACCCTCTCATTTTCATCAATTCGGAAAGATCATCCAGACAATGTAAAGAGAAAAGTTGCCATTTTAGTCCTCTCCAACCTTGCATTTACAAAAAATGTTAGACAAATTAAAGGTGGATATAAATTAAAACAGCGTCATTTAGAAATTCTAGGTTATGAAGTTTTTACTATAAACCCTTACACTTGGAATAGTATGTACATGTCTGAACTGTCAGCTAAACAACAATTTTTAGAATCCAAAATTTTTAATCTCAATAAATAGCGATGTTTATTATATTTCATTTATTACATTTCTGAATGAGAATGCAGTGTTTTATAATTAAGGATAACTTTGTATCGTTTCTTGACTAACTATTAACAAATGAACAGGAATGTTTGATTATTTTTTACTGGTCAAGGAGACTTTGTAGTTTTGAAAGCAAGCTGTCCCGAGCATACCGATCAAATACACCATTCTTCATCCCTTTCAAATAATGTATAATATTCTCATATCGCAAGACTGACGACTGGTGCCATTTATAATTTGTTTTTTGAATGTGCAATTTCTGCGAATGGAACAAAATAATTTAGTTCAAATATGACTTTTCAAACAAGTAGATTACTATTTTAATGAGTTAAAGAGCTTACTTGAAAATACATTGGGTTTGGGTTCGATTGTTCAGCCTTGAGCCAGTGGATCACGGCAGCCTTTTTTAAATTCAGCATCCTAAACAAATGATTAAACAAACTGATAGCATTTTTCCACTTAAAACAAAACAAGACAAGGAAAGAATAGAAAGATTACCACAAATAATTTCCACAAAGATAATAAATCGTCCCGACTTTCCTCTTCCCCCACAGATTTTCACCATAATCTGAACAGTACTTTTGGAAGATTGGGTCCAGTTTGTCCCGATTTGGGTATCTCATAAGTCGAAAGATCAGATCGCATAAGGCATCACAATTGGTTTCTCCACAAGCAAAGGCCGCCTCCAAACAGACCAGACCTTGTTCATGCTTATGCAACTGTTTAAAAAAATAGTTTAAGTCATTGAAAGTTAAATGTATTATGTAACTTAAGGATGCCATGATTTTCTTTCTCGCAGCAAACCTTGAATAGAATCTTCGCCTTACGATGTAACGCTTTGCTATATTTGCTGTACTTCTCCAGTGCTCGGTCAACTAGAGCTAGAGGCGTCACAGTCTTTGAGTTCATGGCGAATTTCTCCGGAAGTAGGGAAGAATGGATCTCTGCAAGTTTGACGTAGAGTGGGGCAGCGTCGGGTGCATCATTCCACATACCCCTGATAATTAGTTTAAAATCCATGAATTTCCAAACATGACTAGACTTTTTCGAATATTTAATTTATATCTCACGTTGTTTGTTGAATAATGAATCTTGCAACTGCAGCCTCATCTGCAAAGACCATACTGTTGTTGTACAGCATTAACGGGTAAATGCTGTTCTTGTCTATCATGGTTCACTAAATGTTCATCTTAATGTTCACTCGAGCATTCGAGTGTGTTTATTTGTTTCGTAATGGTCGTTTAAATGCTTTTCATTGTATGTACAGAAATTGCAGGGAAGACAAAAATACCAAACCAATATTTGCGCAGCATTATGTACTTCAGTTTCCTGATGTTTGACCCATTTAGATGGTGTGTCACAGTCATAATAACATTTTTGACAACTAAACTTTGCGAGAGGATTAAATTTTGTTTTTTTCTTTGCACAGATTTTTATATGTTGCATATATTGCTCATTAATTGGAGTGTAAGCCGGACAATCAGGACAATAATTCATGCGACTTTCAAAAGAACCTTTGCATACCGACATGTGGTACGACAGGGATGGCTTAGCATTGGTTCGAAACCCACAGTGGTTTTCGCATTTGTACGGTCTTTCATTCGTGTGAATCATAATATGTTGAGCTATGTTTGAACGGCTATTATATTTTAGCTGTATTGAACAATATGGACAACTTCTAATGTTTGCATTTTGCAAATCAGGAAGCTTACATTCAATTTTTGGGGCACACTCTATGTTTGGATGTTCTTCTGATGCACAACGAATAGAACATTTTAAATTGATGTGGTCGCTAAGATACATGGTTGCTTCATCATAACTGGGCACCACCATCAAGTTGAAGTTTTTCATCGACTGAGAGACTATAACATAATCCAATCTAGATTTGTAAATCTTATTGGAGCCAAACGCATATCTTGTGAAAATTGTTTGTGGCCATAATTTGCTACACACATTCCCAAACTTAAACTCGTTGAATTTTTCCATGCATTTCTCATAGTATACACATCTTGGGTCCGAAGATGTCATTGATGAAACTAAATCAGTGTTTAACTTCATCATATTAAAATCACCGATCCAAATAGCATGTCTATTTTTCAATTTGTTGCATAATTGGCCGATTGTCGTAACCCAATTTTCCCGTTCAGCATCTCTAATACTATCACCATGATGATTGCATGGAAGATAAACATTTACAAAATAAATTGCGTTGTTTTCATTTACTGCATGCCTTACATTAATCATCATTATTCTTTCCTTATTTTGCGTGGATATATCGGGAAAGGCCTTACTCATATTCGTATAGGTTACGTCAAGTCCCCTTTTGTAAAAAACACAAACTCCATAACTCATGTAATCTGAATATTTGCCCTTCAATGAACTGTGGAATTTAGCGTTGAACCCATACGTCAGAGCCAGATCCAGGATTTTTTGCTCATCGGAGGGATTCAATTTAGTCTCTTGAATGAAAATTAAATCACTTCCGGTCCAAGTGGGCATCATGCATTTAATTTTGACCTCATCAATTCCATTAGCATTCCATGAATGATAATGAAAAACAGAATCATTGACAGTTAATTTCTGTATTTTCGGTAATGACATTTTGGGAAACAAATTCCTTTATTAATAACCGCACTAAGCAGCTATTTATTTAACCGCACTAAGCAGCTATTTATTAAACCGCACTAAGCAGTAATTTATTAATACCGCACAAAGCAGTTAAACATTACTAATGTGTAATGTATGTATAACAAATAACTAAAATTCAATCCAGGTGGTTATCCTACAACACAATTAATGACTACTCATACATATGATTAATGAACCAAATAGATATTTCCATAAAGATTCGTAATTCTTGGAAAACCTCAAGTAAGAATCCGAAGTCTGCTGTTCTAGGGGGAGACGATTTTTTATTGCAATATCTAAACGGAAAAAGAAAATAATGAATAAAATATACATTTGCTAACCTAAATTTATACACTGCTTTCGAATAATCAGAAAAAAACGTTCTAACCTGTCCTCTGGAGGAAGAAAATGCGAAAAATCGAAGGAAGACGACTTCAGGTCCAACAACACAAAAATAGATTTTGTGGCTTTTCTACACATAGAAACCATTCGACGGATTATTATCAATTATTTGCAACGTCAAATCAGATAATTCTGACTGTGAATCGTAAAACGACTTGCCTGGTCAATATTTTTTCTAAATTTGTACATAGAAACCGGTAAAATTACTTGGTTATTATAGTTTTCAGAAAAATTACTAAAACTTACACCATCTTCGATTCAGTATATGAATAATTTTGATTGATAATCTGGCTCTGGGATAACACAACAACCGAGGCTGGATCATGATTATTTAGGGTGTGGATTTATGAAACAAATCCTCCCAAAAGAACAGTAAAAATTTTGTCAACGATTGACTAATAAACTTTGGATAGAATATACGAAACGACGAAACGACAAATATTTTGATATCAACACCGATTTTTCAATGAATGCGAGTATTTTTACATTTCCAGCAGAAAATTATGTTATTTTTTTACTATAACTAGGCAACTGTACTAAAAGTTTCGAAAAATATTGACCAGGCAAGTCGTTTTACGTTTCACAGTCAGAATTAATTGTTTCTGTAAAAATGGGTTATTTTTATTTAGTTATAGTTGTAAAAACTTACGACGAAGAAGAAGACAAAAACGAAACGAATAAGAATCCGAAGCCTGCTGCTCTGAGTAGGGCTGCGATGATGTCGAATATTCAAGAATATTACTAAAATTAAATTCTTTGTTAATCTTGCTTTATTTAAATTCAACGAGATCAAATTAAAAAAAGACGACTTACCTTGGACATCGTGTGACGAGATGACGGGGACGATTTGATGATGACCACGAGTAATATGTAGAGAAATATCTGTACAAAATTCACGAATACATATTATTTTTATTTATTTATGACTCACAAATTAGTTAATTGATAATTAACTACAAATTACCAGAAGTTTTCTTCCCAAGGAAAGAGAAACGTCGACCCTGTACGTGTGCTCAGAAGAAGTGAGTGAGCGAGCAGTGGTGGTGGTGGTGGCGGGCTGTGAGACTCGGAGTAACGTTTTGGCAACTGCTCCTGCTACCACTGCTCGCTCACTTTGCAAGCAGATTTGGCAAACATGAAGGAGGCATTATTTTTAGGCACTCAAATTCCCTACAAATTGCGCGGTCAACCAGCGAAATCGCTTGAGAACTGGCATAGCTGTGAGCTAAACCTTGCGGGCAATGTCGTTATTAAGGAACCTTGTATGGTCCATTATTTCAATTTGTAAGTTCAATTACGTCCAATTCATGTTACTAGGATAGCACAGACCTACGTTGTCGACTAAATGACCATGCCTGGGAGGTTGTCTTTCCTACAGATCCAAAGAAAATGGCATTTATTGGGCAAAATATTGCAAAATTTGGAAATTTTAATTTTTTTAGCAACTCTCATGAGCTGTAGGGTTGCGATCGCTCATGATATAGACGCCTAATTTGGTGTCTCTAATAATCGTGTGAACGAGTCTCAAATGTTCTAAATGCTCTTCAAATGTATTTGAATAAATAATTAAATCGTCAACAAATGCTACAACAAAACGCCATTTGTATTTCCCCAATACCTTATCCATACACTTTTCAAAAGTTGGTGGACTATTCCGGAGCCCAAAACACATCATAATATACTGAAATAAGCCCCAAGGCGTATTAAAGGCTGTCTTACATTTATCCTTATGGGATAGTGGAATATTATAAAATCCGTCGGTAATATCGAAAGTGGAAATGTATTTTGCTGTACCGAGACAAGTCAAAATATCGTCAATTCTACTCATTGTATAGGAATCTGGTACAGTTACTTTATTAAGAGGGCGAAAATCTATACAAAGCCTAAATTTGCCATTCGGTTTTGGGACAATGACTGGATTTGAAGCCCACGGACTGCTCGATTTTTCAATAGTACCTTTATCTAATAATTCCTTCAGTAAACCTTGTAAAATTTTCCTCTTAGCTGGGGTCATGGGTCTCGGATGACACTTAATAGGCTTAGCATTCCCTGTATCAATTTCGTGCTCAAAATTACATGCATACCCAGGTGATTTACTAAATAATGGAGCAAATTCTTCCATGACTTTTTTAACTTGACTATTTTGCTCGTCTGACAGGCCAGTTTTTGAAATAAGTTCATCAAGGTTGAGAGGGGAGGTGCTAATTTTAGTCTCATTTCGACCAGGATACAACTCAACCGACGAGTCTTCAAAAAACAAGTGAACCTCCTCAAAATCTTTGCGTAGTTCCTCCATTAATTTCACTTGGCCTTGAGAATATTTCAGAGCTAACTCATTGCAAAGGGGCTCGACGTCTGACTGTTTGCCTACAGTAGCGCTACCATCAGTGCGTAAGCTCTTTACAAAAATGGAGTCACTAGTAGGTGGCGGTGAACCCCCTCCGGTCTCGGAACAACCAACCGACAAATCATGTAAAGCCATACTTTGCAAGCCAGTACGAGATCTTTTAATTTCCCCAGTCTCCCCGACACAATCGAATGGAACCAATTTTTGTCTCTCCGACCCCTGATACCAGCCTCCAGAAAATATATCAATTACTATTTGACTACTCCAAATAAAGTCACGTCCCAGTAAAACCGAATATTGAAGATCGGGAACTAAATGAAACTTCTGCCTCTTTTTCCCAGATATCCACGTAGTCGTTAAATTAACAAATTCAGACGTTACAGAATTTCCACTAACCCAAGTAATATTTGTAAGACACTGTTCTTTCTTTATATTCAAATTCTCTACTACCTCGATAACTTCCTGATTAATTAAAGAAATTGACGCTCCAGTATCCAACAATGCTAAGAAATTACGGCCGCATATAGTTACTTTAATTAAAGGAGACTTGTGATCCCACGTCATAACTGATTCTCTACTTTCTAATTGGTTGCCTTCTCTTGTATTATTGGCAACCCGAGCCGCGCAACCTAAATTCGGCTCAGGTTGATTGCGTTTCCCGAGACCTGAGGTTGATTTGCTTGACACTCTCGAGCAAAATGTCCTTCTCTCCCACACCGAAAACAAGCTCTGTTACGTTGCGAACTTCCATCAACATTCTCCGAACTAATAGCCCTGTTACCCTGATTTTGAACAGCTTGATTGGTGGGAGAAACAGTATCAGACATTGAAAAGCTACGAGGACGGTTTGTAATACTTTCACTTGAACTTTGATTGCCCCAGTTTGCATTAAATGGACGATTCGTAGGGAAACGTTGGGCTTGTCCTTGAAATTGATTAGCATTCCTTTGAAATTCTAATGACTGATTCTCTCTTGATGACGACTCAAAACCGTGATTCTGATTACTTCTACTAAAATTATTACTCGAAAATTGGAATTTTTGGAAGCCTCTTGGTTCTGAGTGAAACTGTCGATATGGATCAAACGAACTAGGCTGCAAATCCCTATTTTGATTGTTAACTGGTTTACTCCAAGGCGGACTCGATTGTAATTTTTGAGCTTGTGGAACTTTATAAGCCAAAGATGGCTCTACCACAGAAAACTGTTTCGGTTCACGGTATTCCTTTTCATACCAAATATCTTCCTGAACTTTTAATGCTGCATCTGCCAACTGTCTCATACTAACAAATTCTTCCCCAGTTCTCAAAACTTTTTGTCTATAACTCGGATGCATTTGTCGTAAAATCCTAGCAATTTTAACAGATTCAGGTGTTTTGGGATCAATTCGTTCATAAAACCCATTTATAATTCTTATGTAATGTGACAACGTCTCATGGGGTCCCTGTGTCCGTTCCTCTAATTCCCTACGTAATTCCTCGTCATATCCAGGAGGTTGGAACTCCTTCCGAAAAACTGCACAGAATTCCCCCCAAGAACTGACATCGTCCTTTATGAACTGAAACCAATCATATACTTGACCTGTTAGAGCTAACGGAACTACAGAATTGAACATTTGAAATTCACTGAGACCTGCAGCCAGTCTATATTTTTCTAATTCAGATAAGAAATCAAATGGAGTCTTAGCCTCGTGTACTCCACCATATTTTGGAATTTGCAAATCCTTACTTTTTAGATGAGGAAGAAATCGAGTATTACCTTCTACCGACCCCGAAACCTGACCTGGTTGAGAAATATTCAATCCTCCCAACACAGTTGCCAACTTCTCTAATGCACCCGCAACCTGAATACTTGTACCCTGACTTTCTCGAACAAAATGCTTTACCAAATCATGTAAATCGTTTGAATCTGACCATTTTTCACTAACACTATTTACCTGAGTGCGACTATTACTACTATTCAAATTATCCTCTTGCATTTCACTTTCTTTTTCCTGAACTACTCGACTTCCACTGCTAATTAGCTCGCTTTGACTTCCATCCTCCTCCTGATGACCTTCGTCTACTTCTTGTAACCTTGAGAACCTATTTGACTCGAATGATGAACCTTGCACTGCTTCATCCCTATCTCTATTCACATTCAAATTTGAATCAGCTTCTTGATGTCGTCTCTCCCTTCGTTTATTATTTACATTTGATGGTGCACTACGCACAACTTCATCTACACCCAAATCCGCCATTTGCTGACGTCTTTCTCTTTTCTTTGCACCCCTAGTCCCGCTAGCCATAGTTACAGAGGAATTCCCATCCTCTTAAAAAATTTTCTCTATTTGACCTTTTGGATTTTCTCTTCAGCAAGAAAGTATGACCTGATCAGACGAATTGGATTTTCAACCTAATTCCTCCCTTTTTAAAAAAAAATCTTCCCAAAACCTAACCCAAAATGACCAATTCCGAACTATCAAAACGCAGTAATTTCCCGGTCGAGCCCCCAATTGTGACGAATTATGCCTTCCTGACTAATTACGACACTTTTGCGTATTCAACGCACTACCCGGGTTCTTTACTGCTATTATAATAATGTTTTGTGCTTAGAAAATTACTCTACGGACCATTTGACAACTCATTAACTTAAAATAAATATGACACCACAACATAGTTTAACAATTAACAAACCCCCGAGTATTTATTCCCCAAATAAATAACTATAAATAACTATGTGGCTTGAAGGGAGGAGTGAGAAGATGGCTGACTTGACCCAATAAATAAAATTACTAACTTGACCCCATACATCAAATTGTCACTTCTCGTGACACGAAAAAAGAAACCTTTTGGTGTTGAAGAGTTGACTCTTCTAACACATTACCTGTAAAGTTGACTCTACAGTGCCCTAAAACGTACCCTTTAACCTTTTTCTTCTTCCGCTTATTTATGCTTCTACTTCTTTCTTCTACTTCCTTCTCCAGGCAGCTCTCACGACACACTGACTGATTTTTGTGCATGCAATGAGTTTTATACCCGTGCCAGAATTATCGTTATGGCGACTCAAATCGCCCCTCAACTACTTTCTCCAAATAAAATACTTAAATACTCTTCCTCACACCCAAATTCCGGGAACTCGATGGATAAATTAAGATAGAGGAGAAAAGACAAAATTTTCGAATTTTGCCAAAGTTCATAGGTAGGGTTCCGGGTTCCGGTTCCGGGTTCATAGGTAGGGTTCATAACCTTTGATCAGAAAAAATTTAACATGTGATTTCCCATAAGGAATTGGCCAAAAATGACGAAGATTTATGGAATTCCTCAAAAATTGTGCCAAGCAATAACATAGCTCGATAACAATGCTGTGGTCCCCTTTGGTTTTCATGTGTCCTTCGGCCAGCAAGTCCATCTCTTTGTGGCTCGGTGCGGAGATGAAATTTTCCATCTTTCTCTTTTGGCCGAGGGTTTTTGCCAAGTAGAGGCACGCCCGAGTATCACTTTTATTGAGGAGTCGAATCTGAAAATCAACAATAGTAACCATAAATAAATGACAGGAGCAACATTAAGTTTGTGAATAATAGTCACTCACATTTTCCAACAATTTGACACGATAGTCAATTTCATCAAAAAATGGTCGAAAAAACTCTTGTTTTACGTGGAGGACGCCAGCCAGCATTTTTCCCGTGGGGAGATCGCACAAGATTCCTCTGTCAACATTCTGGTTGCTCGGTTCGATTAAGACTTTCATGGCTGTAACGACTACACAAAAGAATAAAATCATATAGATAACAAAAACAGTATCATGCTTACCAACCAACTGCATATATAATTTTAACTACCCTTACTAACCATAGTCAACTCCATCGATATAATCCTCCACGAATCCGTAGTACGTGTGATAGCACTTTATCACCTTTGTTTCCTGTGACCATTCTCCAACCAGAGTCGCCGCAACTGCAATTTCTTTTTTAGCATCGGCTAAAAACTTTGGGTATTTTTTATGCAAAAACCAAAGAAAAAAACTTTTCAGAATATGGTGCGAAATTCGAGAGAGACGATCGCGAGTTGTTTTTATCATGTTGAAAGACGTTATAATTGTCTCTGCCTTTTTCTGCGTGAGTTTGACATCCATGGCCCAAGTGAGACAAAAGTCGGCTTCGACATCCAACAAGAATTCGGGAATGGAGGACATGTCAACGAAATTGGGGTCATCGTCCTTGTCAGAGGATGACTTTCCAGTGGGTGGAGCTGCTGATTGAGTCATTGTTCTCCTCTAAATAAAGGTCAAACTTCCTGAAATCTATGTTTTTCAGCAATGATTTTTAAAACACTTACTTTTTATCCAGTTATTGTAATTGGTGAACAGCAATTTTCTCGGTGGAGGACTGGTCTCAGTAACTGGAGGACTGAAATGATAAGACAACTGGGATTCAATTCAGCCTTTGAAATGCTGTCTCTTAAATTCTGAGACGAGTTTCTTCCTGTTTGACACTGGACGAGTTAGCCGTGTTCAATCTTGTTCCTTGGCCACAAACACGTTTCATGTGCAGCTTTGTTTACTCGCTTACTCACTCTCACTTCTACGAACAACGAACATGAGCTTTATTATGATGGGTTTAGAGTTATGACAAGAAATTAAAACTTACGGTCAATTATTTTTCTGGGATGTCAACTGGCTGATGTATTATCGTGAAAAACTTAGGACTACCAAACTAAATAGATGGATGATGCTTGTAATTTTTTGAAATTTGAATCAGTGCAAAAATATTCACTATTATTATGTCATTTTCATCAACCAATCTTCTAAACATTTGTTATCATCGAGTTTGTAATTTGCGTGATTATTTCCCTGGTCATGGTGAGAGTGTATTAGGACGGCTAGCTGGTTTTGCATTCTTAAAATGGCCTTGAAATTGATGAAATTGAGAATGCACTGATTATGCAAAGATTACCGGAATGGGCTCTCATATCATCGTAGATCTCCAGTCTCGTCAGGTCAGGATGACGTAAAAGTGAAATCCAGACGCAATTACGAAATGAGACTTATGAAATGAAATCATTACAATAAGTAATTACGCGTGGGTGTATTGTATTATAAGTTCGTATAATGGGCATAATATGCAACTATATTATATTGATTCATGGACATAACGATGAGTCAAATGTAAATAATTCCACGGTATAGACAATGTACACGCAGGTATCTAATTTTCAAACTTTATCACATTTATTGGTTTGGTGAAAGTTGCATCTGGAATTAACATTTTTTAACTATAATAATGCTGATAACAATCATCCTCATAAACAGCACGACGTTTACAAACAAAATAATAATTAAATCATGTATTTTTTAAAAAACTGTAGCACAATGTAATATGTAGTCGCATGGACATCTATAGTTCATTATTATTATCCGAGTTTGCAAAAACAGGTAACATAAAAATAACAGTTTAGTGAATCAAGCATTATAATTTCATTATCGATTCTGCTTAATTCATGTAGCAATATATCTTCACAAAGCGCTCACATTTCATCATTTCGTCATCATTGTCATGTTTCTGATATCATTAAATCGCAACTGTCGATAATATGTAACAAATAATAACAATAATAGGAGCTACATATACGAGGAAAACCTCCAATTATTTTATTTTCTTTCTACTTTCACAACAAGAACAGTTAGTGATACGCGCATTTCTTTTGTTTGTATAAAATAATATCGGGATGCGAATGTTCGTTATAATCGTTAAAACTATTATGTACGTAGGTAGTCTAATATCTGTGTGCAAAACTATAAAATAAATAATTATTCTTTCTTCGACTGAATAAAATAAATATTCTTTTAGTTGTTCGTCATCTTCGATATGAAATCTGGTTGATGTAAATTATAGAAAATCATCATTCATCATAGAATAAAAACAAAGGAATGGTATTAAGGTCTTCGTTATTTTGTTTGTGGCATAATATTAATGATCTGTAATCTTTCTTTCTATTTATAGTCCTTAGAATTAGGGTGAAAGTTGTTTACTAATTTTTGTGACTTGTTATTACTATTATTCTCCTTCTTTGAGGGTACAAAATGACCAAAAAGTTACGACTTTTTTCCGTATAAACTAACAACTTTCACCCTGAAAGCTATTCTATTTTAAATTGCGGGCGAGGATTTGTAGGTAAATTGGGATTGACTTTCCTTCTTCAATAGAAGAAGAAGGAAACATTTTAAAATTGGCAAGGTCTAAGTCAAAATCTGTCCAAAGATCCCTGAGCTTTTTGTTAAACCTCTTCTTTTTTGTTACCCAATTTGGTTTTTTGTTGTTGTATAAGTACATACATAATATTACGTAAGTACTACGCAGATGAAGCTGAATGAATACGTACATGTAGAGTAAAAAGTGTTCTATGTATTTACGAAGTAGAAAGGAACTCCACGAGCGGAGGATGACAGAGAATAAGCAATGAATGGTAATAAGCTTGTTGAAATCGTTTTGCAACACGAATTTCAAAAATTTTGCGTATGTATAACTCTATAGAAAATATTCATACTAGTAATAATTAAACTTTGACTTGGTACTCAATTTCCAGTGGTTTTATCCTCAAATGAGATCTCTGAGATCATATCATGAGCCATGTTTTTCTATATCTTCCCGTGTTTTCCTTAAACATACTAACAGTCGGATTTTTGTCTTAACCCGTGCTACACTTCCTAGTTTGCGATCTACCTATCCTCTTAAATTTGAGGCTAACAGAAGTTATTATACGTAGTGTTTCCGGGAGACTGGATTCGCTGCGGCGTCTGTAGAACCAGGGATTGCCAAAATCCAAGGTTCTTGCAGTAGCTGGGAAGGGGTCAATCTTTCTTGCGGATCCCAACTGTTAATAATAATTAATCGGAAATTAATTTAGTTTTCAGTCATTTCCGCGAAGACTTAAAGTGAAATAAGTAATTAAGGGTAAAATCTATATAAATATGAATACAGACCCCCTGGGAAAGTCATGGTGATAATGTAATTAATTTATCCTTACGTCAGACATTTTCGTAAGAAAGAAATGAAATCGAGATCATCAGATTTAATTGCAGTGGAAAGATCCTTCGTTCCGGGTCTGGAAGCAGATCATATAATATTTTCAATAAAATGGTTCAGAATATTTGCAATACTTGCAAAAATTCTCATTATTAAAAAATCACCTGCGTATTTTCCCTTTACTATTACGAATGCATCTTGGCTGATTCCGCGAATCAAAGAAGAGTCTCCGGCGCGTGGCAATTGTTATCAAACCGTCGCTTGGTAGACCCAGAGTTTCCATGATGCAAGCAAGTTGTTCCACCTAAAAATAGAAATTATACAATAGCCCTTTAGTTGACAGTATCATTTCTCCATGTTTACTTTCTCCGAGTATCACGTTACTATTTGTCATGCAGCAACATACATACATATTCTCGTTGACGTGATGAAACACTTTTTGATATGATTTGAATATGAGAAATAATGCACATCACTTTTATCACAATAAGTCTCATCCGAACAATGTTACCAATACTGCACATACAACACGAGCATAATATTTGTCGAGGTTGTGTCGCCGGATTAATGGAAGTTTCATGTTGCGGCTACATTACTACATTGTTTTAGCAAAACAACCTTTCCCGAAAACTTGTCGTTCCATGTTTGCTGCTTCAATATGTGATGATAACATCGTATAGATTACAAACTAAAGTAGGGCTGGAGGGGAAAGTGGAGAGAGAGACAGACAGGATGTGTTGGTTTGTGGATGATGAACGTGTTGTTTGCTTTCTCCTTTTATACAAATCCATCCATAATACCGAAGACAGGACATGACGCGATCGTAAAGTTGGCAAACTAAGTAACATTATGAAGGACGGGAAAACTCGGTTTGTATGTATTGGGATCAGTGGTTAGTCAACACGAACGCTAGAGCGATAAGCTAACAGGTTGTTACAATTTCATCGAAATTTTGGAATGGGACAAAGTGAGATTTCCTTTCTAGTGGAAAACTTTTATGAAAAATTCCATGAAAAAACTGTTTTTTATGATTATGGAACACAAATTGAGGGCACGTATTAGATGTATGTATAAATAGAGATAATGGATCATGCATGCACGCTTTTAATATTTTTTTTTATCTCACAAGTTCTTTTTTCGGCTTTTAGTTTAGTATGACCTATTTACGATGTGAATGAGGAGAGTAAATATATATATATCACAAAATTAATACGAAATGATGCCACGTATCGTATATATAGAAATAAACCGTTACAACGAATGTAAGCAAGGGGTGAAAGCAGTGTGCTATATCCGTCAAATTGAACACCATATTGTGTTTTCCCGTTCAAAATCTGTTAAAATTGACATGTCTGACGTGTTTTAAACAATTCTGACATATATATAAAATTTAACAGTTGATGACCTTTCTGTGACCATTGAATCCAAGGTTAAATTTCAGTTCAAATTGACACATGTATCAAATTTAATAGTTGACGACCTTTGTGACCTCATGTGACCTTTGAGGTCAAAATGGAAGTCACCATTGAATTCGTGGTTAAATTTCAGTTCAAATTGGTACGTATATTCAATTTGACCTTTAAAGGACGTTTCATGACCTTTTGACCTTGAAGGGTGTGACCCACAGTGTCCATCTTCGAACTAGTCCTGTCTTTTGACGTTAGAAGCTTACGTTCAAAATTTCAAGTCTCTATGTCTTGTCGTTCAAAAGTTATCGGACCAACGGACATAAAGGGCTTTCACCCCTTAATAAATATTAAAAAATGGAGTGTTAAAAAATGGAAAAAAGGTCGAAAAGGTCACTCCCCTCACTCTCCCCAGGATAGAGGGGGCTACCAGTTGAGAGCTCGGCTAGAACGCATCCTAAACTCCAGACGTCGATAGCGGTGGTGTAAGGTATCCCCAAAATTACTTCCGGCGCCCGATAAAATCTACTTTGTATGTAGGAGAAAACACGTTCTTCTGAGAAACAACAAATATTGATTTAATTAATTTAATCCTGATGGAATTATATATAATGGAATTATATAATTCGATCAAATTTGAACACACTGTAGAAATGGAAAACATATTCCCAACTTTCTCTAATATCTCTTGTTCCTCCGTAGAGAGAGGGGGAAACAAAATCAAACAGTTCCATTGTGTTCAATTTTGTGCGTTTGTTTATATTTTTATAATTGCTAGTAAATAATAATAATGGAGAAGAAATTGAAGGACATGAGTGAGGATGAACTGTTTGCAGTGATTGAAAGGTCAAATAGGGACATTGTGACCGCAAATAAGGTCATTGCACAATGTATGAATATATTGAAGGGGAAGCGCACTAGTGAAAGTGTATCGTCATCATCAGCGGCAGTTTCCCCTAAAACCCCACGTCTCGCAGAAAGTGAAGAGAGCGATGATGACGACAATGGTCCTATTTTAGTGAGGAAAACAGTGAAATGTGGCCTGAATTGTGGATTATGTCCTTTTGTGTTCGAGGGTGAAAGTCTCCCCAATATGTAAGTAGTTGTCAATTATCTAATATATATATATATGTACATACTAAATATAACTAAATGAATTAACATTAGGCTATATCCACATCGACCACTCCGATTCAAGGACCATGATCAACCTTTCCACTGCAACTTCCCAGCGAAAGGTGTGTATTGCATTATATGCACAAATCCTACCTGCCCTCAGCAATATCATGGTCCACTCTATTTTGGTCAATCCGGAAAAGGAAGAAAAAGTGTGAAGGATCGGATGAACAATCATATTGGTGCCTCTGACATTCCCGAGACTGCAGGTGGGGTGGATTCCCATTTTACTGGGGACTGTAAACTGTTCATGCGGTTCATTTTCATGAAGGAGGTTAAAGATGATAAAGAAAGATTAAGTAATAATAATTATTATATTGTGTCTATTTGTTTGTTTTGCAATTTCTAACTAGTTTGTCTAATTCATATACAGAAAAGGAGACGAAGTACATGCACCTTTTTGGAACGTTGGACCCAGTTCGAGGAATGAATGGGGCACCGAGTTACACCCCTCATCCGTCTAAAACAAAATTGTGCGAGGACATGGAAGGGGAAACCACTGGCTGGACTGCAAAAATAACGCCACGTAAAAAAAGGTATGCAAAATACTCATATGAATAATAATTATTATAAAATCATTAAATTATAATAACCGTGACCACAAAAAATTTATAGAGTTAAGGAGGTGCATTGGCAAATTCCTGTTGCTGAATGTTTGATGCAGATGGCAGATCACAGAGGCTCCTCGTCAAATATTGCCAACTTTATCATGGAAAAACATCCCATCTATACCTCTTCCTATCGTGCATTTGTGAACCTGATCGCGAAATATTTATCAAATGCATGTGCTAATGACATACCAACTAAACCGTTAAGTTCAACTTCATCAGATTGGTTCAAGATGTACAAAAAAGGGAAACGTGGATATAGCAAAAATGAAGATTGTGCGTCTATTTATGAACTGAAGGATCCCAAATCAATTGCCGACTTCGAAAAGGATTATGAAAAAGGATTAATTGATCTGGCTAAGTGGGAAGAAGAGAATGCCTCACAAAAGGGAAAGGCTGAAAAGTCTTATCTTGAGAAGGATAGTTCAGCAGATGAGTCAATTGACGAAGGTTAAATTATAGATCTCCTCCAAGTGTTCAACGTGAATAACAACGTGTTAGATTTTTAAGCTAAATAATAAATTTAATGTATGGCTAAAAAGACCAATTACCGACAAAACAAGAGGAGCCGAAATCAATCACTTTAATTGCGCTGGAACCTCTCCGTCGTAGAAGAATGTTTTCCTGGAAGAAGAGAAAAACAAGATGAATTGATATTCATAATATTCATAAAAAAATTTCAAGAATCTCATTTATTTTAAAATTAAATTTTCCAATGCATCCAGTTCAAACGGTTTCTACAACATACGTGCATGTACTAAATATTATTACTTCATCATCCACCGAGGTAGAAGAAGGCTTATCTTAATTTCGTCATTGTGATGCTTTCACAACGACGGAATTGTTGTAAGGAGGGAAGAGAAAAATGTAATATCCATGCAAAACTAGGCTTGCCAAATCCAATATGCGCATTATGCTGTCCGATAATGAGGAGACCCTTGCTATTACAGGACGCACAAATTTATGGTGATTTGTTCTATGCAAACCTATCCAGTATTCTTTCTCGGTGTTGCAACAAGTTTTTACACATAATTTTCCATAGACCTAAATGAAACGAATCGGGAATACGAAATTTCAGAATTCGTTACGTAACTATTCAAAGAGTATTTTCCAGTGAAATTGGATTTTTCTTATATAATAGATGGGAAGCTGCATATTATGCAATAAGCTCATGACAATTGGACGGTAGAATTCATCACTGACTTTTACAGGTCGTGAACTAGATTTTATTTATACGTATGTACGACCGTATTATGTATGCAATGACAAAAAGATCTCATGATAGTCGTAGCCATAATAATAATAATGTAAGATTGAGTGACACGATCAAGTAAATCCAGTTAAGATTTTCTCATGAACCAGAAGCCTTTCTCACCTTTGCCAATACTACTAGCAGTGATATACATGAACATAACTACTTTACATTCCACACCATATCCACAGTTAATCCAATTCATGTGAGAACAACGGTTGAAATTTAACTGTATCTGTCTGCCTGTCTCCCAACCAACAAAGGTGTGCGGTAGAGTGACATTCTTCATTAGTCAGTCAGAACACAATACAGCAGCACAATAATGAAAAGTTGTGTCACGAAAATAAACTACAAAACCAGGCATGCAGCTGAATTTGTCAAGTTTATGTGTGTAACGAGACAGTGGTGTATGAAATCGGGAACAATGTCATTTTGTGGCTGGCTTCTAACAGAATTGAACAATTTGCATTTATGATTGTCATCACAAAGCTTTGACGACAAACTTCCAGGAGCAAGTGATGCACTATAAATTGTAGTAAAAAAGGCACCTGCTGAGTCTGACCCACTTTACCCCAATTTTATATAAATAATCCCTATCAGAGGTAACAAACTTATTCTTACCGGTTTCAGATCGCAGTGGATGATATTTTCCTTCTTGAGAAGGGCAAGACATTTCAAGAGTGAGACAGCAAACTTCCTTATGAGTCCTGTGCTAAAACCTTGGTAGTGGTTTCGTCGTATAAGTTCATACAGGTTGAGTGACCTAAAAATATTAGCAAGGAAAAATTAATACAAAATGTCTCAAATTAGAATAATTCCATCACTTACATCAATTCAAATACTATGCAAAGATGATTACGGAAGTAAAAGGAACTAAACATTCGTATAACCTATAAAAAATGAATAATTTCATGTAAGTAACATATGGTTAACAATAGAGGACTAATAATCCGATCCTTATCGTATCAAGTGGCTACCGTATTATCATGGTCCCGTTTGCGTAAATGCTCCAAGATCTTGACTTCAACTAGAGCTTGGGCATGGAATCGCTTCTTATTTCGGATTATCTTGATTGCCACTTGACTCTGGGTTTTGTGGTCTATAGCTTTAATAACTTGGCCGAACGACCCTTTTCCGATTACTTCCAATATTTCGTACCTGTAGGCCAAATGATCCCGGGTCACTGGAACACATAAAGAAGAAGAAAAGAACAATAAGGATGTGTCGAGATTTATGGTGCATCATGTGTCCCGTATCTCATAAAACTACTTGATAGCAAATATTATGGCGCAAGTAGTTCAACGACTTCCTAAAACTATGCAATACAAAACATGTACGAGTGTTCCAGTTCGGGCAGTATTGATTTCCTACTTTGTGCTGTGACTAAAAGCAATAGACTATGGAGAGAAAGAGACAAAGATTAATAATGAATGCGTCCCCAGCAAAGTGCGCGTCTCGCATATTACTCATCCCGATGTAGTCATGTCACAAACGAAACTTTGCAATAATAATTAATTGTATGTATAGCATACAATTTATATCTATACATGAAAACAATGTGCTAGTAGATAGATTGATCGCAAAAAGTTCTCTATTAAATTGGAATTAAAGTATTAAATAAAGTACAAGGTTAGCTACTTTGGAGGTTAAGTGTTTTCAATTTGGCTTCATTATACTAGTTTAGTCAAAGATTCGAAACAATTTGTCCGGAAAGTGGTTGAGTGGGTGGATTACGAGTATATTTGTGGACAAATTCGTCTCGTCGGTCTTGCTTTTACTTGATCATCAGTTCGACAAGGGAATCAAGCAAGGTTGCAGAGAAGAAAGTAGTAACGAGACGGCTTAGGTAAGATCTAGAGATCCCAGCCAGGCACACTTCATCCAATTAAGATGAAACTTATTTTCGGATTTTCAGACCCAGCAAGAGAGAGAAAGCGGACGCAGTCGAATGGGTCCACGTTTGCAATTTGTCACTCGAGTGTAGCAAGAACTGTTATGTAAGGTTCTGTCTGTATCAAGCAAAACCACATCACAGAGAAAATGCATGATTAATGATAACTCGTGGTTTGCGGGGCACGTTCTCCATTTCCAAGGCTTTCCATATTACATTACATGTCGCAGTATTGATGCATGGTATGTGCTCCGCTGCCAAGTCCCCCACCAAGATTTGTAACAATTACGCTTAATTTTCCTTCGGAGGATTGATCAAAACGAATTCCGAGAAGAAAATTGCATCGTCTTTCCGGGACAGATTAATGGGAAATTTGTGTAACGAGTCACTTGCAGAGGAGCAGACGTTATCAAGATAAGATAAGAAGACATTTCCGATTGATGAGAATCTGACGTGACCGTTTAATTAATTCTATTTAGTGAAAATCGAATTAACTCTAAACGCGTGGAGGGGAAAAGCAGCTTTAAGTAAGAGCCAAAGGTCAGTGCGCAAAAGTTATAACGGAATATTTGTTCGCCTATGAAACTGAAGGTGGAATGGAGATAAAGGGTGAAAGTGAATTCGTGTAATAGTCCTTGTCACATTTGATGAACCTTTGAACAATCGCCCGTTGTCTGACATTGCCCATCGTGAAACAAATGGTTGTCAAGCTGCATCCGACAGAATGATAAATACGTGGTCCGTGGTGGCATGGCGATGGTGTGAGGCTACTAATGGGCAAAGTGATCAAAATCCGAGGTGAAGGGTGGTGGCACTTGCACGTCCCTCTTTAAACTTTAGTTTTAGAGTGTAGGTACCTATGTATAAGTGCAGAATTTTAGAGTGCGAGAGTCAAAAGGATTTTCTTCACGTTGAATTTCATCTTTATGAGCTTTTGCTTGTTCCTGTATATCCCTCGGGTCACCTAGTTCCACGAAACGAGAGGGAAAGGAGAAAGCAGCTCTTGACTTTTTGTGCCCTTCAAAATTTCATAATCTCACTGCTTTTTCGTGTTGATGATTCAAGGTCTATCCAACCAAGTACTCAAACACGTACTCAAAATCAACCAGCCAGGACGACAAGGAGAAATTGCATTACTATTGCATTTCTCTGAGAATGCGTCATTACTTGTGCTGGCAGCAAAGCAATAAACCTATTTTGGGGCAGCATCAATAAGGAATGTCTAAGTTAAACATGAATGATCAGACAGAAGAGAGAGAGAGCGCGGCATAGCGTTCGTTACGGATTATCACCACTTTATCTTGTAATGTCACGATGCTCAGTATATGTATAATGATAAGGCCGAGTTTATATGGAATTTTGAAGAATTGGGTGGGTTCCTGGGACATAAATTACGTTACATTAAGCATATTACAATAACTACCACCAAACTCTCGACATTTCCTTTCCTGGAAACTATTTATCATGGGACTTTACCATCGAATATCAAACCAAATTAATTTCCAGCTTTGTGTGCTGTGCACTTTTCGGTTCGTCTTTGGTGGATTTTGTAGGAGAGGAAGAGAAAGAGAGCAACCTGGGAATTCTCGTGGCTCTCATCCAGCTGCACAAATAAATACGTTTCCGAGAAAGGAAAATACGGGAAGAGGTGAAAGATGGATGTAGGCAAATCCTTCCAAATGACTGTCGAGGAAAACATCGTCTGCCTGCACGACACTTGACTGTATCGACGGAATGGTTAATATAATTCTATTCCTTTGTTGTCTGAATGTATGGTGTGTAAAGGAAAAATGGGGAAAAAGTCTAGAGAAAGATAGCGTAGGAGTAACCCAAAGGAATATTTTTTGTCTCAAGCAACAAACCAGATCATAATTCAACTAACTGGATGCATTTACGTCAACTAAAATAATGTCGAAACTGTGCTATTCTATTCTTATGCGTAATGATGATGACGATGATAAATGAATCATGTCTCAAATTGCAAAGTAAGCAAAATCTCATATTATTCTCAGACTGACCTTTCCATTTAATGATAACCATTACTTGCATACCATGTAGATATATTGTCTGTCTGTGGTTTATTAAATACTTAATAATATTTAACTTGTCTCACCTTTATGATAGTTGCCGTTTTCATCGTCATACCCCGCGTTTAGAGGATTGGTCTTTTCTCCGCTAATTTTTCTCACAGCATCCTGCCCCAGATACCACGATTGCGGATACTTGCTTATTTCTGATAGCTCCCACGAAGTTAAACGGGAAGCAAAGTATCCTACTGCGGCTGAACATGCGATATAACCACAAAATACTTATTAGATTTTCGACCGTGACGAGTTAAAGTTAGTTTGGCATTTTTTTCTACAGACAAATTGAAAAGATTACCTTCAGGAGTCAAAGGCCACGAAATAATATCACTATCTTGCGTCTTGCATGAGTAGTTTGCACTAGTTGTCGAGTAGGATAGAGCATTGTTGCTGCTAACAATGGTGGTAGTTTTGTTAGAAATTGGTGACGTCGTCGTACCCGAATCGTCCTTGTTGCTACTGCTTCCATTTGACGAGGAGTTGTTGTTGTTGACCACGGATGGTATCGGTTGCTTCTTCTGGTTGGCCTGTAAAAAAATAAATAATTTTGAAATTAATAAATTTCCTATTTTATTTCAACTAAATATGCAAATATAAAATACTTATCATTACTTGTTTGCCATTTCGAAAAGGGGGGAAAGTATTATAATACATCGAACTGAAACGTATGTCCAGTCCACATTTGAGACACACCTGTCACCCCTTAAATTCTACTAATTATGACACCAACTGGTAATCATTAACCACATTTTTCCTCCATCTCAAGAAACATACTAATTGAAAAGAAACTGTTAATTGGTGCAGGTGCAGTTATATTATCGAGTATTATGTCGTGGAAAACTTTTAATTCACACCTGATCACTAATTTATTAGCACCAAACCTCAATAACCTCCTTCTTAAACAAATCCCAGTCAAACTACTCCTGTCTGGATACACGCCTGCATGACCAGGAAAACTGTCCTTCTTTGTCTACTTTTGCTATCTATCATTCCCTTGTCGACAAGTTGCAAAATGCTCGGAGGGAGACACGGAACGAACACGTTGTTCTGTCCCAATAAATATATGCCTTGTCCTTGTTCTCTATCTCTCTTGAGGACACAGACGAAGAGGAGAGCGAAAAATTCCCTCTGATTTCCCTCCGCAGCTGGTTTCGTACTGCACTCGCTCGTCGTATGATGGGTAAAAACGTGGGAGAAAATTATGAGCTGGAGAGGAGGAAAGCGAGTTACAAGTGCCACTCTGGCCAAAAAAGGAAGCACCCAACTATATAAACCATGTAGGGCAAGGAATGTGTGCAATGTGCAGATGGTCCAAGAAATAGCGAGCAAAAGACCCACTACCACCAAAAGTGGTGTGTGTGGGTAAAGTCTAACGCATGAGTCTTCCCGAAAATCAATAGGACGAACCATCCCTCATTTCAGCGAGAGACTTACTTTCACCCAAGCTTTCTCTCCGTGCTTTTGCCTTTTCCTCCTATCTCACTTTGAGCAGGAGGAGGAAGACTTTCTCAATTTATTCTTCTCTATCCACCGCATTCCTTAAGTGGTGACTTGACCTGTATAAATATGTGCAGGGAGAAATCCTCGTGAATAAGAAAGGAAAAAGTTTTATTCTCGTCCAGATTTAGACTTTTGGTATGCTTTCGAAATTGGAAAATTCAAGCCCCTCTTTAAACCTGACGGTAAATATCAAGGAGGTGGAGCAATTTGTGTTGTGTGAGGAAAACGTCGAAATTTACCCTGAATAATGTATGCGTGCAATTATCTGGGCATGTTTGCATGTGATTTCGTAACACAAATTGTGATACTGCTGCATGGAATTAGATATTTACTGTATGGGTTAACTTGTTCTATTTTTGTTTTCTTGTTTTTCCTCCATCGGAATATTTAGAATAAGTGCAAATTCTCACACGAAGTTGGCTTGAGTGGGATTGTTTCCCAATAATTGAATCGTCTCGCATTAGGTTGGTGTATAAAAGAAGAAGTTTGCGTATAGATTTAGCTGATTGGCATCGGTCGGGTGTGATGGACTGCAGCAGAACGGATGGAAGTCTGTTGTAATGTAATGGAGAGAAAGTTTATCATATAACAGAAAATCCTGCTGCTATCAGCATGCCGGAACAACAACTATCCGATGAACCAACTTTCTTCAACCAACTTTCTCTACAAGTCAAGCATGTAACGGGACACGTACACTTTTTCCACACAATTCTTCGTAATGATAAGTCAACATGGCTCTCTATAAAAAATAATAACATTCCTACACTTCAATAACCTACCCCGATGGTCATGCATGTAAGCGAGCGTGTTGCCGATATAAAAATCAATATGGGATTCATATTTACCCATTTTGAACGATGACGTGTGATGCACATGTCTCATTAAAGGGGAAAAGTCATAAACTGGATTTGCCACATGAACTGAAAGGCTTATTGGGTGTCAGTTTCAAGAAGGTGGAATACCACCACACTTGGAAGTAAGTAAGTACTTATCCAACCATGAGAGAGACAGCTCGTCGGGCGAAAATGCCCACCACATATGTACACACACATCCATAAATAAATTCCAAAATGCCATTGTAGGCAGAAATTCTTTGGCTTTGAGAGATAAATCTAAACCTCCAATAAATTGAAGTACAGCTGCTACGTAATTCTCTCCTTGTTGTGTTGGGATTCCTTCTTGTGTGCCGGAATTTCAAAAGCATACTTTCTCTCCTCTCGGTCTACTTCCATTTCCAGGCAAAACTTTTTATCTCGAATGAAATCCTATTGTATGCATGCGTCATGGAGGAATTGAACCGGAAAAGCTTACAACAGGACATGGATGGAGAGGAAATTTCGGATTTCTGACGCTACATACGCCGTGACGAAGAAGAAACCAGACAACACAACACAACCAACTGTGGAGTGAGATGTCTAGATTCAGCACGTATTATTACGTTGGATGTCATTGTTGATTTTGATTTGATGGGAAGTAAGTAATAGTGATATACTATTTGTGGAGGAATTGTGTTGAGGCTACATATGCACACAAAATCTGTTGTGCCCAGATTTTGGCACGACGACAAAGACTTGGGTGACACAAGGCAGGTGGTATCGTCATCATGGAATATAGGCGGCGACTTGTGTCGAGGTCAATTATTTGTCGACTTGCTGACTTTCATGTCTCATTTAAGATGAAAGTATGAGAAATGAATCGAAAATCTGTAAAGGAAAGGCGATTCCTGTTTGATGCTTCCTTTCTCTCTGTGCGCGTAGGGAGATGAATTGAATGACACATGCAGTCATGTACGTAATTTTATGTCGTGTGGGTGCCCCATTATTGTATACAGAACTTAATACTAGCAAGTATTTATTCTCTGAGAACTGGGCGAATAAATAAATTACCTAGCGGAATGCTTTCTCTTCCTCGAGGCCTCGACAATTCTGTGACGCAAGCAGCAAACCTGCCCAATCAAACATTGATATGGACTATGGAGTCGTGACATTGAATTACTTGGACAAATGTTGTTGCACGAGCGAGCAAAGGCAGAGGCAAATAAATATTCACCAAATTCCCGGAAACGACGAGGGAAATTATTACTTTGATATGGCTGCTTTTTATTTGCTGTAACTTCATCTCGCCAACCACAACAACAGTGCTCGTGTATGTACATGTTTTTCGTCCCAATTATTGGGTGGGCTGTGCAAGTAAATAAATTAATAGAGAAAAAACGTGGAAGTGATGCATCTTCATAATAGCTCGAAAACTTTGAAAACGAAACCACTGACCTTCGTTATGCTTATATATTATGCAAGTTTTGACCATATTGGGGAAAAGTTAATTAAGTTGCAACTGCCAATATTTAATCATTTTCCTATTGACTTTATTCCTTGATTATTAATTCAAACTTACGTAATATGTATGCGAGTAGGAAAGAGTGAGTGCATTTATCGGGTTTTATTTATGTTTGCTTGACGTCACGAATTCATATTCAATTTCTATATGTAGCATATTTTAGCCCATTTTGGGTAGAACAGAACAGTCAAGTGAGGTTAATGAAAGACTGAGAGTGGAGAGAGATCGATCTTTGAATAAACTTTACTCGGAATCATTGAACCAAGTTTGAGAGAGTGCTTAAGGTATTAATATTCACGACCTTTTTACTTGCATGCATCTATTGACGCCCGTATTTAGACATACGTAAGACCTCTTTTGATACAGCGTGTTATTTTTACATTTCCATGCTCAAAAGTTTATAGCAACCTTTGACATTTCGCTCTGTTGTCGTTCCACCTGACTTGATAGATCGGATTAATGGACCGATCGCCTACTTCTGCTTCTGTACATACGTATCTACGTACATTCAAACTAGTGACACACAAGAAGTTTCGTCGATAAGATGAGATTTGCATTCACAGGCAGGCAGGAGGACCAGAAGGAAGGACAGACAGACAGCTTCTTCTTCTTCTTCTTCTCCAATCGTAAATACGTAATGCCATCTCCAAAAGTGGAAAAGAGCTTATACAAACTTAAACCTTGGAACTTTTTTACAGCACGAAAATACTCTCCGACAACTCGGCACTCAAGTTTTTTCGGTTATAATTCATATTTCATATAGAAATTGCATAAAGACGAGTTTTGCTTTGACTTTAGGGCCCAAGGACTCGCAATTTCTGGCCAGAGAGATTTATCCTAGGTTTCTCATCCATAAATTAAAGTTTGGGATGAAAATTCCTCCCAAAATTAAATCTTAATCCAATTTGAAAACAATTTCCTGGAGAGGAGAAAGTTGAGAAAGTTTGAGGACACCACTTTGGCTCAAGATGAGAAAATCGGCATGCCTGCTGACGGATATCCTTCCTTCGTCATCGCCTTATGAGATGAAAGACCTTGCAACGATTAGATCAAATTTGATCACGAAGTAAGAAAATGACACCAAGAACGAATGGAACGGATGCATGGGGAGATAATGCAGACGTCTGGTATGCGTATAGTTCTTATTACTGATGGTGGCGTGGTAAGGTTGGTGTTTGTGCGAAATTCTTGATGCAAGTTATATTTATATGGTGTGAGATAGATAATAAAATGTAATGGCAAACTTTACTGTGGTGAGATTTGGATCAGATTATTTGGATGTCAACAGCGAAACGAAACGAAGCCAAGCGAAATCACTTTCTCCCACAAACTCCACGAGTGTCTGGCTTGTGAATAGGCCACTAATTCGATTAATTAGCGTGTTATTTGCAGAGAATTCACCAATTAGTTCTGAATGGGATGAAAGACGACATGCTTTCCTCCTTCCGGCCTTTCTACATAACTTCTTTGCTGATATAAACCTTGACATCGTGAAATTGTTTGTGCTTAATATTTACATGTGCATGGTCCGTCGGCTCGAATAAGTGGCGTGTCACCGGCCAAATTTGTGATCCCATCTTTAAAATCTCTCTCGTGCATTCTCAACTAAATTAATTATATTTGCACCATGAACCGTTATGATGGCATGATATCGTTCGTTTTATATTATTTCGAAACAACAATAACAGCCGAAGAGAGGTTTCTATTTGCTAGAGTTACAAATCAAAATCTGTGAGACAAATTCCGACCTCGCAATAATAACAATATGTAATAATCCCGTGGGAGAGTGTCTCTTTGTGAGGAATTTATCCGCTTTAATTGGCAAAATTAAATTGGATCCAACCAACCAACCCTTTCACATATTGGTTATGCTGGACTGGATTTGAAAATCAGCCAGATCCTGTTTTCCCTTCGGATTCACAATCAAAGAGTGAATGTGGTTGAATTACATATAAATTAATTATTGAATCAGCCATGAGTATTAATTTTCTGTTGAATTAATTGTCAATCATATATGCATTCATACCCATGTACAGTGGCGCGTCATAATCACATTGATTCATGTGTCACTAGCCATAACCACAATATATTGATGACAGTTGACATGATAAAAGGGCAACGCATATTTATAAAACCTGTCCATTGGATAAGCAAACATTGGCATAAAAATATCTATTTTTTGCTGTAATTTTACCCTACCCTTTAAACGCAAGAATGGCCTTTAATTTTTAAAAGCCATACGAATATCATGTTCATATCTATCTGTAACACACGACTTTGTGCCGCCGGTCTCAGTGAAAATAAAAAAAAGCAAAAGGAAATGAAGCTCCTTCCGGTCCGGTGTGGTGTAATAATGTAAAAGTGGACATGTAAAATACAATGCACAGGTTGTGCCTGCCTGGCCTGCCACTCGAATGAGTTATGTAACGACTGATGCTACCATTATGATTAACATTCTGCTTGTAGCACATGCCCTCTTCTTCTCCGGTTGCCGTCTGGCTTCTTCAAAAGTCCTTCGTTTTCTTTGTGATGACAAGGTTCGAAAAGAAGAAAGGATAAGAAAAGATGGCATGCGATATTACTTCCACCCTTTCGTTTAATAAACCTCAGATGGTCATTGGACGACGACGACGCACTTCTAAACCTCCAGACCTAAACACGTTTTTATTCAGTTGGATCGGGCAGGTGAAAATTATTTCACACACATTTCGTTTTTCGTTTCAATCGAATTGTGCCGAGACTATAATTCAAATTCCATAATTTGACCATGAGGAATCACATCTGGCTGAACCGGACTGCAAGCAACACATCCGTTCAATCCGGTTGTGGTTGTAATCATTACGACGGGAACTCGGCCGTGGAGAGAAATTTTCTATTTCATTTTATGCATGGCATGTCCACCCAGCAACAGTTTTGAGACTGTTGGTGTGCTAACCCAAGTCAAAGGTGATTCAGGATTGATGTGATGTAAAAGTAGGCAATGAGCTAATGCGATGAAATGGATGATACTTGATTTTATGACGTTACTTTATGGCATGACATGTCAACCATAATACTACAAAATGAACCTGACTCTTGTATACTGTATCCCAAAATGGTTCGTTGACCAAACACGCACTGCTCTATGCATGTGTATGCACTTTGTTATCTTTCATGTCATTGAATGATGCTATTTGTTCGTACCTGTTTCTTCAACGCTCGCTAACTTGCTTCCATTTTCATCTTCTCGAGTAATATTAACTTTTGGAAAGAGTAGTAAAACATTAGAATCATAATTCTCTCATGTGTGGCTCATTTCATGTCAACTTATAAATATTACGACACTGCCCACCTGGGCTGCACAATGCTTTTACTTTTACGATCCACACGCAAATTGTAAGTAGGGTGTGAAATATTGGTAATAAATTAATATGGACGATTCCAAACCAGACAAGAAGACCATTTCATTTCAAGTAAATACATAAAATGATGCCGTCCATGGGAGACATTTTCTTAAAATAACTCGAAAACAAGTTGTATAACGGAACGAAAACATGGATATATCACAGAGCAAAGTTGGTGAACAATGTCTGATGAGATAAGGAGACGACAAACGCAGACCGTCAAGAGGAGACGGTACAAAATGAAATAAAGAGCAGTTTCATGGGGAAATTGACTACACAGTTCTGAGAAGGAGGAAACCAGATTACACGCAAAAGTAATGTCACATTTTAGATAGACACAGGTTGTGAAATTCTGAAATGAAGCTCCGCGAAAAGGAAAGTAAGTCAGTGTAATAGGTTTTGGTCTTAATATTCTTGTCCGGGAGGTCACCGGATATTATTATGCGGCCAGAACGAGAAGAAAGGAGATGTAATGTAACCATCCAATTTATTCATGCAGAGGAGATCCCATAAGTTCCTTTCTCTCCTGTATTTACTTACTTTGCCTTCCACTCACACACGCTTTTTGCTTATACTTTTTCATAATAATGATACATAAGAAGGGCTAATATGTAAGACTGCATAAATATTATTTACACGAGTTCTAAGACATTTTGACTCATTCTTCTTCTTCTTCTTCTGACGGGATAAGTAATCATCAACGTCTCATCAATTTTTAGCAAGTCGACATCACAACATAACCGTAAAACCTTGCGCGTAGGTTGTGCCGTGTATTTAGAATTAATAGTCCGTCATGAGAATAAATTATGAGGATCACATTAGATGACTAACTGTCTTCTGCATCATCTTCTCACAGTGCAGCTGGTGATGTGTATAATTCTATCTTGTAGTGTGTGTTTAAAAAAATATAAACTGCTCCAAAGGTCAAAGTTCAGGTGGTAGGTAGTTTAACAGAAAATTCCAAATTGATCAATTTCTACACAAAACCAGATCTAGGCAAACGAAACCAATTCAATTTTTGGTTGATAATAATTTTACAAAACATCAAGATTTATTACACGAGTTATTCCACTGCTATCTCCTACTGATTAGGATTACGATGTTACTACGAACGAATGTGAACGATTTCTTCATGCAGTCTCATTTTATTTTATTTTATTTTATTCCGTATTACAGTTGGCAACAACCTACAAAAATATTTCGCCCTCATTTTTTACCATATTTTTACTATTTACTCATTCATGGATGAACGAATTCTTTGAAAATTTTGCATTTTTTCACACACGAAATAAGTACACGAACTTAATGGCTTTAGGGGCTGGTTAGTTGTACATATGCATGTGAAATCATAACTCTAGTACAGATTCTGTAGTATGAAAATAATGCAACGTGGGTGCAATTTAATCCAGCATCCACATCCTACACGGCTTGTTAAGAGTTACTTAATGTTCAAAAATCTAACAATGTAATTGCTGACACCCAATGACTGACTGACAGTAGTGAGGCATATAAAATCACGTCATGCAAGAGCAAAATCATGGCATTTTCATCGTGGAAATCCGCACTACTCTTTCATTCCGTGCTCATTTAGTGCTTTGTTTGTTTATTTATTTATTTATGCAATAATGGACAATCAACAATGCAGGAGGCAAAAGAGAGAGAGAGAGACGAACTTGATACATAAAATACACATGTCGAAATGCTTAAACAAAGCATCGTGGTTTGGGTAGCACGGGAAAAAATGTGTACAAAGAATGTATAGGATTTCCGTTTAAATTCATTCCACAATGCTACGGACCAGTTAATTGCAACGCCCACAATCACCATTCTCACGTTATATTCATATTATGCAATCCAATAATGCAAGGCAACCACCCGACATTTGAATCTTTTTGCCGTCATCATCATCATCATGAGACATTTTGTTTTTCTATCGCCAGCAGGGAACTTTGTTTTACTTGGTTTAACTTTTGTTCACAAATTCCATCTCCAACTATCTCAAGGTTTCTCAATTAAGTAAGCAAAACGGCGAATACTTTCTTTACAAGTACCATCTTGTGAATTAAGCAGACGAGAGGATGCAATGTAATCTGAGCAGCAGCACCTTGTAACTTTGTATTTGTGTAACCTTTAGTTTCATCCTGGAGGAGACATCAATCTCTCCTCGTAAGGAATAAGAGAATAAAATTCGACTCCTGGGTGGCTGGCTGCTTTTTGAATACAAGAAATTGCACAAGTGAAGCCAGTAGGAAATGAGGGAGAGGCAGGTGCATTTCATTTTACGAATTTTATTCGACTTCACAGAAACAAAAAGCGCAAACCCTTCTTGTTTGTTGAATGGAATGATGATGATAATGATGATGATGAGCGAGTTTCCTTTGTCTTGACTTTTTATTAAGATTTTTCCAAGTACTTTTTAAGTATTGTTTGTTTTTCTCCACTACTGCTCCCACTTGCCACTTGTTTAATTGTAATTATATTACATCACATACGTACATTTGAATGTATTTAATATGTTGAATTTGAAACACCAAAGTTGGACCAAAAATTATGTCTCGAACCACTCGAAAAACTACCCTGTTTGGTTCTGAGCATGTTAAAAATCTTCAATTAATTAATTTATTGCAGTCATGTCATACGGCCATAAGTTCCTGCCTTTAAGTAAATAATTTTTCCAACACACAATTGTCCTGACAGTGATTGTTATTGGAGGAGTTTACTAGAGATTTGCGGGTGACACGGGGCAAACTGAGCATTTGTCTCACGCACCCCAATTACAACACATTGGGATAGTTCCCACGACCAAAAAGAAGCGGGCTTCGAATTTTCTTTCTTCATCAGACGTTCAGACAGACAACACTCTCCCAATCGAGATTTTTTATATACGAACATTACTTTCTGTCAATAAAAAAAACTGAATATTATCGAAATGCACAATAAAAAAGGAAGACAGATAAAAGGAGTGCAACCCCCTCTCAGAAAACCAACCCCCCCAAGACGATTCTGGACTTCTTCAAGAAGTAAGTCCAATTACAGTTTTTACAATAAAGCTCCTTCCTCTCCAACAATGGGATCGTTCCCAAATAATAATACTGTGGTGTGGCAATGAAATGTTTTTTTTTATTTTTGAAGGTCTGACGCCAGTCCCAGCTCTTCGAGTGCGAACATAAGAACGGCTTTCAAACCCGTGCAGTCTGACCAAATACGAACCCCGGCTCTTTTGTAAGTGGCTTTACACTCCAAAATGGGAACCCAGATAATTAAACATGGTTGTGGGAGCGTTCCCAGATACTTAAACATCGACTTTAATTTATAGGAGGAATGAAGAAGAGGCCATGAGCTGCTCCCCATTGCCATCAAAACCGCGTCCACCACCATCCGCAACTGCCACCTCCGGAGCATTTGAATTAGTTGAACAGCAACAGCTTGGGATTTTGAACCCTATGGTGTCATATTCTTCGAAGTAAGCACTCTTTAACCAACGAAAAGTTTGTTGAATCGGTGCAAAGTAAATAAATAATAACACTTCATTGGTAGGAGGGACTACTCAACAATGGAGGAAGAAGAACAAGTTGCCTCCACCACTACCGCAGTGGGATCACCAACCAATGACGATTCAGCGGATGTTCATAATCTCCCACTTCCTTTGGGAGCGCTCCCATTGGATGAGTCATTCGAGTCAGAGGAAATCACACCTCACCCAAAGTGGGGAAAGGTAATTAGGCTGACACATTAAAATAATTGGTTTATTGTATCATCACCTCATTGATTTGGATCCTTTTATTCTAGTTGTCGGTTCATGCTCACCAGCAGCAACCACGGGTGGCCTTGTTGGAATTTTACGAGAGAGTAAGGAATAACCCGAAGCTGCGGGATGACAAGAATCTGGCAGAGCTGCAAAAGGCGGCGGAGTGGGGGCTCACTGGAACCGGTCCGGAATTTACACCTACCAAGCTGAATAAAAGTAATGGATGCGAGATTTTTTGGGACCGTTCCCATGTGTGGACCCAATATCATTATTATATTCTATTTTAAATTGCAGGAGGCCCACCCCTGATCGGCTATTATTTTGACAACGGTATCCAGAATTATAATGCCGCGTTATTCTCGGCAAAGCAAATGAATAAAAATGTTGAACGTCCGCATAAGTACAACCCTGAGTACTTAGATCGAATGAAAGCATCTGTTCAAGCACACAGGGACAATGCCCCAGACCTAGAGGTGTTGTATATTGGAGCCGTCAGTCACTACTCCGTCCAAGACATCATTAAGGAGTATCAGTGGTCCCCAACTATGGGACCGATCCCAGTTCATGACAGGTCAACTGGGACTGTATTCTATGTAGGAATACATGGTGGTAAACTCTTGGGATATCTGGGTATCAGATACGACCATCCGCGGGAAAAGACCTCTCCTCTCTATCAGAATTCAGTTGGGGCAACAACAAATCCAAAGAACATGTATCAAATTACTTATCGAATGTGCGATAGCCGAGACACGAGAGAATTGGCTGAGTCCTTCATTATGGTATATTTATTGTTTCATATGAAAATTTTCCTATATGGGATCGATCCCGTATTTATGTATTGTAATTTGCAGCGATACTCACGTGGATGGAACCAAAAATACGGGACTGAGTATTTTATTACGAAAGTGCGAAGTCTTAAGCAACATCCTGAATTAAAGACCAGGGCTGATGAGTACGTTGCTGCCGGAATTCCATTATTCGAGATCGATCCAAATTGGGATCCATCCCAACAATGGAAATATTGGACATTGGAGGAGATGACAACTCTTCCCATCAAAGTTGGACCGTCGGAGGTGGTGAAGGTTTGGGATGCAACCACTCAAAAGCAAGTTTACAAATTTCCACGAGTGAAGAATACTGAAGAATTGCTCAAACAGTTTCCCAACCCACCTGAATCATTTTTCAAAGGAAAACCAAAACTGGAGGATGAGTGTCGCGCAGTTAGAAATTTGAACTAAATATTTTTTCTTTACCTTTAATTTTAATATTAACTGTTACAAACTATCGTTAGTTTTTATTATCCTCCTTTATTTTTATTCGTATCCTTTTCTGGCGTTGGTTGGTGGTGGGAATTAATGAATTCGAGAAAGACAACTTCCCACTGGGAGAGCAAATCTGAGCAAATCTGAGCGAATCGTAGGCACGCAGGTTAAAGAATTGTGATTTTGAAACATCTCACTGCAATTCTGTCCTCTCTCTGTCAATGAAATAAACCAAGTACAGTGGTGGATGGATGACAGTGGAAAAATCGTCTTTGTTCCGACACCGCATTTTATTACGTCTTGATTTCTATGATACATTTCCATTCAAAAAGAGATCATTGCAATAATATAAGTAATAAAAATCTCAATCTCCGTCGCCGAGTCCCACTCGACATTAAGATTACAGCCCCTGCAGAAGAAATTTATTATTCGTGATGTTTTAATTCAGGTTTATTTATTATTGTTCCATTTTCAACTGTTATAATTTGCATCGACGAGTATAAGATTGCTGCACTTTTTAGTTCATTGTGATCTCACGCAGCAAGAAGAGAATACAATTTATCCGTAAGTCACTTCTTGCAGATTGGTGGTGCCAGGAGGGATATGCAAAATCTTGTCTGCCTGAGTGAGAGACACGACGTCAAGTCTTTAAAAGGTAGAAATATGCTCCTCTTATAAAAGAATATCTGCACACATACCAAACACACAACAATAACAACATTGCCTTTGAGATTAGAGTTGTATTGTTGTTGGAAATTAAAATTAAAACGCGTTTTTCTTGTCCTCACCAGTGAAACCGCAATTATGCATCTTTTTAATGGTAGGTAATGCTCCTCGTAATCGTTGCAAAAATCTAAATCAGGCTAAACTATGTGGTATTACTGTTGTTTGTACTTGTGCGAATATAACAAGAGCGGTACGTATGTTCCATTAGTTTGTTAATTTAATACCTACGAGCTATAGGACATCCACATAGAAGGACATGAACTTGCTACATGAGTCGTTTCACTTCAATTATTACGTTTGTTTTACAAAAATTTGCATAAATGTTCATTCATTAAGGTACAAATAAAGTAAGGACAACTACAATGTATGAAATGCATACGAAATAAAGTCGTGTTTTACATTCGTGTTTGTTGGGAATGAATTGAGCCGAGATGGGACGATGAGCACAAGAAAATTCAGACCGACTTGATCTACATCTGTGTTGTTAACTTATTGCAAAAACTGGTAATTAGCATACAATGTGCAAAATATAATGTACACGTGTAATTCTACTATTCAATCATCATTATTAACTTATGTATGCATGCGTATAATAAAGTTGAATGAGCCCGTTAATTTTATTTTTCTGTGTAGGACACGTCGAGTTGGAAAAAAAGTGTGGTTTTAGATTTATTAAATTTTACAGCAGCCCTACCCCTTTTGAAATGCTCCGATAGCAATCGCGTCGTCGTTGTCGTTGTCGACGTCGGTAAATGAAATGTATAAAATATCGATCGATTATTAATATTGATTGTCTATTATTGTTGAATAATGGAATTGGAAAAGTGAGAATTTGTTTCATGACACAACGACGAACGAAGAAACGAAAGTTTTTCATGGTGAATACTTTCATGTGCTCATTATTATATTCATGGTGTACAACTTTAGCATGAAATTGAGGGTAGGTTACTACCAGCACGCCTCTCTCGAGTCTCTGATATAATACACAAATCTTTAGAATGGACACACAACTGTATCGCTTTAATTTTAAGTGAAACGAAGAAAATTGAGATAACAAATGTCACGACATGTCAGACTGACAATTTCGATCCTATCGCCAACATTATTTGCGCTGCCGTTAGCCAACAACAAACTAAGTTTGTAGACTCATTAAACTTTTCTTCATAACGCGCTTCTGGGTGACCTCGCCACTTTAATTGAATCCTGAATCGCTTAAATCAAAATTGATATGGGAAAAAAAACTTTCAATATGTACGTATAAATCTTGTCAAGTTCAGAGCCAAGTAGGAATGTATTGAATTTGAATAGCACAAATTCTTGGTCAAACCGGATCTGACTTGACTTGCTCTTATTTAATGTTCGATTTAAATAATTGTTATGATTTACAATTTGTCATATTACGAAGCCAATCGTGTTACTTGTGTGAATATTAACTTTGCTTTCTTACTGGTCAGATTATGCTCAATGTTACCTACAACTAATTTGAGTATTGTAAACTAATTATTTCTGACACACATGATGGTTTAAAAAAAGCATGTCGAAATTCTAACATGTTCTACTAACTTAATAGCGAATGCATGTCTATGAGAACAAGGCTGATTTGTTTCAAGGATGAAATGAAACTATTAAAAAATACAATTCCTCATAAAAGTGCACGCATTATTCTCAGCCGAATCAAAGACGTGGCGACCTATTCATTACAACAAGATAAACAATAATAATAATACGTACGTACGGTTCATATTATTACATTACTGACTGAGAAAACTGCAGTTAGAAAAACCGAAAAACCAGGAAGGGATCCGTGTAAGCAAATAGGTATCCAACCAAACCGGGAACAAAGGAAATAGTGTGTGCTGTACGGTTTTAATGAATGCCTGAGTAATACAAAGTATGTACTCGACTTTATGTCAATTCATGACGATTATTATTTTAAAAGTTGCATGAGAATAAAACATCCCATTATTTATTGTATGGTATCATTGTCATACAGTTCCAGACCAGAAGACTCGACTTTTTAAAGGAGCATTGAATTTGATCGTTGAACTCGTTTCAAAATTTTATTTTATTGTGCATCGTGTACAAAATGCCACGGTTCAATTTCAATGTTGGGATTTACGTCATTTGAAATTTGAACTTGCCAAATAAATTGAGCAATGTAAAGGTTTCGTTACTTTCTTTTTGTGCTTGAAAAATTTATGGTTTCATGTTGCACTTCATTATAGTTTTAGTACTCGTGTGTCTCCAGTTTATGATGGTTGGTTGTGGGGATGAGATTCACACAGATTCAGGTCGGTTGCATACATATATTGCATCGTATCATGGCACATTTTTCAAAGCAATTACACGGGCAATAAAGTCAGAGATAAAATTACGGAAAATAAATTGAATCCGCATCTATGTATATGTCTTAAAGTGTATTTAAGGTAAGAAGGGGGGATGAGTATGGGAAAGTATTTTTTGATTTATGCATGTCTGATTGAATAACTACTAAATTATGTACAAGTTTTCAATTAGAGGTAGTAAAATAAAAATTTGGTGGAAGGATTCTCTCACGATGAGAATATTGTTTTACGATTATGTATGTATCGCAGTTAGTTAGTTGACAATTAGAGATGCACATCATCTTAATGGCAACGAAACGACAGAGGAATATGAGATGGGCAATTAATACTGCTAAAAATGCGTAAATAATGAAATTGTGTATTCACCTGGAAAATGGTAAGTTTCATCTGAAAGCATGTCGGGCAGCCACAGTCGACCGGGTTGTCATGAAAGAAGACCGTGGTTAGTCCTCCATGTCCGTTTCCGTTACTGACGGAGGCATACCGCTTGTCAATGTAGCCATTTGACAGTCTCAAACCGAGCAGATCGTTGGAAGAAAGTGACGAGTAGGGAGAAAATTCGCAAATCGGATTCGTAAAGTTGGGTTGATATGAGACATTTCCATTCCCACAATTCGCAACGACATTCACACTTCCTGTAAACTCTTTCGAGGAAGTGAGATTATTTTCGAGAATGTCGTTTCTCGATGGATTTTTCGCATAGCAGGAGAGCGTCCTACGGACCCGGACTGAAGGATTTTTCCGGTTTTCTACTCCCACCCCGAGGATGGACATGCCATTAGTATTGGGATGATTGTTGTTGTTATGAACATCCGGACCTGCGTTAGGGTTACTGCTGCTGTTATTGTTCATCGTCGTGGTGCTGGTAGTGGTGGTTGAACCGTACATGTTTCCATAAATGGACGAGACGCTGTTGTTATTGTTGGTGGAGTTGCCATTACCAAGTCCGACATGATTATTATGATGATGATTGCCATTGCAGCTATTGGAAGAATTTGTAGTTGAGCAAAGATTGAGCGTTTGACAAGATGAGGCAGTATTAGATTTGAGATTGTTTGAAGCATCTCGTTTTGCGTTAAAGTTATTTCTAAAAATCTCCGTCTTGCTCAGTTTCAGGCCACCATGACAGTCGCATCCGCACATGGACATATTGCCAGAACCAGTTGTGGTGCACTTTTGTTGCTTGGTATTTATTGAGGCCGATCCTACCCGACCTGTTGTGCTTAGTCCTCCAGGTGTGTTAACACCATTCATTCCATTAAGAAGGAGAGATGATGAAGAATTATTATTGTTATGACCATGCGGCTGCTGCAAATGTTGCATCTGACTAATTGAGAGGGGAGGTTGTTGTTGATGGTGATGTTGCAAGCGTGCAGGCGTCGTGGTCGTCGTCGTAAAGGAAGAATTGGAGTTTGATCCGCCATTGGAAAGATTCAGGTATGAGGTGGAGGTCGAGTAAAAGCTGGAGTTTCTTAAAAGCCCGGAAGGTTTTGAGCTGCAAGTTCCGTTCGTTAATGTGGAGGAGGAATCTCGGAAATCTGGCTGATCGCGGAAGGAGAGGAATCCGTAATCGCTATTATGTAAACAAGAGAGAAGAATTCAATTCATAAAATCAAAAGAAAAATATAAAGAATGTAGCGAGTCCATGTATTCTTAAAATGCAGTGCAATTTGGAGGGAAAACTGGCCGCCCCGAGTACGTCGGCACTCTTCCAACAACCCTCATATAAAATCAGTCTCGATTCTCACTTTCCTCATCATACGCTCTCCGTCAAGAAGAAGAACCAGCAAGAAATCTGCGAAAGGAAATCTTTGAAAACTGGCATTAACAAATATTCTTCAGGTTTATATGTTGCAGAGTGCAACGAAGTACTGACGATGGTAAGGACCTTTTTTTAATTTATTTTTATTTAATTATGAGCTTATAATTTTCAAATTAATTTCCTTGCAGGCGGGTAACAAGTTAAGATGCCGCATTATAGATGATGGATTACTCTTCTATCACGATGGAGATAAGCAAATTGCTAGTAAGTTGTAGGCTAAAAAAATAATATAGGTACCATTACAATTTTTTAAATTAGGTCAAGAAATATATTGGGTTTGGATGCGAGATCGACCAAAGGATTTAAATGGCCATATTATAGTCAGCTACGGGAAAACTGGGGAAAACGTGAAATCCGCCCAACACATTCGAAGCAATTGCTTGGTGGAAGGATCGGATCTTACCGATCCTTCAGATGCTTGTGGGATTTCGTAAGTGAAGAAAGTTCAATAGTTTAGCATATGTATCTTATGTAAAAATTTGAACACACCAGGCATTTTTTGCGGGAGGGTGAAATGGACTTTCTGACTACAGATGCCGAAGGACTTCAAATCTGGGCAACATCAGAAGCTTCCGCATCCATTGTTAAGAATGGACTTCGATGTGAGTTTAATCAATCATTTTGGGTAATTACTCATCCTGTTCGGTTGTAAACAATTTTAATATTACATTTACAGCGCTCCTAGATGCAGTCTGTGTGAAATGTCCAGCTCCAAATTTTAGACAGTTGCTGCCCCATATGGAGATTATCCACACGACCCTCATGAAGAACAAAAACCTTTGCCCTATTGTTCCAGAATTGTCGACCATCTACCTTAAATCCCCCTTTTCCAGATTCACTGTTGCAACCATCGATAATTTCCAGCAACTTCATAGAGGACCAAACGGGACCGTATATTTGGCAGTTCCTGGAATCATCCCCGACTACACAACACCATGGAACATCGACAGAGATACTCTATCCCAAAAATGCAAGTCTGAATGGTTAGCGATGGATGAATCTTCCCGAAATCAAGAGACAGAAAAACCAAGCGACATCAGACCTACAAAAGACGTCCTTGAAACCAGAGTCTGGATAAGGGAAAACTTAGAGATTGGTGGTATCCAGCCTTTGGGAAATGCATTAACCAAAGACGCCGTGTACAACAGTTGCCCTTATAAAGACAACATTAAGAAATCCATCTTCGGTAAAATCATATCCAATGTTTTCCCGAATCTTCAAGATCATCAGGGGGGTGGTCGAAACAATACACCAGGCGTATACACCAACCTGATCAAACGACGATAGGAGTAAACCTTACCAAAAATCTACCCCAACGGCCCTTTTAAGGGCCACCATATATTCCGAAGCAAGCAAAGCATAAAATAATTACGAATTTTAGCAGTAAGATAATTATGATTAAAATGATTACCCATCACTTCCTCCTTCCATGTTGTCGAGAGAGTCTTTGGTTACGTGGGCATTATTATTATTATTTCCAGGAGGCATCAGCATGGACTGGTGGTGATGATTTTGATGATGATGATTATGCTGTTGGTTGCCGTTCGAGAGTCCGAGACCACCGGAGGATGAGGAGGTAACATGATGCGGCGGAGGGTGATGGGCAGTATGATGGCCATTGTGAAGGCTGTTACCATTGAGGAAGCGAGTCGATAAGGATGTCAAGGAGTAGGAATGCTTCAGTTTGGATGACTCGGACATTTTGGGGTATTTATTGTTCATTTGGGCAGGAAGTATTAATGTAGTGGGGAGAGAGAGAGAGATGATGATGATGATGATTCCGTAGACTAGGTGGTGATTAGTAACATAAAACAAGTTGTCAATCAATCAGAAGAGTGGGTAACTTTATCTGATTTCGTTATGTCAGGAGGGGATTGATCCAATCAAAAAAACTGGGTTGAATAGATCTAATTGCGGGGAAATATGTATAGTAAAGTTAGATCTCTATGTGAAACTATTCGGCATTGAATCTGAATAATTGAGTGTCTGTAGATTTTATTTCGTTTAGAATGACCACTTGTTGCTCACTTTTATTATTCACTAATGTACATTCGTCGCGTTGTTAGTATTTATGCACGTACTTATTTCCGTTATGGGGTAGTTGCACTTATGTATGTACTCGGATTACGCAACTTTAGTAACTTTTCACGCAAAAATTCTGCAGAATAATAAAATGACGACTAGAGAGAGGAGCGGGAGGGGACGTTGAATTCACTGCCTGCAAATCAAAATTGAATCTTAATGCACACCACTTTACGTTATTTTATGTGATTGCCTTGATAAATTACATTTACTGGGTCTCACACTTTAACTTTATATCCCATCAGAACACCACATGCATTACTGCTACATAACATACGACTGCTTGTGTTCTTGAGAATTGTAACTAACTAATTGCTAATCCAATCCAATCCACACTGCCATCAAGTCGACTTCTTTTTCTGCTACCACCACTCAAGTATTTCCTGTTTTGGGTTTAAGTTTTGACTTAACGTTACTTATTTATTATCACGTTGCTTACTCACTCATAATAAAATAATCTAATATGCTTTGCCTTCCTTGCGTGGTGGTCAATAACTCGGAATGTTTTGATATTTTACTTACTCGAGCTTTACAGATATGTAATAATGATGATGACACAAGTTGCATTTATCTTGTCTTCGGAGGAATAAAGCTATGCGTGTTGTGAGGTTCGTGATTTGACGAGTTGAGCTAACTGACGCAGATTTAGTTCTGGTGTTATGATGTCTGATCACATTTTTGCATGACATACATAAAGCCACTCACTCCTCTCTTAAGAGATTTTGTGAGGGTATCGTCGTCGTCAGATCATCATCATTACAGTTCAGTTCAGTGCAATATGTATGTAATACCGATCACATTACTCATACTTTTCATGCACAAATGCAACCCAGGTTGAACCAAGTGGAACGAACGATATTATTTATTTGGACACCGCACCACTCAGAGTTTGTTGTAGAATTTTGAGCTTATCTTATTGACTTCTTGATAGCTAGTATCAGGAAATAAAATGGACTTTTACAGAAATGGGGCTTGAAGTTAATGAACTAATAAATGTGGCCCATCTATTTTTTTCCTTTCGTACATAAGTAGCATATGCAAGTGGTGGATTTTTTGGTGCAGCTCGGATTATTGACGTCGAGACAAGAGTTTACGTAATGCATATAGAATTAACTAAGTAAATGGTCCAACTTGACCGTATATAAATCAAATCTCTGCTGAATCCGAGAGTTTGTTTGTATTTATTAAGCAACAAAACAAAACTTTCCACTCAACTCGAGAGCTATTTAGACAGGTGAATAATCGCCACTACTCACTGATTTTGATGGACTTCTTCTCCTCTTGTTTGGCATTTGCATGAGATGAGATGAGAGGTGCTTCCACGACACGACACGACAATGGAAAACAATAATAATAATGTGAAGAAGATGCGGTCCGAGCAAAAGTAAAGTGATGATACTACATGCATACGAGAGAGTGGTCAATAACACCAACCAGGAACCACACTACTTGCTGCCTGCCACTACTACTTTACTTGTTTTTACACAGAATAAAAATCTCTCGTGACATTCACTTGTGCATAACGAACCAATTATCAGGTAGCCCAATTTGGCTTTTACACAGGACCGACGGAGGTGGATGGAGGAGGGATGAGAATTTTTCCGTTTCCTTTGAAATTATTTTGTCGGGATTTAACGTCACTCTTTCTCTTATATTTTGTGTACGTGTGTATGTACAGTAATTTAATGAGTGGCCAGGTAGATAAGTATAAATTCATGAAATGTAATAAATTTTCCACTTCGTTCAAGTGTTTATGTATGTTCTTTCCTGCCTTCTTTCGAAGTATCCGAACACGGCACAGATTACGACAAGACTGAAGAAGCAGAAGATGGTCAGTCAGACAGAATCAGAGGGTGTAAATAAAGTGGGACGTTTTCAAATCTTTACTTACGTTACGTAACTTGCTGATGGAACGTTCTATTATTCTTTGACTGTAGCCTCACTAAAGGGAGTGACACGTATAAATAAGTAAATGATGAAATGTGTATGTATATGTATGGGGAGGACCCTTCTTGCCTCAGATTTTTCTTTCTTATGGACAGAGCACTCTTCTGCAGTTCACATTATTATCACTTATTATGATTATTACTGGGCTATGGTCACACAACCACAAGTCGAGTAGCTGACTTTTCCGAATAAACTACCTTCTCAACAAAGCAGACCCTTCTGCTCGTCTGTATATTTACCTTTGTCCAACAACTACTGGTGTCGTTTCATTCTTGGTTTTGTCGAAACCCGTCCTGCCTTTGAGAGAGAGAGAGAAACGTCTTCTGAATGAACTTCGTACGAATTCCTATTCACGAACCCTTTAAACCCTTGGGCGATGACGATTTCCTCACATGCAGGCAGTGGTCAACAATGAAAATGTAAGTAGTCCGAGGAGAACCCTTGGTTAGTTGGTAGTGGTACCTTTTTTTACCCCACTACACAAACCACACAACTGGACCACGACGTCGACGGTAGCCTTCGTTCAGGTTTTCTTCATGCTTTTGTCTTTTCTTCTTCTTAGACTGACTGGAACTGGTTTTTTAGTTTCTATTTATATACTTACACGGGGTCTTTAGTTCGATCGATATTCGATGCTTTTTTTGTCTTTATCTTATGCATATGGATCGAATCGGAGTGTGAGAATCAGTTCCAGTAGATTAGATACTTTCACCACCTTCTTCATATCTATTTTGAAAATAGTGTGTTATCACTACCAGTACCAGGTCTGAAAATCGTCCGACAAATGAACTCAACAGCGTCCCTCACCTTGCCAAGACGAGAAGTGAACTGATTCGAAAAATCATATGGGATAATGACGACGACGTCGAGGATGGTGGCGTTGCATGGTCGTTCCTTGGGGGGACGGTGGTACATACGTATCCTCACGCCTTGAGAGTAACTGTTGAATATTATTAGTTACTCACTGCTTACTTACTACATACTATTTACCATCAAATGGATAATGTAATGTGCACTGATGAAACTGCTGTTGGCTGTCAGGAGAGAAGAAGTGCATGCAGTATTGCATTGTGTCGTATCCACTTAAAGCTTTTCAATAACGCTTCATGTAATGCAATGTTGTTGCTTTGTTGCGACCAGCAGACCAGCTTTACGCACCGTATGGTATACGATACTCGAAGGGATTGCACACATAATAGTAAACAGAATTTTCATCCCATCCACCGTAATGCATAAGTGTTCAACAGTTGTTGTTCATGCTAAAGTTTGAGCTTTTTTAAATCCAACAATATCATGGAATGGAAGCAGCATGGGATTTTTTGGGATGCGATGGTGCTTACACACACAGAATGGATAAGGTATCTATCTTGATTCACAAATAGGTAAATGCTGCTCTTGCTGCACTAAAAAAAGTGAACGAGAGTACCTTTAACCCAACAACGCAAGGGTAAATACATACATAACTTGGTTCAGTTTTTCTTGTTCATCTTCTGGTCCAACTTAAATAGCACACTTTTTAAGGGCATAGATTTCAGAGATTTCTTGTTTCATTATTACGTACATATCGTCCTTTATCGTTGCTCTCGACTAATAAAACGCATGGTTGGCAAACTTCACACGTCGTCGTACATTCGTCTGTGAATCATGTTTAGGTTGGGTTGCTCAAAATACCAATTGCTTTATACGGATCAGTTATTTTTGAATGTTTATTAAGGTGAATGATGATGCAGTGTAATTTGTGATGGAGTCGTATGTACAGCACATCCATAACAGACTCATTTTAGAAGCAAAGTCATAAAACACAAGAACGAAGCACACAATTCTACTCGCCTTTCTTCTCCGTCGTCTGTGTGTATCTATTTACTGAAGGAAATCATCACGCAGAAAAAGATCCTAAAATTCACATACAACCGTTTTAAAAATCCACTATTTTACATGCTTTCATTTTTTGGGGCGTCATTTTTTCACAAAACTAATGTGTTTGAAACTTGGCGAATCTCTGCCGAGTATGAGGCTTGCTTCTCTTCTTCTTCGGGCGAGGGTATAAAAAGCTGTTGTGATCAAAACAAAACTTTGCATCCAAGTTCACTCTGGCATTACATTTATTTCACAAAAATTCGAATTAGGAATATTATTCACGGGTATAAAAGCGATTTAATGCACGCTTCGATACGTCCGAACTTCTTCTTTAGCTCGAGTACTACGTTACTTTACCTAAACGTAACCAAGAAATGAAGGGGGAATGACCCAGACCAGGCAAGAAAGAAGTTAGTTAACCACCAAGTCATGTTGAAGCTATGTACAACAACGTGGTTGGTTTACACTAATGCAACGCTGACGACGAAAGACGAAATGCATAATACGGCATTATGGGATCGAGATAAAGACGAAGAAGACCAGGTGAGTTTTCGTCTTTGAGAGCTTTCAGGATGATGATTCTATTGTATTGTGATTCCGTAATGAATGACGGGAATGACGAGGTGGTTCACAATGCCAGCAGACTCCTGCCATGAAAGTAAATCCGCTGTATTATTACTTATTAATTTATTTAGTAAGCAGGAATTGCAGCAATAACCTTCACTTCTCCTCCTCCCTTTACATAATCCGGTAGGAATCTGTACAAGAGCGGATTTAAAAGGGATTCATGAAACTCATCGTCAACGTACGTCTGCCAAAAGCACAAAACACAAGCTGTACAAAAAATCTTCAGATCTGTCAACACTTCCACTTAGCATTTCATATCTTAATTTCCACATGTCACACACGTCTGGAATTTGTGTTATCAAGATGCTAAATTAAGTTGCAGGACGGTGTACGGTAACAGCATTGGAAATAAATAAAATATTTATGTACGGCCAGGTTGTTAGTTGTAAAATCTTGTAAGCTGTCTGACTGACTGACGAAGGAATGCAATAAGAAATTGCTAAATGAAATGAAAAATAAGCCTGAGCTTACTCAAGAAAGACTTGCGCCTTTGTTTGATCTGTTATTTTATTTATTTATTGTGGTTCAGATGATTCATGAATTTTTTAAATCTGTTCAATTTTCATCAGCTTTGGTTTTCATGAAGGGTTTTAATAAATTCGAGGAGCTTTTGTTATTTACGAGAATTATGAAAGTATTAGTAATGATTGAGTAGAATGCGCATGCATCAGCAGCATAGAAATAAATAACTAAATAATCTATGTAACCTCTGCCGAGTTTCAAACACTTTTCTTTGTGGTTTGGTTTCTCAGCTCGGCATGATTATTATAAATCGTGTGAAGGTGCTGGACGGACTTGCATTTTCATTTCGCAACGTAATTTCACTTCGATAGTAACAACAACAATTACTTGTAATTTTTCAGATTTGTTTATACGTACGTAAATAAGAATCAAGCAACAAGTGCCATTCTTGGAATTGTTACGTCTAGCAAAAATGCGTCCAAGTGAGAGTAATGACATCTCATATTTGTATTTCCAGAGAATCTCATATGTATGGAAATATTGATATTTTTCTGAAAATCCGATTAATTTATTTATGCCGAATAATTTTATTATCGTGTAAATCAAGCGTAGACGAATGTATTCCGCCTGAAAGCATTATGTATACGGTCACATAATAGCATCAGAACATCTGGAAAAGTTTACCTCGATTTTTCTTATTTTTTTTCACTCGACTTGTCTTCATCATTTCGCTTCACTTTGGTTTTGTATTATCTAGTCGCTCCACTCTAGTGAAGCATGATGGCAATTGCGAAATAACAAATTAGTTGGCAAAAGCGGAACAAAACAGCGTCCACCAAAAATCCATTCCATCAAAAACCAACCACATCAGCATTCAGCAGCCTATACTTTACCATCTGTATAAAGGAATGAATGATGGAGTCTAAAAATTTTAGCAGATGGAAAATAGTAAACTGTCTTCTTATGCAGTTCTCTCAAATTGAATGTCTAAATTCTCAAGGTGGAAGATTCAGTCAGATTCTGCTTCTTCATCTCTCTCTCCTTTGCAATTTAATTGACAATGTTATGCCAGCCAGCAAAAACCAAAACCAACTCCTGCAGAAATACGTACATGTAAGACGTGCACAATAAGTAAATCCCATGAAATATCATGGTTCAATCGAACTTTTAATGGTTAAATTCAATGCTGCCTGATAATAATGTTACATTGTATGGATGGATGTACGACGACGTTATGTATCACCTCAACTTTTTCTTTACACCGTCTCATCATCATGGGAGACTCCCAAGCCACTGTGTAAAATCAGTTATGTATTATTTGCATACTTAAAAGGTAAAGTTCTTTTTGTGCGAGAAGTAAAAAAGAATTTGAGCTCCAAAACTTTGATAGTTTGGATCTTTGTGTGAGATCCAATTTTTTCTACGGTGGTGGAAAATGGTATACCCGACTGAATCTGTATTCTTGAACATCTTGTGAGTCTCGTATCGTCTCACTTTCTCAGTAAATATTAAACTACACTCAAACAATTTAAGTCGTTTCGTTGTTTTCTTGTAATAAAAGTTGGGAAGAGATTTGCATGCTTGAAGGGAGCTGAATTTTATTCACATTTTTATTTAAACGATGGGCTCGTTTTTTGAATAATTTCGTCCTCTTCTTCTTCTTCAGGAGGTCGTAGTCGTGAGTGATTGATGAAACCAAGTCATGATTGGGTGCGAGCGTTGATGCGATGAAAGTTGAATGCATATCTATAACCGTGGTCTGGTTGAGATTGATGGTTGCAGTTTTTTGCAAAATATCGAATATCGTTCAATCATTGATCGTCACAATTTGTATTATACGCAAGATTTTATTAAGAGTTTGTGACTAGTCGAGGCATGAATATTGATGGTATTTAATAGTGAGTCGAAGTTTGTTCAATACTTATCTGCAACTGTAAAATGAGCACATGCGATAAGATATTTGCGGATTTGATTTTGTGGCGTACATATATTTCTTAATAAATAAATAGGAAACCATAATTTTTTTACGTAGATCGATTTCGTTGAAATCGATGATAATTTAGAAAGGAGCCCCAAGCTCACATGTATGTATGTAAGTCACTTATTTAGTAATAAATCGATAATATTTGGTGCAATATTTTACCTTTAAGCTTTTGAAAAACCTTTTACACTCAAGTATTTGGATGAAGTTTGTAACATGTTATTGTACAATTTGTGGGTATGTCTACCTGTCAATATGCAAGAAAATATTGTGCAAAAGTAGAGTGGATACAGTTCGCGGATGGATGAGAGATGTGATCGAAATTGTAATATGATTAGCATTTTGGACCAACTCTTCATAAAATGGAATGAGGTTTATTACCAAATGGATAATAATATGCATGTGACTTTCTTCTTTTTCTATATTTATCATCTCGCCCTGTAGATATTCTATTGTGTTGGGCGATAGGTATTTAGTGGACAGTTTCGTTGGTTGGTTTGTCTTGCAGATATTTAGATTAGATTGTCCTTCTAATTTGGATTTTGGATACTTTTTTGGCTAGGCAGTTTAGAAGATGAAATTAAAATCACTATTTTTATTTATGATGGCTTTTAGTCACACAATATGCATGCATACTTATTATTATGACAAACGCAGTAAAGAGCATAAAAACTAGCGAACCAAATAAAAGATGAAAATGATCCCAGGAGAGATACAATTGTTTGTTATCACATTTTGCAACCATGCATTCCCATTATTGTAATTATATTTAGAGATGAAAAGTGGCAATCAACTCGGGCTCTAAAAATTTAATTTGGTGCATGTTCACATCCACTCGTACAGATACTTGTAAAACTTTTGTCTTCTTAAAGTTCTGTACATTAAATTCATACGTATCTACACATACGAACGTTGTTTGTCATGCTATTAACTTTTTTCTTTACAAAAGGAAGTGCAAAATTCATTCAACTCCGGTTTAC